CAAATAAATTTACTAAGCGCTCGTACCCCGTGGAGGGGTGTCATTGGTTGATCGTTGACATGCCATCGACACGATATCATCATATTTGCTATTATACCAAAAACCTGGATTTTGCCATTTGATTCCCCGATAAACACCCGACACGTGATCATAGTACTGTTTATTTTCACGTTGAAAATATGACGAGGCATTATCACGATCATTAACACGTTTATAAAATAGCGATCGTACCTCAATATCTTGACGCGTCAAGATGGCGTCATCCGTTGACAGTACAATCGCCATATTGGCATAAACATGCTCGAGAAAATCGTACTCCTGAAAATTGGGTACGACAGCCGTATTATTGAGTTTAATACCGTATTGTGTCTCAAATTTTGACTGAAACGCACTGACTGATGAAATTTTGTGATGATACTGGGTGCTCTTATCAGACAAACCGAATTTCACAAGTGTGCGCATCACTTCCCACTCAATCGAAAAATCCGGCTCAATGACAATACCAATACTCGCCATAAAAGCGTAGAGTCGATTATTTTTACGGTAGACTTCGTCGCGATACTGTTTGCTATCTTGGTGCTCCTCATTAATTCGGGGAAACATATTCTTATCGCGTCGCAGAACGTACGATGAATAGGCGAGCAGTGCAACAGCATTTGCGAGTTTTGGTACTTTGATGCTGATTGTGTTGTTGAAGACTTGGGCATTCGCCATCATTGAGAAGAGGCTGTTTGCTCTTCCATCGGTATTTATTTGCTGACCCGTCAGTTTAATCGCGTGAAATCTCCGCACCGATACGATATCGACATCATTCTCCTTGGGTATGAACTGGAGAATTCCATTTGTCGCGCCATAAATCAACGATTGGGACTTGTGCATCTCGTATTCCTGAGTGTAAAATTGTTTTGTCGATTCGGCATCATTACCGGTTATCGATTTAATCTTGTCAGTTTCGACTTCCTGCAGCTCATTCAGTATTGTCACGTTATTTTTAGCTGTTATGTTGGCGCGCTCGATGGCTTGGCTCAAATTGCTGAAGCGTCCAACTCGTGGTCCAACCATCTCCTGGATAATATTGCAAATTAGGGACTTACCAACGCCACCGGGTCCGTAATAGAGGAACGCCTTCTTGAGGACATTGTGGGGGACAAATACGGCTGATAGTGTTGCTAGGAATTCAGTTGTCGCTGCTGGATCGAAATAAGTTGACATTCCCAAGTAGAACATGCCGACAACGAGATTGGCTTCCTCTTTGGGTAGAGATGTACCGTACAGAATTCGTATTGCTCGTTGTAAATTTCGTTGAAAAACATCGCTGCCCATTTTAAATGTGATGTCTTCGTACTCAGGATGAATAGCAAGTGGTCTCGGCAGATCTGATGGTAAATTGAATGCGCGTACACAAGCGTTGAATGTTGAACACTTGAGGATGCAAACGGCAAGAAGTGTCGAGTAAAAGCACAATTCGCGAGAGGGATTGTGTACACCTTGACCACTGATCGAGAGTAATGTGTCCATCTGTGTTGGTCCTTCGGTGACAGTCATACCTTCCAATATTCTTATTATTTTTCCCCGCCATGTTGTATCGTCGGGTGTTGAGTACGAGAACAGGTGATTGGCTAGTGTTGAATACGACACGAATGAGCCAAAGCCATCGCAATTCACGAAGACGTGCATTATGAAGAATATAAAACGTGGATCGACGGGGAAGTACTCAACGAGAAAGTATGCCGATGATAAGTCCCGGTGTGGTATCAGTCGAAATATCAACTTATTAATCTGGGACTCCTCGATGCACATCACGTAGCGCAAGTGAATCATCGCCGGTGCCAGTATGAAATGTACAAAAAGTGGTGTAAGATTTTCGTGAATTATTCGCGCGTACTTCATACCCATTTCCAGTCTCTCGAATATATCGCTATTTTGGCCCCCGTACATTTGTAACGGCATGTTCAGCGGCCATATTGCGTACTTACGGTGCAATTGAAAGCGCAAAAATTTTGTCTTCGCCGTGTACAATCCTGTTAAACTGTTGAATACACCGACTGACGTTGCAAATTGAAATTTACACTCGCTGAAGAGAGACTCCTGGGGAATCGTGTACTCGTCACGCCTAGAGCTCAACATGAATATCAGTATGTCAATGCATTTGGGATTGTTGTCGAACCATCGAGAAAAAACAGCAGGCAGTGACTCCATTTTTCTTATCACCTTATAAAATGTCCCGTCCTCCAGGACATAATGATTTCCAGTTGAAGAACTGTACATGATGAGTTGTAGCTCAATAATTATGTCAACGCACTCGTCCATCAGACTCGAAATTGTTGTGGCTCGTTCGTCGGTTGACACTCGTCGTATGTACGCACAAAAATCCCGATACGATGACTTGTGGGTGAATTGAGAAAGTAAATAGTCGATCTGCTGTTCAAAAGAATCGTAGGGTCGAAGGTGCTTCGAGTGGACCCAGCAAATGTGATTCATCATTCTATCCCAACTGTCATCGTAACACTCGAGGGTATTTATATCGTAGAATTCAATGAAACGCGCTATTTTTTTATCTTGACGTATTGCATTGTGGTAAATATGCCGGAGCATAGTTATAAATTCGTTCATACCTATCGGCTGCTCATCCTGGAGAAGATATTTGTGCATCATGACAACACACGGCTGCAAGTACAAGCCGTCATTTTCTTGAGATGAAATTTTCACAAAAGTCGTAACATGCACCGATTGAATTCGATTGTACCGCATATTGAATTCACTCATGAATGCCATCAATTGGGTACGATATTTATTGGATATCAGACTGAGATTCGTCATCTCATTAATCTCTATATGAGCAGCCGTTATTGCTTGCCGATGTACCACCAATTGCATCACATAATCACCGAATTGATTGAAGTATTCGTAGCTCTCCGATGTGACGGTCTTTTCGACATTGTAAAATTGTGGGAGAGCATAAACTTCACGAGCTGTCACACCAGCTGTCATCGATATCAATCGATCTCGTGTTTTGATGGCGAACAGTGGCTGGTGCTCGGTTGGAATGTGTTTAAATTCAAACATCTCCCAAAAAGAATCGTCAGTCTGTGGAGTAAGTGATACCTTTGGCTGGTTTGGCACCAGTGGTAAATATAGTTGAACCAATTGTTTTGATGAGTACGGTAATGGCATCATACTTGGTACTTCAATTGTAACACCTTCATGCAAAAAATAATTCGATATCTGGTGGGCAATGTGCAAATGCGTTGGCAGAGACACTACGATACTCGTGTAAAGACGAAAGCCACAATGATTACGCCATAAAGAACCTTTAGGTTCACTCATTGGGAAATGAATTTTTAATTTCTCAAGGACACAACGCTGGATTTTGTCGGCGAGGTAAGTATTCAGGTGACCCATGCATTGCTGATTCTTCTGGCAAATGCACTCCAAATCCAGAGCAAATTTCCGGAAGTACATCTGTCTGTAATCCAGGGCAAGTGTGTGACCGGTTTTTGAAAAACATTTGAGCATGTCGCTGTCCAGTGTTTGGGTGATTGGCCAATTGTAATGTTGATCGAGTGTATGAGAATGCAATACCACAAGCATCTCACCTTCGCTGTACTTGAAGGGCTGCACATTGTACTGCTGGAGGAAATTCATCTCCACTTCACGTTTATCGGGTAAATGTTCCTCCGACATGTCTTTTTTTAGATTAATAGTAGATGGCTGTACGTCTTGGGGATTACTAACTCTCGACATCAACGGGATCCTTTTATAAACATCGCCCTGGGACTCGTGATGTGGAAAATTCAGTTGTTTGAAGAATTACTGCTTGAAGATGTGTCCGAAAATGTAATTTCATATGGAAATTGATGAATTCGTTGAATTCATTCTAGAATATTGGGAACTTAGTTTATGGGTATTGAGTAATCTTTGATGTTGGGGAAACGATTGAAAATATGTTGTGGTTCATGGAGACAAAGACTTCTGAACTATCAAAAAATTCTAAGGCATAATTTTTTAAATACACTTGCCTCCTCATTACCCTTCGAAAATGATTCATCATCGTGTTTTCATTGCCAAAGAAAAATGTCTCGTCTAGTCAGGCATATTTGATTTTAGAAGTGGCACCTTAGATTTTCTAAAATCCTCGATTTTTCTGTGACCAGTCTCTCAATATTTCAACGTAATCCGAATATAGCTGCAATAATTGCCACAAGCTCTAGTTTTTACAACGTCTGTACGAATTTTGCACAGGGTTCAACTCCAAAAATCTCAGCTCTCTCCAAAATCAATAGAAATACAAATATTTTATGTGTTGTACTTTTCGGTTGAAAGTATTTTACGGTGTATGAATAACAGAAATAACAGGCGAATCGTGAGTTAAGAATCACAAGAATAAAGTTCTTTGTCGAGAGAGTGAAAGAACTTTAAAAGATGTTGGCGAAACAATTATCGAATATTGGTACAATGGCGTAATGCTTAATCAGAGGAAATGAATGCTGAGAAAAGAATCATTTTGTCGAGAGTTCATTTACTTGAGGGAATTATATAATTTAAAATATTGGTATTATAAAATTTATGTCGGAAAATGATTTTTTTATAGTTCAGTAATTCGAATAAAATGACTAACAGAATTAAAAAAATATTCTCCACTTTACAGTCCAAATCATTATTAAATTATTATTATATTATAGATTATTTTTAAAAATTAGAAAATATTTCATCAATTCTCTATATTCTTCTAATGTGTAGATAATAATAATATCTATAATTTAAATTTTCATACCTGAAATAGCGGTATATCTTACGAACGACAATATCAACACATAAAAATTCAATTATATTCATCGCAATCTCAATGATATTTTATCTAAAAAAAAGTCACAGCTAAAGGCAAAAGTTTTTACTTAATGATCCGCGCAGTTTTTGCGGGAATTTAACGCATTAATAAGACAGATTATCTTAAAAAAATTTTATCATTATTCAAGAGGATTTCTTTGGTCTAGTAGTCAGCGCGCTGGCCTCGTGAACAAATCGTCCCAGTGTCGCGAGTCCAGGAAAGGCTTTTTTCATCGTCGGAAAATAAATCTAGTGCATGTGGAAATTTAGTCATGAGTTAGCGGAAGAGCAAGTGCAGGTAGGGATGACACTGAGAAATAATAAAACCTGAAAAAGGAGAACATATGGACAATAACTCCTAAAACTCGTGCAGGATAAAGTTGTCAGGAATGATATGCGGATATGAATGCGATTTTCACTATCAAGTCAATAGAGCGAACGCATATGCGTAAAATCAGCATAAAACTGCATATAAAAGCCTTTTTTCTGGAGTGAGTCTGTTGCATTGAGTTAACGAGTACTGGCAACTATTTTGTCTCCATTTTTTTGTGGCAAAAACGTGACTCATTTTTTACTACTCCAGGGCATAATTACTGATATGAAAATTATATGAAAATAAACAACTAATGGAAACGACAACCGATGGCTTGATATAAAATGAGAGCAGTCTGTAATGTCAATGCCAGAAACGTACGAGTTACTCCGCGAACGGTCTTATCAATCAGAAATAATGGATTTGGGAGATAATAGCCAGGTAACTGCACCTGAAACCAAACGTCGAGGACAGGAATACCTGGAGATGAGCAAGATGCAGCAGCAGGGTATCACGCATGTGCTTGATGAATTTTCCAACGTATTCAATGAAATGCAGGGAACTTGTCTCGTCCTCGGGTGTAAAGCCGGGAGTCTACTGAAGGATAAAATCCTACCGAAATTAGCGAAGGATGCCGTTCTCGTTGGTAAGTCTAATAAATTATATGAAAGTGAGAGAAAAAATTACAAATTGCTAAAAAATTTTGACTTACCATTTTAACTCATTAAAAAATATTATGTAGATTCGAATTTATGAATTTATCGAGTCGTCGGAATGATGGAAACACGATTAGAATAAATATCGAAGGTCTATATATAAATATCTAGGTTATCAAGGTGTCAATAAAAATCATGAAAATCGGGTATCTGAAGCTGATTTGAAGAAAAATTCTGATTTATCGCTTTAAAAGATTATAATATAATAAATAATGGAATTTCGGGAACAGAGTGAATTGCGTTGGATAAATGATTGAATATTTTCGTTATGATTGAAGGTGCCGATGTAGCTGATGATATCCTGGAGCATGCGAAAAAGAATTGCTCGGGGGAGAAGAGAATATCTTTTAAACTTATCGATATTGGAGGGATGAGAATTCCTAACGAAGATATTGAGAAATACGACAATATCATATCGTTTTATTACTTGGAAACATTTCAGAATATGTCACGATTAGTCAGGCACATGTCCAGAATGCTCAAGCCAAGGGGCCAAGGACTTGTCATGATCCTCAGTCATCACGACATATACGATTTGCATTTGACATATCGAGCTAATCCCAATTATGGAACGTACATGGAGGTAATTATTGCAAAATTCATCCTGTCAAGATGAGTGAGCAACAAATTTTCGTCTTTTCCTTCAGGATATCTTCTTCCAACTGCCCGCATTGTTCGGACTTCCCAATGCTGCGCAAATTGTGAGAGATAATATAGATATGAATGGATTAAAAACCATTGATTGCAAGGTCAAAGAGCTGAGTATTACATACAGCAACACCAAAGACCTGGAATGTAAATAATTACTCATATTTTTTCCTTTAAATCCAATTGCAATTGTGTTTATGCAAAGCTTAAGATTAATTAAGTAATTGCAGATACTTGTTTGTTCTGAATATGAAAAAAAATCTTAATGATGAAATTGATGAGTTTCCTCTGATGGAAGGAAAATCAAAACGATAATTCTATTCAATTTTTGAATTATCAATCGTGAACATAAAATAATTGCAATTATCATGCTGCAATTCATTGCAGATTCCTTGATGACGATGGATCCCTTCGTCCATCGAATGCCAGATGATGTCCAAGAAAAATACAAAAAGGAATTCATCGAGGAGTACGTGGGAGATAAAATGAAAAATGGAGAAATTATTGACACGTATCGAGTGGTAATAGCACAATTCCAGAAAGCATGAAATTATTCAACACTTTATGAATCTGTACGTCATGATTTAATTTAAATACGTAATGATATTCAATCTGTATTTTGTACCGATGAAAAAATTATTCCGTCTTAGTATGATTGCTTATTAATTTTTGTCATTGACTCGTTTTTTCTGGTATAGCGTTATGAATTTTTTACTCATAATGATTAATAAACGTTGAGAGATAATTTTGCGTTGAAAGCTGAGTATTATATTTATGAAAAATAATAATAATGCACATTAAGGAATTCAGGTGGAAAATAAAAAAAAATATTTTTCTTCTTTTGGGTCAGAGAGTAATGGAATTATTACTTCATGCTAAATGACTTCGATTTCATCGTACGGTATAGCCATTTATATATTTCGTTATTATCCACAGATCATCATAATAGTCATATACATAATAGTCTTACAACATTAGTTTTTTCTTTCTTTTCATATTGCCGGTAACAATTTTACTATTCTAAGTCACTAGAAAAAACAGTCGGTACTACAATAGTGGTCTATCGATCTAATTAAACACTGATTGGATTTATCTCATTCACTCCGACTCCCGAAATCTCATACCTCATCTCGGAAAATGACATCAGATGAACAATAATTTGCTAAATCAGACAATCCTGCTAAAACTTAGAAAGAATAATCAAACAAAAGTTGTTAAAAAATGTCATGCATCCACAGAATTAATAGAATACATTGGAGATAATATTTCAACAAAAGCCGGAAGTCAATTTTCAATGTTTCTAACTGCTACCTTTTCTCCAAGTTCTCCAGGAACTCATCAACAACATGAAAATCCATTTAATCGTTAATTGCCTATTTTTAATATCGATAATTCTTATCGGTTATTTCCGTATGGGTTTAATTATCAATTCTTACGATATAATCATAATTTTATGCAAACGTAATCACTTGTCTCGATAGAAGCGAACATCGAAGAAATTTATCTCTTTATTAATATTAATTTCATTCTTTCGTTTTGAAAAACAGATCGAGAAAGGGATTACACTTTATTTTTTTCTTTTCTCGGGTACAGAAAATCTTTGAAAGGGGAATGTTCGAGGGCAAGGCACAGAGTTAGTCAAAGAGAAAAATCATTGGATGATTTTTACAAACTCTTCTGTCATCATAATCTCAAGTTTTTTCGCCCACTTGATAATTTTGTTTGAAAATTAAAATGATAATTCGTCCTTCAACGGATTACCAAAAGATTTAAGAGTAGTTTTTACAATATTAATTGCGCATTTACAGGTTAACGATTATGTACTTTCATTGTAAAATATATAGGGCATATTCACGTACACATAATGCTAATAGCACATCAGAAATTAATTGTTTTTGTATTTAAAAATGTATTTTCCACCGACGTATAGGACTCACAGATGAGCACAGAAGCTATTTCATTAAAAGTGCATTCTCCAACTTATTGTCGGCAATATTATAACAATTAAAGCTTAGAAAGGTAACAACATCAGGTGGTAAGAACAATTGAGAATAGAACGAAAAAACTTCGGTAAAAAAACCGATTTGTGAACACTCTCACATTTCAAATAAATCAATCGACTTTGGTTATTCGCTCGCTGCGCTAATTGGGACTTAATTATCTAAAACATGAATATTCACTACTTCCTCAGTATTTCTACGACTTTTTCTCATAAATTTCCATCTAATTCCACTATTTCTCGTCAATTTCATTTCCTTCTCGTGCCATTTCTCCGTCTTCCCCGCACATTTCGCTACCAAATGAAAAAAGTACTGAAGCTAGTACTATCTTCTTCACGCACTTATTAATTATGAGAATAAAAATTCAATCGTTTAATTTGCCCACAATAAAATATGCACGCGAATTATGCAAAACGCGTGACAATAATTCTAGAACTCATGAAACATTGAATCGTGGAAATTTGATTCGATTTTTCTGATTGGTACAATAACTTCATTCCTTTGAAAAAAAAATAAACGCTAAAAACAGAATTCAACAGGACAGATTGTTATTGTCTAATTAAATTACCTCCCAATCAGAAAACAATAAAACAAAATGGAAGTCAACAAAATGGAGCTATCGACGGTACGACATCGTAATCGAAAAATTACAAGATTAATTCAGAGCATTGCTTACTCCTTGTAAATGTACGTATCACACACGCATTTATCTAACGCCAACCATTTTCACGTGTTAACAGAATTATTCGTCATAAAATGATCAATTGTACGATGGAACAGTAACAAATAGTTTTGAGACTTCGACAACAGTCTAACAATAATAAATCAACACTTAAAAATGAGGGAAAGGAGCAAGAAAATTATCGAGTTCAAATTCTCGAGTTGAGAATAAAAACCATGAAATAAAGGAGCAAATATTCTTCATTAAACTGAAAGACTTCATTAAAATCTTTCATAAAAAATGTGCGCATCTCCCACAAATGAGCTGATGCAACATCGACGTTAAGAATTATATTTTATAATGAAGACCCTCGTATCACCTCAGATCCCGATAAATACAGAGTTCTCATCCGGTACTCATTACTCATTATTACTTGAATACCCCTCTCTATTTTGCCTTTCATCACCTCCCATTTTATCATTTAAGTATCTAGAGAGACTTCGTAGCTTCGATACTATCAGAGAGTCTTGAAGGGCATCTTCCCTCAAAGTTATGGATATACTCTGCCCATAGCAACGTAATTTTTCGCAGCTTAAAAAGATTCCTCGCCTTTTTTTTGAATCAAAGTGACTCCGAAAATGGAAAAATAATGCCTGACCGAATAACCCTGGCGCATAGTCGATACCTAAATTATAGATTTCCATACCACAATTATCTGTCCTCGTTGTTACTTTGGTTTTATCTCTGTCATATCTTCTCCTTCAAAAACTATACGACTTGATATTTAAATTGGCATCGATCAGGTACAGAAGATCGTTGTAGCAATATTTTTTGTTCGATTCCCAAATTTATTTAATGTATTTGTTCAAAATGGAAGAGATTCTATTATTTCAGCTTTTTTTTCATAAAGTATTAGCTACGATTAGTCTGTAGGCCGTTTCAACTACACTTACACCTAGAACACAAACTGTACCATTGATCGATAAATCATCAATGTGGCACCATGAAATTTTCTGATTAATAGAATCCTCATTGAGTTCAGTTGAGTCATCTACCTGCAGCTTCATTCGAGCTAGTGACTGGGTAAATGAACACTTCAGACATCAGGCAGATGACTTCTGTGAAAGTTGCCTGGAGACAACCTGATACTTTTTCCAATCGAAATCCATATAAACATCAATAAATATCTGTTGGATTTTTCGCGGTTATTCCCGGTCTCGTCCGTTCGTGAGGGGCAAAAAATATTACAATTTGTGAAGGAAGATTTACGGAATTTTTATCAAATGGGAAGACCAATGGTGTCAAATGGAACGTAAATTCCATTATTTTCAGTTTTTTTTCAGAACTGAGGGACTCATAAAGTTTTATCCTCAATCTCTTGATGTACACTCAGAGACAATCACTTATTATTTTTCTATCCTATCAATTATTGGATTCTGGAAGTTGGTTTTATACTCTCGTGTTCAACTCACCCTCCAGCACAAAATAGCATTTTTTAAAATTCCTCTATACCACTATTCACATGATCAATGACAGTCACCAAATATTTTCATCTATCTACTTCGACTTCAGCTACATTTATCATCAAACAACATCAACAGCAACAACACATAATCATTTTGTTCATCAACGCGAATATAATAATCTCTATTGTTTCCTTCTTATAGGTATACATATATCTGTATATTTATAGTATATCCACGTGGAGCCTAATATTCAAAATTATTCTTTAATTACAGTTTTCATTCGATTATTTGATTGAATCTTAATTCATAATTTTTCATAGGTTGCAGCCTTGAATTTGAAATTGCCAGTATTCGCTATCGATCTCAATCTCGCTGAATCCTCGATTATTCCTCTTAATTTTAACATTAAAAAATAATTTCCGTTATTCAATGTGAATTTCTTGACAATTCATAATTATTAAAAAATGATCGTTTCATTGAGACTGCTCATGACTTTCATCGGAGAAAGAATACACTGATTATTTTCACTTGCACTTGATCTCTTAATTACAATTTTTTTTACAATATACACTATCCTATGAAAATGCAATCTTAAGTAATAACGGATTGATGGACTTAAGAGATCAGTTGAAATCGACAACTCCTGATTTTTTTTCCCCCTCAAACAATTATCATTCATTATTTGCCCAGTGAATGAAAAAATTTTGATAGTAATTCCAAATAAATAAATTCCTCAATATTCCCATCATCCAGAATTTTATTATTAATTTATCAAGTATCAGTCAACTTTCATACGATTGTATCATTTAAAATGTTTCTATGACTTTATAGCCATCCCTCCCCAAATGTTCAACCGTTAGATTCCTATATTTCGATCCTACGATTGCTTTGAGATCCTTTAGTATCACAAATCCCCACTCGAAATAAATGAAAGTTATTTGCGTTGAGAACTCCCTGACGACAATCCACGTATCAGAAGATGATTACTCTATCATTCACTTATTTATCAATTTAAATCCACACAATTATCGCTCGAATTGTTCTAAATGCAAATACTATCCCTAGAAAATCGTTTTCCAGCCGGAAAGGAGGAGAACAAGTAAAGGTAACAACGCGATCATACGATGTTTACGGTATATTAATATATTCAATATTAGATTAATGAGGATTCCATTATATGAATTCAATTTTCGTCATCATTGAAATTAGAAACAACGAGGGACATTTAAATCCCAAGAATGCCTTACAGTGTGTAACATTTTCATTAATTTCATTGATTTTATTTGATTGTCTTCCTTCAGAGCTGTCGTTAATTCTTATATCAGCTTATTCTTCATACTCACTACTCCCTAAATACATAGACTCCCATAAATATCGCAATTGAATAAATAAATAAATAATCAGATATTCGCAAGATCCCTCTCACTACTTCCAAATGAAAAATAAAAATCTGGAAAATTCGCCATTACCATCCAACTCATAATCCAGTTAATTATGCCCTTTCTATTTTACTCAACAATCTGCAATTGAATCATCTGAGGATGTAAGCCTGTATCGAGTAATAAATCTCCTAGTGTTCCTGACTCGTCTCCCCTCAATCAGAAAAAAATGTCAACTACCCCCAATAAAAAAGAACCATGAATATTCAAATTTAGGACGCAATTAGAATCCATTTGTATCATTATTCCTTGAGTAAATAACGTCTTATGTATATAACAACAAGGTGAAGCGCAATCGTTAATATATTTTCTCAGTTATTTTGTCATTGCGGTTTGTTCTTTTGAAAAACAGTTTACACTTATTTAGAATCGGTATATCTTTCATTCGTAGAATAAATAATCTCTACGTCTCAAATATCTATTACTGAATATTCTAAAAATTTTGCATTCTCCAAATATTTAATACTGTAGAAAAATAAACTAAAAATAACTGACGAAAAGATAAAATGTTCTCCTCGTTTATCCTTAGAATGGCAATCATAGACGATTAAATTACTGCGAAAATTGTTTCGGACAACGTGAAATATCATGAAATGTATTCGATTACTGCTATGTACATGAATAACTTGCCAAACGACGTTCGAATAAAACCCCATTGATCCTCGACGTCAGCAGGAGCACGTGGCACTGTTGTATATCCAGAATTGAATGGTAGCCCTGGGACAATCCACGTCACCCACGCCCAATGAATAATTAAATCTCTCTTTTATTGTTCGCCGCCGAAGGGCGAGGGATAAAAATCGAGATGTACATCTCGTACCCTCTAGACCCCATCATGTTCTTTTCTCATATTTCGATTTTTTTTTTCTCAAATGTTGATTCAGTACGTTGTGCTACTCAGGGCTTCAGGAATGCTTGTACCCCCTGATGGCGATACTGGCAGCTCACCACTCTCGTACTTCTTGTAACGACTAGTGTAATCAGCACAAAGTTGTTGCCTTACCTACAACAGAAAATATGAAAATCATTAGAGACATTGGCAATTGATTTTTCTTGAGATTATCATTTTTTTATCTGGACTGGAGAATGTAATTTTCTCATTGGCACATTGTTATTTTAAATGAAAATACTTAATATATTGTACCTTATTCCTCTCCTCGTCCAGCCTTTGTCGAACTTCCTCATGCTGTCTCTCCAACTCACATCTTCTTTTCTCATAAATCTCTGTTAACCTGGTGCACTCATTGACCCCTTTTTCCACAGTCGTCTTGGCTACTTCACGTTTCATTCGGTCTAATTCAGCTTTGTCTTTGTGTACTTTTGCTAGCTGCTTCACCTGTTCATTCAAAAATTATATAAAGATTTAAATATGAATTTAATACATCGTCCGTGACATTTCTGTCATGATTTATTGAATAGGATAATTGATCGAGTAATTAAACTACATAATGAACAATATTCACCTCTCCATGACGAATATCCTGCAGTTTTCTCATAGCATTATTAGTCTCTCGTTCCAGCAACACTCTGAGAGTCTTCAGTTGATTCGTCTGAGACGTCTTCATCACTTTCTCAACAAGACTGAACACACTCTCATGATATTTCTCCTGCAATTCCCTTTCTTGATTGACATGCTCCTTGCATACTGTCAATAATCGTTCGCTCTGACTCCTCGGCAATCCCCTGCCCTCCACTCCATCCTTCCCCACTTCAGGATTCTCTGATGTTTCTGGCAATGGAGTGATACTCGTATCGGTGGAAAAACTGAAACAGCAACATCTAAGAACATCTGAATAATCTCTCATCTCAATGATCAAAACGTAAAATACTAACATATTCTTAGTAGAGAGACGCTTCACTAATTTCGTGGTGTAAAATTTTGATTTGTGCTTCTCTCCATCGATCGAGCCCTTCTGCGACTGCAATCGCAGCTTCTCTTTCTCCTGCTTCCTCCTGAGTGCTTCTAATTTCTTATCGAGCTCCATCTTCTTCTCTCTCACCACTTTATTATTCATTAGTTTGTCGAGACTCTCCGCGACTATTTCCTCGCCAATTGTAACGACTGTTAATGGAGTTTTATTAGCAGCACTATCGACTGTTGAAGCTGCTGGATTTGCGGGACCGTCTTCCTGATCAGGTGTCTCAGGTACACTAGCTCCAACTGTTGGGAGCCTCCCGTGGGGACTACCCGACGGATACGTTGGCGTTGGCAGCTCTCCCTGGGACTGCAGTCTTTTCATTTTCGTCGATTCATCCTGAATTAAAAAAAAAAATCATATTCGCTTCATTGGAAAAAATATTCAATTTGTGACAGGCAAAAGCTGACAACTCACAACTGATTTAGATGCACTCGTTCCACCACCAATTCTATCTTTATCCTTATCCTTATCTTTTTCTTTTTCTTTTTCTTTTTCTTTCTCTTTTTCTTTTTCTTTCTCTTTCTCTTTCTCCTTAATATTGTCTTTCTCATTATCCTATGATGTTAGCAGGCACAAACCACATATGTTAGTCAACCACAAGCAATAGATCCCATAGACAGAGAATATCCAACAATTTTCTTAATTTCTGTCATAAATTTATCGTTCATTTATGAAAAATAGATGGTGGACAAAAATTGAGAAAACCGGATCATAACGTACTACTCCATAAATACAATACATTAAATAATTAACTGCAAACACAAAAGAAAGCTCTAGAAAATTGAAACAACTCACCTCGTCCTCATCGAATCCATCATTAGCATCAGTCAATCTCTCCAGCTGTTTTTCCCTCTTCTCCTGTTCACTCTGATATTTAATAGGATTAGCAAGAGCCTCGGCAAAGTCACTGAATCCATCTGGCACGTAATCCTTAACAATAACATGAAGAAATAGACTAGCAATAGGTCTTGGCTGTCCACACTCATTTCTCAAAGTGACGTGTCTGTATCCAGGGCACAGCCCCACAACAGGCAGTACTCTGTGTCCAATGAGCCTTCCACTCTCCTCGTAAGCAGCTATTCTGAGTGAAGCCAATTCAGGCAAGACAACTTTCTTGAAAACAAAGGGCTCCTCATCATAGACAGGATTAATTCCATTATTGGGAACAATCTTGGTCTTGAATTTCTTCCTGACAGTGTCAGCTGGTAATCCGTACATATCAACTTCAACGTAAGTTCCCACCCTCTTGTCACTGAGAAATTGACCAGAGAGCACATGAATGACAACAGTTCCAGCAATAATACCATCGACCGTTGATTCAGCAAAAGGATCCAGCCGCCTGTCCTTCCTCCTCATGAATTCTGGCTTCAACAAGTACCCCGACCTCTGATTATACTCGAATATCCCGATATTAAGCTGCATGGCAAGATCAAGTGTTTGATAATTGAGAGCTACCAATTGACAGCCAGCATTCCAGAAGACCTGGGGCATGAAATTACTCGAGTCAAATCTAGTGCCAGCTGGGTACACTCTGGACAACTGATGCTTGTTGTAATTGACAAACTCAAGAGGTCGTTCTTTCAAGAGTGTCGTCGCCTGTTTCTCGTCGAATGATGACATCTCGTACGTACGATTTTTCTTCTCGGCACTCTCAAAGCTGTTGAAATGAACTGGTTGGACGTAATTGACTAGAGCTGAAATCTCCTCACCAGCCTCTGTCTCTTTAGCTGTCGATGCCACTTTGTCTGATGCTGCAACTTTATCACCCATTCTGATTTTAATATCCTCTACGTTTGACTCGTCCTCTTCGGTGCTGGACTCATCCTCCTCGTCGTCCTCGTCCTGATTACTGTCTTTCGAGGACTGACGTGGCTGCAGAACCATGCTGGGAGGATGAGCCACTTCTCCATTGCCCACTGGTAAAACCCCATCCATGTCATTCTGGGGAATTATGTCTGGAGGTGGGCCATTCTCCCCTTCGGCATTAGCTGCTTCATCCGATTCCTGAGGAACTCCACCCTCCACCCCCACTGGGTGGTGCTTTTTATGCTCTTTTTTGTGATTTCTGTGCTTCTTCTTATTTTTTATGATAATCTTTCGCTTAAGAAGGGCAGGCGGTGGGAGCTCTTGGCCGGGCTCGAGCTGCAGATGTTCAATACATAATTGATAAGTTTCGATTGGATGTTCAGGGGGCAGATTACAATCATTCCAGTCTGAATATTGAAAACCCTAAGAACTCTAGTACAACTTCTCCGAAAGGAAAAAACATTCAATGGTTAAGGACGAATAGAAAACCCCAACGGTTCATAACGTCTGTAATACTCAAATAATGACTAATCGAAGAAAAAAAACCTAGATAAACAAAAACAATTGATGAAATTTAGACCAGACGATTCCTAAATATTGGAAGTACTTAATATCGATTACAGATTATTTCCGTATGCTCAACGTCTAGACTCTAGAGTAATCGTCTACGAATGTTGGGATTTGAATTGAGATAAATGAGTATGCGAATGAGTCACTGCTCTAAAAGGATTCAACAGGAACTCAGGGAAGTGATATATTTTCTCGCCATCAGTTCTATTTCTGGCGAAGTCTCATTAATATCTGGGAAAATGAACAATATGTGGGGGAGTCATGGGATCTAATAAAAAATATAAATCAATCAAACTAAATAGCACTATTGCAATACCTTGTGCGACTCGAGTGGGGCAGCAAGCAACATATCACCAAAGTACTCCCTACAATACTGAGCGATCTTAGCCTGTTGTCGGGGATTGCAGTGATTCTCGAAACTGAGCACGACTGGGAATTCCGAGGTTTTGAAGGCACTCTCTGCTATCGCCTCGATTACATCCCGAGCGCATATTTCAGGCACAAATGTGTATCTGTTTTTCAATATTATGCATGGATTTTTTTTAAATCTCTTGTACAATGCCTTTTATCAAGAGAACTACTTTGTACTATGATAATTCAATAATCCTAGTATCAATTGACATCTACTCAAGCTTATTATTTATTCCTGGATAGATTCTCCTGTTGAAATGAATTGAGGAACACTTACCCATGAACAATTACGGGCTCGTCAAATTTTCCATTCCAAAAGTCAAGCTCTACGCAACGACAACCGGCTAGGAGACACTGGCGGTAGATTTCCACTGAACTTTTTCCAGTTAATTGGTGACCTGTAATGTTTTTTCCCGTTTTTTGAATTTTTTATGTCCAATCGATGGATATATCGTGTCTCTAAAAGCAAAAGGTCGTACGTGCCAAAAATGGCATTATTCGGGAAAAGGTCGTATCCAATACATATTCAACCTTTTACTTTTGGAAAACCCATCAAAGTGAATTTACATCAAGCGAAATATCCACAGTCTCTCTCGTTCCATTATTTCCCCGGGGATCTGGTGATTTTAATCGAATAGAAATTATTGTTTCTCTTGTCTCATGTCGGCGGAAAAATTAATCTTTTTATTTAAATGAAATAATTTATTCAATTCAAATGGTTTTCAATTAATTAATTAGTTTATTGATTACGGATCATGAATACTCACCGGTTAGATAAGTATTGTGACTAGAATTGATGAAGTAATGAGCGAGGGGTTGATCCATGTCATCCGACAATTCGTACTTGGACATGGCAACGATGGGATTGTCCTCGCTCATCAAATACCTCAGGAATCCATCGGAACTCAGATGTCCCTTACCAGCATTGAACTTATTCGGCTCATATTGATTAATAATATCCTTGGCCCTAGCTGTATTGGCGTAAGGATACAGTATTTCATTGAGGCGAGGATCTCTCTGAGATTGATTCAAAAATTCCACCAGCTGATTGACATTCATAAGTCGGCGCTTAGTATTTCCAGTGATTTCATCGAAAATTTTCTCAACCTCAGTGCGTTGGGTCAGTGACTTGTAGAAATTGAAAAAATCCTCGAATTGAAATTTCTGAATTGGCACACCGTCATTCTAGGAAAGAATAAATCACCATCAATCGGCATTCTCAAGTGTCAGAAATATAGCAATATTCGGGATAAAGCCAATTGCAGAATAGGAAAAGACCAGGAGGGGGGCTAAAATGAATTTATAGCTTCCTCTGGTTTCATTGGAGACATGCCAATGGCAAAATATAACGTCTTGGAATCGGCAAAAAGCGAGTTTCTTTTCCTCTGCTAAGAGAAAAGCTTATCGACTCGCCAACCTGACAATATTGCTTTTAACTCCACATCCTGCTTCTATATTTAAGACTGAGTTATGTAAAATCATCTTGCACTTGGTGCAGCTAGAAATGAAACTGACAAACGATAGGTTTTAGAGTACTTCAAGACTCTAAATAAATTCCCTGTCTAAATAACTAAAATTTTCGAGCTGGCGCCGAATTGAAACTAAAAGTCTTTGAAACTAAAGAGCGTAATAAACGTCAGACTATAAATTGATGATTTTTTACTTATAAGAAGAAATTTACATTTCAGGATGGAACAGTGAGAATTGCAATGAAGGGATTATCCGAAATTGAAGATGCAATAAAAATTCGATAAATCACAAATTAACTCGTTTGATTGTATTCATTTCTTTCACCTGATAAGAATAATGCCAAGTGAGATATACATCACGTGAGTCGCATTAAACCGTCGTTCAATGCTTACATCGACTTCGATATATTTTTCAAGGTTGTTAAACATAACCGACTGTAACTTGTAATTCAAGTTACACAACAACTCCAACACGTTAACTGGAATTCAAGTAAACATACTTGAATGTATCTCGACAAAATTTCCCACAGAATGGTGTTACGTGACCTAGCATCACTGAATCGAGTTGAAACAAATTAATGGTAATATATTCTAATTACGAGAAGAAGATAAAAAATGGTCCGTTAGTACCGAGAGTGTCAACCAAGGACACAGCGTGGGGTCGTAAAAATTTGGAATTGTTGAGAGTTTCTCTGGTTGTGTGGTTAATGATGTTGGCATGTAGCCACTGGTTGAATTAACAGGGGAATGAAAAAAAAGTCTGTATCATAAATTCCCTCACATTTCCAGAAGACAGTCGGAAGTATGACTTATACTCTTCAGCTATGAACTTATATTTTTCCTTTTTCTGGTGCGTGATCTATCGATCGATGAAATTTATGTGGTGATTCTTACCTTTCCTGATGGCAACGACGCATTCTCCATTGCCTTTTCCACTCGTTTTCTGTCCTCCTTGTTGGATGTAAACATTTTTATTATGCTGAAATCATCAACCAGGCATTTAATTAGAAAAATATCATTGATTTACCCCCCACTTTTTTTTTATCATCATCAAAGTGAATAACTCACTTTTTACTGGGTATTTTTCCAGTTTTATCAGCCCCCAGTACAAGTTTTGTATGGGCTTTCTGCAGAAACATTGTTGTACTACTATTCAACTGGGTCAAATTGTATGCAAGTTGGAGTAACTGATCAGTCCAATGTCGTGCAATTTCCGCTCTTGTTGCACAGAAATTTATAAATGTTACATTAACAAAGTCCGAGGCATAGCAGATTGTAACGGTTTTGTCCTCCAAGCTGTCCTGAATTCCCATTGTCACGAGTGATTTCAACTTTGGATCCTGTTTAATTGAGATAACGACATCATTACATTTCCTCTCGGATGGGATAAATCTGCTTATCGCCATTGGAATTACTATCAGAATCGTGTCACATTCAAACTTTATTCAATGGAAATTCCTTGAGTCATGTCATGAATTATTTTGCGGCCCTTTTCATTAATCCAGAAATTATATTCATGTCAAATCAGACGATATTCATGTTTTCTCGAATTTTCTACCACTACGAATCGAGTTTCCAGGAAATAAAATAGGTCTCATTATTCATGCGCAAAATCTAAATGAACAGCGGTTTATTTAATTTCCGTTTCAATTCTGACGACAGAATTTAATTGAAAAATTTCACGCAAAAAGTACTAGGATGCGCGCAAAAGTCTTGAAAGAAGTCAAAAAGAATGGTAGAAGTTCTTAAAGAGTTTTCCGCTATCGTCATCCCCCAACAAAAAAATCACCCACGTATCTATCGATTTCCAGGTGAGAATACATAATCCAACGAAGACATTTTCTCCTTTACGTGCACGATTATAATCCCCCATCGTAGGTGTGCTCAGTGTTTAAAAAAGAAAGAGTGAAGGGAAAGAGAGGTGAAAAAATTATATGAACACGTGGATGTGCACGGTAAAGTAGGTAATGATGCTATTTATAATTTCGTCAATAATTATTGTGTGTTAGTGCTGTGCGTCATTAGCATCTATGCACTGGTCAGATGTAATTATAGAGATTCCAGGTTGCTTTGTGCATTGCAAATTGATCACGTTTGATAAGGGCTGTCCTGACTTTTTACGGAGACAGATTAGAGTGACTTTTCACTTGTAATTTCGTCGATCAGAGATCAATCCACTGATTTCAGAGTTGAAAATATCTGATTCATCATTAAGGGAGGGCGAAAATTCGCGCAATAACCCAAAAAAAAAAAACAACTTTTTAATTCTCCTACCTTTGGTATTTTCGCAAACTTTCCAGTTCTAGCGTCACGTATCACAGCAATATCAATCATATCGACTTCGTTGTTCTGATCCACCCAGTGAAGATAAAACCCAAATTCATCGACTCGGAGAGTAACTGGCGTAGCAACACCAGAGTCCTAAAACCATTAAATAAATAAACACGTTATAAAATATTTTGTCATTAAAATCCCACATTAGCCGATCTCAGCTTTTCTACAAGAATCGTATCCCCCGTTTTTCTAGTAAAAAACGGCCGAAAAGTAATGAATAAAATCGCGAAATGAGTAAATTATCTAGGGGTTGGCAAATAATACTTTTTCAACAATTTTTTAATCAACCCGCGAAAGCAGTAGCAAAAAACTGGAATTAATAAAAACGAATATTAATCACCCGGAGTCCCTAATAAAATAGCAAAAGTGCTAATAACTCCTCATGAAAAAACTTAAGGACCTTGGCAACTGCAATGTAAACACAAGCCTATACCTATATACCCCAATAAACCTCAATTTAATCCTCCACCCTCAGTAAACTCAGGCTCTCCTCCAGAGACTGAGAATGCCGAGCTCCAGAGCCGAGTAAAATTGAAACGGAGAATAATAAATTTACTTGCCTCATCCCACTTGATGAACTTCTCGCCCTCCTGGAGCTGCTGTGACACCTCCACAGCCTTGGTCTGCACAGCATTAACCACAGGTTGTTTATTATTCGCCATTTTTTCCCTGGAGTCCTCAAAGCTCGCCAAGAAAAAATCCCAAAGCCTCGAAAAATTTCCACCTTATCTCCAGTCTTATCCAGCCTCCAGCTGACAAAAAAATTCACGTTCCAGGTTAACCCCCAAGGTGCCCTCTAATCTTCAAAGACTCTCCAACACTTCCAACTGCTCATTCCAGGGATTTTTTACCCTCAACGAACGCATCAACGTCACTCTTATCCCCTTGATGTTGTTGACAATACCCTCTCTGGGGTTTGAGAGCACCTGAAGTGCCTCGACATGGACTCGTGCTCGTAAAATCCTCCAAGTAACACTCGAATTCCAAGACTTGAAATTAATGAGAGCCCTAGCAACTTCTTAACTCACCCCCTTGGTGGAATTATCACCTCCTCACCCCTGTAACGTTTGAGATTCGCCTAGAGGGTAGGTAATACAAGTCCTCAGTCTGTACTTGACTTCATCCCCCAGCCTCCCCAGCTCATCTCCACTCCTGTCAACTCACCCCGACCACACCAATCACCTTTTTATTTATTTATCCTAACGATGAAAACAGTGGGCCATTCATTTCACGAGATTGTTGTGTGGTACAACGTTTCGACTCTCTTTTTCACTGAGAGACTTCCCTCGACCCGCGAGGAGAGCAGGTGAATTTATACTGATGACTCGAGACAGATGGCTCTCGCCGTCTAGTTCATGCGCGCCGAGGGTACCATTTTTATTACTATTATTTCATTTTTTTATTTGAAAGCGTCAAGGGCGCACGCGTATTCCTGCTATTGTTATGGAATTACTCGGGCGAGGGGTGGAGGGTGACATTTGCTCAGTGCATTTATTTATTAACTCTAGCTTCGATTATTTACCGGAAATTTTACTCACCCTATTCAATTGATAATGTGTCGTCATTTGGACGGAATTTCATGTTTAATTATAGCATTATTAATTTTGTACATTATATAACTCATCATTTTTTCCGAGGAGATTCACATTTTTTTGTTTTCTTTTTTGAGTTATTGCAATTCAATTGTTATTTCTTATTTTTATCGCTGTTGCTATCCTCGATCGTAAATGGAACTTGAAATAATTGTTTTTTGGCTTTTTCATGGATTTGATATTTATGCATATAATTATTTATTAATGCCTTATATAACTCGCAATTTTTCATGTTAATTACTCATTTTTTTATTGAAATTCTCATGGTATTGTCATCCCGTGGGTGGTTTTCTAGTTGTATTAGTCTTGGAAAATTTTAGATGGAACTGGCAAGAATTATTGTCGGGGTTTTTAGTGAATCTGAGGTTTAATTATAGCATTGTTTGTTTGATGCTTTATATAATTCAATTGTCGCTTATTCTGGCCGCTGGCATCGATCAGGTATGAAAATTTTGAAATTAACTGCTGGGGGATATTGCGGGGTATTGATGCTCAGATGCTATTGTCATTCCGTTATTGTCGATTCAATTGTCGTCGCTCCCCTAGGGCAGGGGTTTCCTATGGTTTTGGCAGAAAACCTATTCTTCTTCTTAATTCACGACAAATCACTTTTCATCTAGATCCTTTTTGTATTTTAATCAAACTACGGGAATCTGAAAAATCGGAATGCGCACCGATTCAAATAATTAAATCATCTCCAAATTGAATACACATCAACTTGCATTAACTTTTTTAAATTATTTTCTAGTATTTTACCATTTTATTCAATTATCGTCGCTCCCCTAGGGCAGGGGTTTCCTATGGTTTTGGCAGAAAACCTATTCTTCTTCTTAATTCACGACAAATCACTTTTCATCTAGATCCTTTTTGTATTTTAATCAAACTACGGGAATCTGAAAAATCGGAATGCGCACCGATTCAAATAATTAAATCATCTCCAAATTGAATACAAATCAACTTGCATTAACTTTTTTAAATTATTTTCTAGTATTTTACCATTTTATTCGCGAGAATAAATTGGAAAACTAAATTATTGTAGAAATATCAGTTTTTTTTCATCTCCTGAAAAATAAATCATTTCTCATACGACTCTTAATTCCCACATTGTGATGAGATTTCTAGTTTAACTCCAAAAATTGATTTTATCCGTCTCATTTTTGAAAGGATCCTCTGGGGTGTAATCCAGGACGGGGATTTACTCGTATCAGTGGCTAATCGCGAAATCAATTCCCAGAGTAGAAATCCTATTTCACCTGGGGTAAGAAACTAGGTCTTTCGGTTTCATTTCCAGTTTTCTCCTGGGGTTATTCGATTTCTTCCTTTATCGAATTACAAGAGGGGAAAATTTCGGGAGAATAAATGGAAAAATGGGGCTAACATCGAGGGTGGGATCCCCGTGAAAGACCATGTTTAGACATTTTGAAGAGTTTGAAATAATTCAAAAAATATGTGCTTAAAAATTTATGTCTGTATTTCGTTTCTTTTTGGCTGCAGTCGAATGCGATGGACTAGAAATTAATAATTTCTCATACATCCTTATAAATTCTCCTCATCCCTCTAAATTACTTTCATTTTCCATTAAATCCCAGACTCTCCAAACGAAACAAGGAAATTGGTGAAAAAAAAAAAGTGAATCAAACAATAACATCGTCGTCTTTTCTGTTGATGGGATCGCCCCTGAGTAGTGCAATAATGAGACTGAAATGAAAAATGAGGCCATTAAATTCCGGAAAATGTGTAAAATTGTTGGAGAGGATTCCAGCACTTACCAGTAGAGGTAAATGAAGAAGAAGATGAGATAGTATCCGAGGTATATCAAGCAGTCCCTCGTGTGTTTCTTCAATTGTCCTCTGTTGTGAATTTCGGTGGGATCGAAGACTCCCATGTTGCCCTGGGGTACAGTCAAGTACTCACCACATAGCCACAAACTCATTGGCAGATTCGCCAATGCCAAAAGCCACTGGCCATGAATTAACAGGATCACGTTGACGAGGGTGTGAGCAACTAGCTTTGGTACAACCCACTGCGAATAAAAATTTATGTACATCAGGAGTTTTTTCATCAGACCCATTCGACAACTCCAGTTTTATTTATCATCAGTTTCAATGTTGATTACTTTATTAAGTTGCTTTTATTTTTTTTTCTGGGTATTACTGGATTGCTGCATGATGCTCATATTCTTTGTTGCACAACGAATTGTAAAGAAATAAATAATCAATCGAGCAATATGTTCCTTGGAAATAAAATAGCCGGGAAAATGGTCGTAACTCGTGAAAAAATGATTTTTTAATTATTGATCATGATTTCGATCACTGGTTTTTGGAGGTAAAACATTTATAATTCATGTGTTATTTATTTCTTTAAATAAACAAAACCTCAACCTCAAATAAAATAAACCAACATTCACGAAATATAACAACTAATTACCTGATTTAATCTCAAGCAGCATTGCTGAGCATTTAAATAATCACATTCAAGGTCAGAGAGTGCAATTACCTTGATAGCCATCAATTAAGAAAAATGTTTGTGTATCAATTGCCGCCCAACAACAGTTGGTAAGAACAATCACCCAAAATTTTCCACCCCAACCTCTGAAGTTACTCAACTCGAAAGTTATCAGCCAATTAAAAGACTTCAATTATTAATGTTGAAGATCTACTAATGGATTTTAAATTCTCGATAAAAGGATACAAAGTAGACAAGAACAAAAAGTACAGCTCCAGTGTCCAGAAGAGCTACAGCAAACAACAACGGCTCCGAAAACAAACCCATGGTATTTCCACTGAATCACAATAAAATAATCACTGAATAATCACATCAAATTTCTCAATCACTCAGTCCATAATAACGATCTTCCTTGGCATAATTGAAATTCACTCTCATTGTTTATAAACCCCAAAAACGTGGGGGAACTAAAACGAAAAAGTACCGACAGTACCGACCCAAAAGGATTGACTAAGGTAGAGGCTCAGTTCTGGGGGTTTGAGTGACCCCAGCGGCATCGTAGTACTGCACCCCAAGAGAGGGAGGACACCACACGCAATGAGGATGTCGTACCGTCAGCCGACTCGGTATCAGAGGAGCATAAAAATGGAGGAGGTATTCACTGAAATTTGAAATTTCGAAATTTTTCGAAAAGTATCAGGGGAGCATGAAAATCGAGGAGGTATTCACTGAAATTTGAGAAATTCGAAATTTTCAAAAAAGTATCAGGGGAACATGAAAATTGAGGAGGTATTCACTGAAATTTAAAAATTAAAAATTTCCAAAAAAGTATCAGGGGAGCATGAAAATGGAGGCGGTATTCACTGAAAATTGAAAATTCGAAATTTTTCGAAAAGTATTAGACGAGCATGAAAATCGAGGAGACATTCACTGAAATTGAAAAATTCAGAATTTTCAAAAAAGTATCAGGCGAGCATGGAAATCGAGGAGACATTCACTGAAATTGAAAAATTTTTAATTTTCAAAAAAGTATAGTAGTAGGGGAGATTGAAAAATTTTAAATTTTCAGAAAATAAAATTCACCCAGTCGATTGATCCCTCTGACAGCGGGACTGCTACTGAGGCAGTTACCGAGTCGGCTGACGGGCAGACCCCCCACCATTGGGTGAGGCCCCCTCTTTCTCTTTGGGGTGAGGTACTGCAATGCCGGTTGGGTCACTCAAACCCCCACTGAGCGGCTCAGTTCACCCCAAGAGAAAGAGGGGGCCGCACCCAATGGTGGGGTGTCTACCCGTCAGCCGACTCGGTAACTGCCCCAGTAGCAGTCTCGCAGTCAGAGGGACCAGTCCACTGTCCACAGTCCACTGGATGAATTTTATTTTCTGAAAATTTAAAATTTTTCAATGTCAGTAAATACCTCCTCGATTTTCATGCTCCCCTGATACTTTTATAAAAATTTTGAATTTCGAGCATGAAAATCGAGGAGGTATTCACTGAAATTGAAAAATTTTTAATTTTCAGAAAATAAAATTCACCCAGTCCATTGGTCCCTCAGACAGCAGGACTGCTACTGGGGCAGTTACCGAGTCGGCTGACGGGCAGACACCCCCATTACGTGTGGCGCCCTCCCTCTTTTGGGGTGCAGTACTACGATGCCGCTGGGGTCACTCAAATTCCCAGAACTGAGCCTCTACTTCAGTCAATCCCCTTTGAATGTTCCTATCACAACAATATTCAATATCAAAAATTTAACTGAAAAATAACTACATTTGTGCAGTCTAAGTAAATGAATAATTACGAGAAGCTCCAGAGGATTATTTTTCTTTACCGAATAGCAGATGATTTTTACAATAAAAATCACAATTTTTTGTTGTAAACATTACAAGTGTCATGTGTCACCTGCTTAAAACCTTGTTTGTGTATTTTAGTAGTTGTAATAATCGATAGGACAAGTTTCGAAACAGTAATTGTGACTCAGGGAATAATAAAACAGCTTTGACAGTTTAAATGTTTCGAGAATCAGCGAAAATTGTTGTCGACGATGGACAGGCACCATCGGCTCCATTTGTTATTAATGTTTGGATGGAGGACTTCCTGGAGAAGCTGAAAGTCCTGAATTACGACAACAAATTCGTCCAGGAGTTGAAGATGAAACCGATTAATAGGTCAATAAGCATTCCATCGTAATTTAACAATTGAGAATATTCAAATCCCATTAATAGTAAATTCCATATATTTTTCAATTTTGCAACTTTGTAATATTAATTAAAATTTTCCAGGCATTATTTTGTCGTCCCAACGAATCCTGGCGAGCAGTTCTACATGTTCACAACATTGGCAGCCTGGCTAATAAGAAAATCTGGGAATAATTTCGAATATCCACAAGAGTCCGACGATCCCAATTCGACAATTGCTCTCATTCTGAATCACCTGAAGGGGACAGGTGTTCCTGTTGAGTTTCCTCCTAATAAATTGAAGCAGGGAGTGGGGGAACATGCGATCTACGTGCTGGATCATCTGGCTGATCAGGCAATCAAAGTGTCTGGTTTTAAATGGAAGAAGACTGAGATTCCACAGGATGATCCCAACCAGGAACCGGAGATTGAAGAGGACGAGGCTGAACTCATCCTGGAAAAAGTTGAAGAGGAGATGATGGCGGAATATGACGAGGAAGATGATGATGTCCTCCATATCGATGATATCACCAAACTTTATGGAGCAGCTATGGACGACGTCCAAAAGCCTGAGAATATTCTCGAGTCTCAGACTGACACTGAGGAGTGGAAAATAGAGCTGGAACGAGTTCTTCCTCAATTGAAAGTCACGATAAAAACAGATTCTCGGGACTGGCGTGCTCATCTGGAGCAAATGAAGCATCTGAGGGCCAACATATCGACAGGACTCAATGGCACTAAAAGTCAACTTGATAAATTACAATCAGATATTGGAAATACTTTGGAGAAGATCAGAATGAGAGAGATGTACCTGAATAGGCAGCTGGAGCCTACCCTCAACGAATTTCGAATACTCCAGGAGGAACTGTCGAAGGTCAAGGAGCATTACAGAGATGTCAGTGGAGGAGTCACCGAACGTACTCGAACATTGAGTAAACTTACTGAGGAATTGGAACAAGTGAAGAAAGAAATGGATGAACGAGGATCCAGCATGACTGATGGTACACCACTGGTGAATATAAAAAAAAGCATCACTAAGATGAAAACTGAAATTTCTGAAATGAGTGTTAGAATTGGAGTTTTGGAGTACAGTTTAATGTGCACGAGAGTTCAAGATAGAACGCAATTGCAGGAAGACATGAATAACACTAACTCGAGTTCAATAATCAAATAAATGAAAGGGGAATTTTTAGAATGGAAAATCCGTCCACAGTGTGATAACTTCAGAATAAATTTGAAATTAATCGAAAAAGATTTGATAGACAGTTATTATTTCCGTTTCATTAAAATATCTCTTTGAATTACAAGAAAAATGTGGAAAAATGCAAAAAAGCCCTGAGGTATTCAATACTGAAATAATTAATTATAAGAACTAATTAAATGGCTGGAATAAATTTTGCTGGATTGAATTTCTGTGGTCTTATGAATTATTGATTCTCATAAAAATAATTCGAGTTATTTCCAAGAATATTCTCCGCATTCATCTCGCCCGCATAATCACCTCGGAGATTCCGATTTATCAAACACGAATACTCCGTTACCAAGGCCACAAAAAAAATCATCCATCCACATTACCCCTCCCCCCTTTCGCCCTTAATGACGTCCCGTCATTAAGCAAAAATGTCGCACGCCTAGTTTCCAAAGACGAAACTCTGAAAGACCCACTCCACTCCCTTAATTGCGCATTGCTCTATAAAAAAAACTGGAGGAGATGGATGCAAGCGTTTTACAGTACATATTTGCGGACTCCAACGTTAAAGGAAACCTGTAAAAAAATTCGAGTACGCAAATTAGAACACCGTAAGCAAGTTTGTTGACCCAGAAGGAGAGTAAACGTTGTAATTAGGCGTCTCACTGTTATATTTTAATATTTAATCACCTCTGGTGCATACCATGAATTTTTCGGATTTAAATACTTCATTCTCGTTGATAAATGTTTCTGTAAATAAAATGCCTCTGTCTTGCATTGGCAGCCGCTTAATTTTTCCGCTGCACAAGTTATCACTCTGCTAATTTTTCGCGTCCTTATCAACGCCGCTTTCTCATAGTTTGTAGAATTTCCAGGGAATCATGGAATGCATTACTGAATATTACTGAATATTCATGTATTTAATCTTGAATTTTTTTTTCCATTTGAAAGATTAAAATTCAATGAATTGAGATTTCGTCTGATGATTGGAAAGTTGAGGAATTCATTAATCGATTGTCTTAATTGATCCAAAAAATTGAGTTTAGTGAATTGTTTATTTGTTTTATTGTTTGATAAAGACCAGATGTAAACGTCTGAACATTCTCGTTATTTATTGATCTGATAATAATTACTAATGATTCATGGATGGTTGTAACAGGGGGGAAAACTCTCTTTCCACTTTCTCTCGGTTTATTTGTGTCTTGTTCTCACTGCTTCCATCAATTTTGTGTACCAGAATTGCCCCCTCTTTCCTTTCTCCGCTCATGTGTGATACAAAATACAGGCAAAGTGGGTAAAATAAAGTTTGCGCAGGCCAGTCACCGGCGAAGACTCGCAAGTGTAACGAGCTCAATGCTCACAGCAATTCCAAATCAAAATTCCAATTGACGACAAATGTAACGAGTGTTTGTTCTTTTCTCGACAGTTCAGTGAACAATTAATACCTCTAAGGAAAATACCCCCAGGTAAATCATAAATCATAAATCTCAATTTTAATATCACCGATCACCATTTCGAAGTGAATCTCGATCACTAATTGAGATCATCGACTCATTTTTTATCCACAGAAGAAAAATTAAATGCACTGATCAAAAATCAATTTGCTGTCTGTTTAATTACTTGCTTAATTAATTATTTGGGTTTGCATCTGGTGGGACTACTGGAGTTATTAAATTTTAAGGAAAAATTGAAATGAGATGTTCACTAATCGGATGTTTTACTTCTTCGCTATAGAATTAATAACAAAGTTGTTTCGTATTGGAAAGTAGATAAACAAGTATTCGCACATGAGCGCTTTCTCTCGTTGAACAATCGAATATTTTAAAATCCAACAGACCACGGTCGATGTTTTTTCCCCTCGTTATGTCACGGTCTCATTACATTATTTGTCAAGACAAATACCGATCTGTCGGAGATTACCCAATCGTAACGTCATAACGGATTATTAAACGTGTTATCCGTTTTGCTCGAGATAATTATCAAAATAACTGAAACAATTCCAGTTAATTTCCTTCTGTTTTTAGAAATATCTCCGAGTGTAAAACCGATAATATTTTTCACCGATTTTCCTGTCACGAGGTCAACTTGATATGCGAAGACAGATTTACGAATAAATTTCTCAATGCAGACTATTTTGGATAATTCAAAGTTAAATTAGAAAATCTAAAAATACAGGGATTACAATGCTTCCATTGGGGAGTAAAATCCAAATATTTAATTACCTTCAGCTGGAGGCTAAGTTAATTTGACCGGATTCATTTCTTTACTACTGAAATATCAAGGGTGATGGAATCCTCTCAAATATTCATCATCCCGGATATAGTGGTGTACCTGAAACCACTTTTCACACAGTGATAAATTTTAGAATTGATCTCCAACGATGACGTCATCGATTTCCACTTTGAGATATTCGAGTTTTCGATTTGAGGGGCTTCTTGACATGAATCACGTGTGCGGATTCTCGAATCATATCGATTATGCGGTATTTATGACTTCCTATTGAAATGGTTTTGCACACTAACTAATTTTTAAATAAATATTCTCTTAAATATTCCAGTAATTGATAAATCTTGAGCATATCAAAAAATTCATGTCGTAACACCTTTGAATTTTTATGAAATAATTTTATAATTTCATTTATAGAAATAAATAGAAATAAAAATTAAATAAAAATTGCATTTTTCTTGAGATTCCAGTGCGAAATAATTTTGTCAGAATTTTCTGGAATTTTTATCTGAATACGCATTTCCGCGTGGTGAAAGATTGGGATTTGTTTAAACGTCCAACAATTTTTGAATAAATTCTGAAGCCTCCGCACTTCCTTTGAGATAATAAATCTGAAATTTTATCCTGACGTTTGCAAGAGTCAAAGTCCTCCGTTTGTCTCCATCAGTATTTTTTCTGCATCTGTTTCGGTGGAAACCTTGATGAATAATAGCAGATTGATCGTAACGGTGGAATGAGTCAGGAGATAAAAAGTAATCAAATGCGGGAGCTGGAATGAAAAAAATTATGGGTGTCGTTGCGGGTAATCTCAACTGTCATAAAAATATTGAGAATAATACACTCGGTTTACATAGACTGGCGTTGATTCACTATCAGGCCGCTATTATTTTTAAACTGAGCATTTGTTTATTCAGAAATATTCCCCAGGAAAGCGATGAAACGAAATTCGTCAAATGACAACGAAAAATTCGCGAAAAAAATCAGTACCAAACAGCAAACGAAATTGAATCAGCAATTCAATTTTTTTTATCAGAATTCCAGCCAATGAAATTCATCACATTTGATTTCATCATTCACACCTTCAACACGGTTTTCCCACTGATAAATTATTGATAATTTTTTATTGCACTTTATTCATTTTGATAATTTTTAAGTTCAAACTTCACTTACCGACAAAATATTCTAGAGTTACACGTAATTACCGTACGTTCACCTGTCGATCGAACAACTTCGATTTTCATCAACTTCATCGATTTTAGCACACGCAATTTATTTGCAATATCTCGAAATTTATTTAAATCCATCAGATTTTTGTCGTCTTATCGCGAGACATCGAAGTGTCAAAAAGGAATGATTGCCGGAAGATTAGACGAATGGATAAAAACAAAAAAAAATTAATTGAACTTTGCTCGCTAGACGATTTTTCAATGATTATTGAATATGTCCCTCTCCATCGAGTCATTCTGAAAATGCTGACAGTATTTAGTGCTGTCGCCACAGAGTCCGTTATCAAACTGTTATCAATCAAATAGTTTTCGGTGTTTCTGCTCCAATTACCCAACACTGAGTCAAAAATTTTGCGCTTTTTATGATATTTTGTTCACCGACAAAAAATATTATTCGTATCAATTGAATTGACCAGAGACGAACGAATTTTGTTTGAAATTCGAATTAATTACAGAATTTTTTACAATTCGAATAATTTTACGTTGAGTTCTTCGGTATTTACTTGTCCTGTATATTTTTTATTACCGATAAATAATTTTTTTTAGGATAATTCAGTTTTTTGCCGTCGAGATGTAAATGTATGAGGATTAATACACCTCTATCAGTATTCGATGACTAATGAACAATTGTGACAGAAGGAAAATCCAGGAAGTCCGATGAATCCGCGAACCTAGAATCTCGCGCTTTAATTACGGCAATTAGTATCATTCGAAGAACATGTGCAATCAGTAGTGAGTGAATTTGCAGTGTAAACAGAGTAATGGATCAATCAAACATTTGTTATGAAAAAGTCTTGTACTCAGTGAAAGAAAAAAAAACTTTTGCCAAGTAAATTTAATCTTGCGAATTTTACAAATCGAAAAAAAAGTGTTAACTCACGGAATTGGAATTGATGTGGAAATAATCAGTACCATAAAATTGATTAGATTGATCGATTCTTTTGTAATGATGATGAATTATCCAGTGAACTTTGAACAATTAGTGAAACCAGTGAAAATTCGGTTGATGATTTTCCGCGATTCTCAAACTATTCCAATTGTTTACTTTAATAAACAATAAATTGCATGAACTCTGAGGGAATTGAAAAAACATAAACGGACAAGAAACCTCAACACAAAAAAGTTAATTTGCTGAATTATTTTTTTTATGAACAATTGATTTGATAATTCAGGAAAAAAGTTATTATTCTTTCTACTGCTCTGAGTAAATGAAGTGTTTCCTCTCATCTCGCACAATTGGATAATTCTGGGTAAATCTAAAAGTCTGGAAAAATGGATCGTAATGAAGATCTGGTTTTGACCGAACTACCACATCGTAAAAATATAAATACGTGAGTGAAATTTTAACATTCCAAACGATCCTCTCCGCTCCTCCGTGAGTTTTCCAGAAATATCTCCAAAACCGAATGAAATAATGAAATTCTCGTTAAAATGATTTCTCCAGAGCTAATTGAGTCGCACAAAAAAGGTCATTACAAAGATTTCACTATCTCCTTCAGTTTCAGAGATATCTCTGCTTCGCCGCTGAATTACTACCTGAACTTTTAAAAAATACTTTACGAACTAGTTAAAATCAATTGCGCTGGTCAGATAATGACTCTGAAAAATTCATAACAGCTATTGAAGGCGAATGCAAATGAATTTTCTGTGATTCATACTCAATGATTCATAATTGCATTGAATTAATTTCATATTCGAAAATGCCCCTGGACTCCAATCGAAGTCTACATAATTTATTAAATCTCCTAATGTAAGATTACAAAAAAAATTACCGCCGCCTTTGAAATTCAAATAATATGCGTTCCAATGGCGCCAAATGCATCAGATAATTCAGAGGGAATAATCTGATCTGGGATTATCTGAAGACATTTTTGAGAAATGACTGGGTCAGCGATTTTTCAAAGTCGCGGATTTATTTTTTTTTCATTCACTTCGAAGTTCGAAGGTCAAGTGGATTTATGAGTGAACTGAGTCATAACAGTAATGGAAGACAGCCAAAAACGATTGGATGTCAAAGAGATGTCGACTCATTACACCAATGAAGTGCATTTCATTGTTATCTCTCAACGATGAAAATTTTGTCATCAATATTTTCAATAGAAACCCTGGGACAATTCAGTTTATCACGAGTGTCACTCTGAGGAGAGTTTTCTACATTTTCATGTGACAATGTCTGATCTGGATGCCCTCGTTGTCTCAGGGTTAGGACCGCCTGAGTCCATACAAACCTCGCTGTAAGGATAATAATAAATAAAAATTGAACATTTGTGTATTTAGGGGACTCAGCAAGGAAGTTAATTCCCTTTTCTTCGGGTTTTAATGATTTTATTGTTGATTATTGCAGTGAACTACCGTCGAAGAAGATGGGGGTCTCCAAGGTGAAGGTTGGAATAATTTTTGCAGTGGCAATTGTTGCTATTGCTGCAGGAATTGCAATGGGAATGTTGTGGAGTTCAATTTTCGATGGAATTCTCTCTCGTGTGAGTAATATCCCCGAAATTAAAAGAAAACCTCTACTTTTGAGGAAAAAAAAATATTGTTTTACTCCACCAACAATTTAATGACTCATTACTGTATTTATTTGAGATTATTGAATGTTCTGACAACAGCAATTGATTCTGTCTCCGACGTCGAAGAGTTTCTCGATATGGAAGGAGACACCGATTCCTATGTATCTGAAGATTTATTTATTCCACTGGACAAATCCCCAGCTAATACGAAAAGAAAAGCCACACTTCATTGAAAAGGGCCCCTACGTTTTCAAGTAAATACAAAATATTTCAAATATCTCAAAAAATGAAAGAAAAATAGCAATTCGAAATTTCACAATTTTTTATTTTTCACAGGGAAATTGATTATAAAGTCAATAGAACTTGGAATGACAATGGCACTTTAACATTCTATCAAAGGAGAATCTGGCATTTTCTACCAGAAGAGTCGAATGGTACACTTGATGATCAAATTGTCAATCTGAATCCAATAGCAGCCGTAAGTTCTCCAGAACATTGATCCCAATTTTGTAGAAATAGATATAGTCGATTATTCGGCAATATAGATTTTATCTCTAGAGACTCAGTAATTTCAATTTTTTTTTTCACAGACACTCGCCTACAAAGTCAGGTACAAAAGACGTTTTATGCAGCTCTTAGTGAGTGGTATCTTGGAGGGTCTCCACGAGGGTCTAACAGTCACAAAAACCGTTCGTGAATTACTATTCGATGGTTACGAAGACGATTTAATCAACTTTGCAAAGAAATACGACATTCCAGGGATTCCTTGGGATAAATTCGGCTGGTTTTACGGTAGAAATGGCTCAGAGACATACGATGGAATCTTCAACATGAACACTGGTGCCAACAACATGAAAGAGATAGGAATCCTCCACGAGTGGAACCACAGCGACAAATCGAAGATATACACCGGAAAATGTGGCCAGATAAACGGGACTCTGGGTGATCTGTGGCCCCCAGTGAGGGATTACGAGGATGTATCAGTATTTGCTCCAGATGTTTGCACACTTGTGCCACTGAAGGACAACGGCCACGTAAATTATGATGGACTGGAGGGCAAACAGTTCATAGCGACACCACAGACCTTCGACAATGGCAGTAAAGTGGAATCACGAGGTTGTTACTGCAAGGATATTGAGTGCCAGCCATCGGGAACACTCAACGTCTCAACCTGCAAATTTGGAGCTCCAGCATTCATCAGCCTCCCACATTTTCATCTAGCTGATGAGAGTTATCTCAATGCTATCGATGGATTGAAGCCAGCTAACGATGGATCTCACGATTTCTCGATCCTCGTCCAGCCAGATCTAGGGATTCCCCTGCAAGTCAAAGCTCGTCTCCAGCTTAATCTACTGATCCAGCCAATGGAGCACATCGGGCTGTTTGCCAATGTACCAAAGGTATTTATTCCCATGCTCTGGTTCAGGCAGGAGGCTGATCTCTCGTCAGACCTCGGATCTCAATTAAAATTCGTTCTCATTCTTCCAACCCTGGGGCACGTGACCTTTTTCGGCATCGCTGGTCTTGGTCTTCTTATTTTCTTTATTGGTGGAGTTGTCTGCATCCGAGGACGCAGGAAAGCAGAGGACAATCAGAGATTGATCGCAAGAGCTGAGACCAATGGGTCTAATAGGACTGAAGGATGATTGTTGATTCGTAAGAGAATAAAACGAAAGAGTCAATTATATTTTTTTAACGCCAGGAGGAACTGCCGGATTCGCAATGTTTATTCACGAGTTGAACAGTCTTCCTATTTTTTCGGATTTTTCAATGTAAATAATGGAAATGGAGGGCCGGATGTGTGTCATGGGACTGAGCTCAAGGGGCAGGAGGAGAATCGTGATAAACAAGTGCCTCAAGGGTTCGTCGTGTTGGGGGAAAGTTCGGTAGAAATATTTTCAGTGCCCTATTAGGGTTTCGTGGTCTTTTCGGACCTTGATTGGTGAATTCAATCATCAAGTTTCTAAATGTATCAATTGGATACTTTATAACTCGTTGAAAATGTTGAGAACATTTTGATTAGAGTCATGAGGGAGTGATTAATGTATTCATTAATTAACTATCCTCTCGTTCGAATCCATCGTTTCATGACTATTTGACACGTAAAGATATGACAAATCGTTATATTGAAATGATCGTGTTAAATAGTCGTGCCATCGATTTTTTTTTCTTATGAGAGTAATTCACCGCTGGCAATCGTTCGAATGTGCCTGTAATTGTAATTAAGTACATCGTTCAAAATCGTTCGCGAACATCGATCCATATGTTCGCGATTAATTAGTACTAACTACTATTTTAATTGTCACACTATCAGATATACTGGCTGGTAGACGAATTGTGATACCAAAATGCAATCTTTCAATTAAATGAAAGACCCCTTGGTACTTATTCACCGAGAGCATCATTACTGATATTAAATAAAAAGAAGTATAAATTTTAAAGTAGGAGATGTGTACCCGCTTTATGATATCCATAGTTAATAGCCAAAACGTAAAATAATGAAGTCACAGAAATTGTATAGATCGTGTAATTACAGCGAAAACATTTTTACAGCTTTAGACAATAGCTTTATCTTGACAGGCTTCATCTCGAATTCCTCGTTGTCTATTGAGAAATATTGTTGCTTGTCACTCTGAAATAAATAACATAAAGATTTTTTATTAACGAAATCTCTTCTACACAAGAGAAAATGGATAGACAAAAATTCATTTCAAATAAATCCTGTCCTCTGAAATTAATTCAACTAAGTGAATAAGATTGTTATTTAACTTGTACTCACGGAGTCGTCTCCAGTGTTGGGCAAGAGTTCGATATCTTTGGCCTCTACTATTTTATTTATAAGTGTTTTTTCCCCTTTTATTCTTCTCCAGCCTTCGCTAACGAAATCTGTGTAACTAACGTACTCTGGACCTTCAAACGTAAAAAAAAATAATTAATGAAATCGATAATTTCGAAGTTGTATGTAAATTTTCCTACGGATGTCAACCAAATATTGTTATGTACATTATTATTACCTAAATGTAATTTGACAGACGGTGGGCCTTCCTTAACCGGATTCTTAACGTTACTAGTTATTAAACTGATTTCTGTTGCATTAATGGGTATTTCATTGTACTGTCCACACTTATCATTCTGAACTTTACTGTAATCGATTTCATTTTTGGCGTACGCTGTTCTTCGTGGAATGAATACGTGCCACCACCTTTTTTCAATCCTCTCGATGCTGTGATTGTCATCATAACACGTGGAGCAACCACTGCAGGGCTCGGAGTACCTTAGGGTACCATTTATCTCCCAATTTACGTCTTTTTTTATTCCATTGAAGATGTATGTCATATATCTGAAAGTACAGCACAAAGTTTCGTGAGAATGAAATGAATCATTTGAATACCTCATTAACTAATACTCAAGAATTAATTTAATACCTTCTGAGAGACCCCCAATACCAGTATTTATCTTTCCGAGCATGAGCATCCCTCCAGGCACCCCATTCTACAGCTCCAACAGCATAAATTGGTCTTATTACATTTTCAGGATCATTCTAATAAACAAAAAGTATTTGAAATATCAATAATAATTAATTGATTAATAGTTTATCGATATTTACATTCAGGGGTTCGACTTTCACGACGTCGACCATTTTTGTTTCTCCTTTGACAGCTGCCATCGTGGCATCGGCCATCTCATGGATGATCCTGTGATTCTCGTACCCTCTGAGGAACATTGTGTCAGCTATTCTGTTTGTTTCCCCCAGGGGAAGAATCCCGATGGGACACTGCTTAGCATACGCTCTGTTCCCCTCGTACTTTCTCATCAGACCTGTCACCACATCCAGAAGAGTACCATCTCCACCTGCTACTAGTATAGCATCCGTTGCAGTATTCATGTTTTCTATCAGGGAACGAGCATGACCTTCTTGTTCTGTCTGGATAATTGTCACTGCAATGCCAGCTAAGTGGAGCAGAGGCTCGCAGTATTTTTCGAATAATTTTTTCGCCTTTCTAAGCGATGAAAATATTAAAAATTCAGTAATATATCATTTTATTATCATAGGTGAAAAATAAATTACTCTAATATAGAATTCCCTGAAACTAGATTCCTTGGGGATATAAAATAATAGAAAAAAAACTCGATGTCTCGATGTCTCGATGGAATTTTGAAAAATAATTGTGAAAAAATCGAAAATTAATAATTGAATGCTATCAGTCATTATTGATTACCGTTTTTTAGCTGTTGGATTCAAAATAATGGTAATATGTCTAGGTTTACGTGCAGGAGGGAGTGGTTCATTTCCAAATTTGACCGCCTCCTCGCAATAAGCTCTCATTAATAAATTTGTTCTGCAAGAAATAGAAAATCAATGAATAATTTCGGATTAACCCAGAGTAGAGGTTATTCCATCACCCAAAAGGTAAAAAATCACTCACTGATAAACATCAAGTCCATAAGAAGTGCCATAAGTCAGAATAGCAGCACCGAACAGCGACTTCTTCCAATTATTCCTGATATTCTTGAATAAATTGACGATTCTTGCCATTTTCAAAATTATTTACAACACATATTCCTAATGAGTAAATGTCGTTCACACACCTTTTCTTTTTTCGCGGGGAAAGTTCTTGTCTAGAAAAAACCTCTAGATCAACCGGATTTGTCGACTGGCAAACCTGATATTTAAAATTATTCTCAAGAATCGTAATTCAACAATTTCATAGACACTGCGTCAATACTTTTTATCGAATTACACATTTGAAATAGATTCGAAATTGAATCGAATGAATCTCTCGTCTTCATCTTCATCATTCGAATTCTAACACTTTATGCAATCAAATGTTGAAAATGGAAACGGTTGCCCAACCTGTCCCTCGATCTCAGCTATTTTCATATGTATTATACTGTTATCGCATGTCCCAGCATGTGAAAATCCTAATTATTAAGAAAAAAAACAGTGAATAATGCCGACTCGTGGAATTCTGCAATTACCCTGACATCGTGATGCATCCACCCATTCAATACATCATCAACAGCATCTTCCTGACAGTTTGATAATATCTTGGATATTCAAGTCATCTGATTGCCGAACAGCCAATTCCATAAGAGAATGGGAAGTGCTTCGGTACACGAAAAAATAAATCTAAATAAGATAGTCAATTCTCGCATTACCAGGTGCAACGAATAGGAATGGTATCACCAACAAAGGTCCAGAGTCAGAAGCAAAATTCATTGTCCAAGGACAAAAAGCGAGACAATAAATCCCGTGAGTCAGTCCCATCTCTTCTCAAAATTATTTCCACAATTGTTTACTGTCGGCCCTTATTATTGCAATATTGCAATATTATGCAACCACTGCCTTACATAATCCCGAGAAAATTGAATCGAGTGCCATAAAATCTCGGTAATAATTGAGAGAAATGAGAGTGGAATTAATTTATTTTCAGATATTCGTTTGCAAAAGGGGAATAAACCGCTGGGCGGTAAAACGTATTATCTCGACATTAAGAATCATGGAATTGCCAGCAAACTAGAAGCAAAGATAAAGGATCTGGGAGGGGTGAGTCACCAATGCTGATTTTATTGATTTTAATTAAAGCATCTCTGGAATATTCGGTCAGTGTGTAACCGAATTCAGCCCTCCCCCATTCTAGATATATACTACATGCTATAAACTCATCTCCCGCCAATTTCCAATTTGCTATAGTCTAAATACTCTTTCATTCACCTAAAACCTCGAAAACTCTTCACCATTCATACAAGTCACAGGAATGCTTTCTTTTCCATTGACCCATTTATCTACTCATTTTTTTAATCCAATTAGTATCTTATTAAATTTATTTTTCAATTTACGAGAAGTCATGCCTTAATCCTGTTGACAGTGAATAAAAAATAAACAAATCGAGAAGTAAAAGAGAGAATAAAAAAGTGTAAATTTGTGGGTCGAATTGTTGGGAATTTCGGGATGGAATGGGTATCAGAGAATTCGATATAACGATATAATTGATTATATAGACGCTATATTGTCCATCGGCAGCTGAATTTTTTTTTTCTGATCCCAAGAGGGTCAGAGGATGAAAATGCGCCATCTTAAGGCAGTGATCGGAAGTATTGTTAACTAGCAATTCGTTATCTGCCCAAGGTGCTTTTCAAACAAACTCCATTTAGAGTAATAAACAAATATCAATGGGTAGAGGTGAAAAAATTGCGTGAATACGTTAATTATTATGGAGTATTTCAGTTAAATAACGTTGATGAAGTAGAAGCGCCGCCTCCAGGATTAACTAGCAAGCTGTTAACGGCGAATGGCCATTTTGTGCGTGACAGCTCAATGGGACAGAAGAGACACTTTAGCATTTTTTTTTCTGTTACGAGAATAATTGATACATGATAAAATCAATCTGCACGATGACTACCCCGATAATTTCTCGTGAATCTTGAGGACATGAATTATGATAATGAAGTGTTATGAATTCAATGTTTCATTGGTAAAAATGAGTAACGTATGACAAAGGCGTCGGCTGACCCGATGATAATAATGCTCAGCCAAAGTGTATGTTTTGTGGGGAATGTTGGTTGGGATTTAGTGTTACATGTTTGACATTATCGTTATTTGCCAATATCGCATTCGTCACTCCCTTGGTTCAGCTTGCTCGACAAATTCTTAGCCTGTAAGTGGTTATTTTCAAAATCACCAGCACAACTCGACTCCGTTTTTTCCATATTATTCTCTCATGCATTTTTTTTGTTTTTTTTTTTTGTGTAAACAGCGAAGAAGGAGCTGTTCGTTGGAATTGTTTCAATGAGTCAAGTGGGGTTTATTAATAAATCGGTAATTAATGCTGATGAATTTGTTACTTGCAGGCGGTTGAATTATTCCTGGTTAAAAGTGTGACACTCGTTGTGAGTGATAGAGCGGGAAAATCAGATCAGACACATTGTGATAGAGGAAAATGGGGTTACGCCAGTGGAGGGAGCGGGGGACCTCCCTCGATGAGGAGTACAGAGGTCCCAACACCAACTCGGACGTCTCCAACGCCGTCCTTCAACGGTGAATGTCCCCTCTCAAATTCAACCAATACAAGGGCTCAAACTGCCCACAGAACCGTGAGTTATCCTCATTATTATTACCAAGAAAATGTCTACGTTCTGTTCATTTATTATTTGAAAATATTTCACGTTCTTCCCACCAATCTGTCACTAAAACCAGTGACTCCCATTGAAATCAATTATCCTGTCATGGATGTCATTTTCCAAGCTGTCAAATTAATTTTCACCTCGAACTATAACCAGATGATATTTTTATCAGAACGTCGGTCCTTTTTGTGGATATGAAATATATAATAAATATTTGTAATAAATTTATAATGGAATTTTTATGGACCAGAAATCGCGAGTGGATGCAATGTTGGAACGTGCCCTGACACAGCCGCAAAAGTGTTCAGTAGATCCTCTCGATAACGCTCACAGCTGGGGCATACCAATCTGGACTACCGTGAGTTTTCAAATTTGGCTGGACAAGATATACTCATCGCTGAGAGACAACGCCAATCTGAAGTGCATTAGACGGAATAGTTCTGCTGATAAGGACATTAAAGTCAAAGAGTTTGACAAGTCGTATATAAAGTTTGAGTCGTTCAAGAGGGACACGAGACCTGTTTTTCTCGAGTTGTCTGTGTGGCCTACTCTTAATTTGGAGGGTGAACCTGGCACTTGTCCCTTCGACAGGAAGAAAAAGGAGGAGGAAGTCAAGGTAGAGAAAAAGGAGAAGTCTGATTCAAAACGAGACATGACACGTAGATCACGCGCTACGGCAACTAGAGCCAGAAGGTCCGAGCAATTGGTCGCTGGTTATTGTGAAATATGCCGAATTGATTACCGAGATCTCAATAAACACGTGCAGAGTGACAAACATCTTGCTTTCGTTCGTAATGACGATAATTTTCTGTCGCTCGATACACTCATTAATTCGGGCGCCAGTGTCGAGGCTTTTCTCAAACTCAATCAGACTGACGATGTCGGGTTAGTATTCGGATTGTCATTATAAATATTTACATTGTCTCGGTTAAATCGATGAAACTCAATAAATGATACTAATATTTTGATTTTGTTGTTTGTCGCAGGCAGGATTTATTCACCAATGGAACTGATAAACTTCATGGCGTTGTAATACACAGCGAAAAATCGGACAAAAAAGTGAAATCAGCGATCAACGATTATCACGTTGATGAACTAAAAATGGTGCAGTGTAATGGTGCAAGACGTAAGCTCAATATTAAATTGAGTTCACCTCATAATTTACGTGCGCGTACTAAACACGAGAGTGGACATTTACTGCGTTCCAAAGGTAGTCCACGACATGAGGTTGAAAAATCGGACAAATTTTACGACAAGTTCGATGGTTTCACCATCAAAAAGCGAGCTAAAGGCACAATATGGATTGAGGAGGACGATCCACCGGATGTTAAAAACTGTGTGAATGTCAAAACTGACTCCAAAAATCCAATTGTCGAGGATAAAATTCCCCTAAGTGAGTTGAATGATGCAAGGCCCATGAAGAGTAAAGAAAGTCGTACCCCGAATGACAAAAAATCCCAATTACTGAGAGTAGATGACCGCAAGGAGAAGAAATGTGTGCCCTTGGAGAATGGACAGGATAGAGCACCAGCAAATGAATCATTGGAAACAAAAGCTCTCAACGGTGACTCGAGATTGGGTGCAGAGCCTGAGGAAAAATCACAAGGAAAGTGCCAATTTCTTAATGGTTCTGTAAAAGCTCTATCAACTTGTCCCGATCTAAATAATAAACTCGACCAAAAGAACGAGGACAATGAAGAAGACGAAATAAGTGAGAGTGAGGTTGAGGTGACAGACTGTAATCAATTGAAACTCGGTGATAAAAATCAACGAATCGTGAGAATCTCAGAGAGTGAAAAACAGGAGAACAGAGAGGAAAAAATTAAACCGAAACAGACGAAACGTGGAATGAGATCAACGAGAACACGTCCGAGACTATCAGTTGAGGAACGTCTGATCGAGGATAATCGTGCGTATTACAAGGTTGAGGTACTGGGAAACAAGTTGAGATCGAGTACATCTCAGTGCGGTACAGCACCTAGTGCACCGAGTACTATTAAAGAATTAAAAGAAGCTGAACAAGTTAAAGAGCCGGAACACATTGAAGAGACAATAAAGAAAGAGAATGAGCCTTCCAGCGAAAAACCAGTAGTTGTGCGATTCAAAAGGGTACGAAAATCAGAGTTATCACTTCTGAGTGATGAAGCCGAATCATTCATGTTCGGTGATTCGAGAAGAGATGACTCGACAGATGCCAGTGATACAGCTGAAGATGGAAGCAATAGTAGTATATTACCTGGGGATACTGAGAGCGATTGTGATCGCAGAAATTCATCAAGTATCGTTTCATCACCGACGAATAACACTCCTGTTAAACAAGAGTCTATTCTCATGGACGATGATTCTCAGGACTCTGTGTACATGGGACGTGCCAGGAAGAGAAGACGCACCCAGACAGAGGCGTTGATAAAGGATAATACGGACTATTACAAATTCGAGACACCTGGTAGCAGATTGAGGTTTCAAGTCTCACCAACTGCTGTTAAGCATGAAATATCCAGTGATATCGCGAAAGTTTTGGATAATGATGGATCCCCCAAAGTTAGCTCCCCTAAACTCCAATCAGACACTGATAATAGAGACAATAATGGGGACAAGAGTGATAGTGTAAATTGTGAAAAACTTTATCCGTCCAAGCCTTCAGCTGAAGTTGAAAAAATGAAATTTTCTTTTGAATCTGTACCGAAATCTGAGCCGTGGTATCAAACTTATCAGCGTCAGGATGAGGGGGCCGAGTTTTGGCATTATTCAAGTGAATCTGACTGGAGGAAGCCCTTCCTTTTACCCTATGAGATTGAAAATTTCCACGAGAATCTACTCAAACTCTGCCAGAAAAATGATGCCAGGAAGAAAGCCAAGGCTGCAAAAATCGGGCCCAATTCATCTGGTAGATCACCGAGGAAGAGCCCGAGATGTCATGCCTCGACTTTAGCGATAATGTCGACGATAATCCGGAAACGAGAGCAGCAGTCTCATTCCTCGAGTACTAGTATTGCTGATGAGGAGTCACGATCAAGAACAACAACACCCAAACCCGATAATAAATCTGATAAATCCGATAAGCCCAGTACTGATCTTGAAATTCATAAAATAGCTAAGAGCATAGATGACATGCTGAATGCCGATGTGGATTTTGTTGATGACTCCTTTGAGGTTGATACAATGGCAACGATCGTCGAGAATGAAAATGGTAATGAACGACACGAGTCTGAGATATTCAAAAATCCCTCATCCTCGTTGCGAATACCCGGAGCTCCAGAGAATCTCCTGGAATTGCTGGACAATTGTCATCAACACATGACTGGCATTGATAATTCGTCGTGTGCCAGTTCTGAATGTGGTGAGTTGCTGATTGAGTCGCCCTTGAAACGGCGAAAACGGAGGAAAAATCGTACCGGTTGGCCAGGAAGAATTCGTAGGAGATTGCAAGTGAAGCCAGTAATTACTCAAGATGTTGATTCTGAAAGGGAGAATCTGCCAACTCAGCCCCGTCGGCATCAAGGCACTGGCGGTGAAGAGGAGGAGGAGGAAGAGGATGAAGGAGAGGGAGAGGAGGACGAAGAGGAGGAAGAAGAGGAAGAGGGCGACGAAGATGTCAATCCGGGGAGGCATAAGATTGACAAATGCGATGAAGAAAAAACATCCAACGATGAGAATCACGAGAATGTGTTCAGGAGTGATAATAAATCATCCCCGACAAAACACATTGGGCCAAAATCGTTGAATCGAAAACGTCGAGATCCAAATCGAGAATTGGGCAGACCTTCCTCATCAGACACCCTCGACTCCAATTGTGAAATTGAAAACGAGGACTCGGGATACAGGAGGAAGGGACAGACGACGATAATATCGCGTAAAAATTACACAACTGGAAAATTATCATCAAAAGGAAAACAGTCGGAGTGTGACGAGGAGGGCAAGGATGTGACTGAGGTAGAAACAAATTCCGTTGGTGGTCAGAGTGATTCGGTGGAGTGCCCAAGAACAGAATGTGCCAATAGTAATTCTACGAAGGGTATTAAGAAGTCGACGACAAAGACACGAACACGTCAGCGTAAAAGTACATCGGGAGAGACGGCGTTTGATAGTGAAAGTTGTAAAAAGGAGTCGTTGGATTCTGATCCTGTGGAGGGCCCACTCTCCGAAAGAATAAGTCCAGTTCCTCAACAAGCTGGGGAGATGCAGCACAGACGTTCGAGCATTGAATTTCAGCCTGTTGTCAGGGTGATGAAAATCGACGATCAAGTCGATATGGATCACAGTATTCTCTCAGTAACGGTCGCGAGTAATCGTCGATTGAGAAGCTCCAGTTCTCCAAGATCGCGTAATTCACCACCAGCTAAGCGATACAAAAGATCGAGGGGGCCATTTGGTAGATGGATGAAAGACAGTTGAGAGAATTGTATGAAATCAGGGGTTTTAATCAAGGAACCGGTGTAAAAAAAATTAATTGAATTACATTTTCAGTAATTTTCTGTGAATATTGAACATTTAATCTTCATTAGATCATTAAATATCATTAACGTTTAATGTACAAAGTGAGCAGATCCGTATTTGTCTTATGTACTTGAGTATTTAACGTCCTTTCACATTGTAAAATTCTCGATTGTATTATTACCATTATCACTATTATTATCGCTATTATTGCAACATTATTATTATGATTATTAATATCATTATTGTCGTCATTGGTATGTTTTTTTTCTAGACGAGAGACAAGTTGAGTTGAAATTGATCTTGGAATGTTTTAATTTCTCCTTCAAATTGTATATAATTTTTTTTTATCTACCTTCCTGATGCTACGGGATTGAAGACTGGATACAGCTTTACGATAGTGTTCTTTCTCCTCTCAAAAACATTTTTGCTGCCATCACTTTGTGAGGTACAAGCAGAAGGACATTAATAAAATATATCATGTTTTTTTTTATATCATGTTTTTCTGTTTATTTGTCTGTTTAAATGAAATGTGTGTACCAATTTTTTCATATTTTATAGTCAAATTAATGGTAATTTCATTGTAAAAAAGAGAAATACAGGATGAAACGTCTGAGTCAATTTAATCCCTCTCGTTCCTTGAATTCATTCTTCAATTGCAGTAATTTATTTCTCTTGCGTGTGCGATCTGCTGATTGTTTCGATAGAAGTTTGCGTTCTTGATTCTCAATTGAGAATTCACCATTCAATTTGCTGTCTAGTCTCATTACTAATATTTCACGAGCCGTTTTTTTATTGTCCCATAAACTTCTTGACTGGTGACATTTCACGACTATTCCACTCGGTTTGTGTTTTAAAACTACTGCGTTATTTGTTTTGTTAGTTGCCTGACCACCTGGACCACTTCCCCGGACATATTGCTCTTCAAGGTCATTCTCATTTAATTTAGGCACCCGAGAGAAATCCAAAAATTTCTTCAACGATTTGAAGCGCAGTTGGACTATCAAAAATCTGTTTAACATCATTTTTGTGTCAACATTAGACGACTCTTTTCTTCTTCAACAATTGCTGACCTTTCTGTAATTAAAAAATTGTCATTAGAATTTTCGTGATGATTTGTAATGACTGTAGGACTATCGACAGATTACCTCAATGTGAAACTGGATTTCATTAATGTCCACAAGTGGACGATTTTTCAAGAAATCCGTTCGTACTCTGTGAACAAAATATTTCTGATCCGTGAATTTTAATTGTTGACTGTATCTCAGAAGATCTTTATACAATTTCAAAGCTTCAGCTCTCATTTTATCTCGCAAAACTGATGACTGACATGCGGCCCAATCGTTTCCACTTTTAATTCATTTCAATTTGCTATTCTCTCCAAATTTTTTTCCACACCAAATGATACACCAAACACGAGTGTTTTTTAATGAGAAGAAAGTGACATCTGCGGGTAACGGAGAGAACAAAGCTAGTTAAACACATGCTTCTAATTTCTAATATTATCTAAAAAAGTTACTCGATAGTGGTTGTACTGTATAAACAATAAATATATTTATTGCTACAATGCAGATGCACATGGTGATAAGTTGAAATCAAAAGCGACGAATACGCGCAGTGAGCGCATGACAAGAATTCATTACTGAAACAAGTGACAATAAAAAATAGTTTATTAATAGTAAGTGTTGAATAGTGTATTTAGTCATTATTCGTTGATGGAAATTACCAGGTACAATGGGCAGTCATTCCCACAGTCTTCTCCCAGAAAATGCAATAGTCATTCTCAGCTAACAATTGCATCATTAACACCCAATTTTTTATGATTGCACGGGTCAAAGTGTAAATTCTACTTTTAACTGAATATAACAGGAGAAGGGACCCATTATAAATATCATCATCAGGTATATATCCGGTATTTGCCTATAACATTTTGACGAAAAACAATTATGAAGATGGGGAGATTAGTGGCCATCAGAAAGATTGGATTTCGTCTGACTAGATTGCAGAGAAACATGGCTACAGCAGAGGCAGTTATTCAAGAGAAAAAATTCAAAGAAGTGGAGATCGAGGTACCGTGGGGTAAAATTGCAGGTAATGGTATTCCATTTTATGATCAGTCTTTTCCTTTTTGAATTCATCATGTGCTCGTCATTTTACCTCAACCCCCACATGCTCTTCAATATTGAAAAATTCTCCAGGTAAACATTGGGGTCCACCAGATGTTGAACCCATAGTAGCTCTTCACGGATGGCAGGACAACGCCGGCTCCTTCGATAACCTCATCAAATATTTACCAAATAACCTGAGTATTCTAGCAGTTGATGCACCAGGTCACGGATACTCTAGTTGGTTACCAAAAGGGACTATGTATACCCCATTAATGTACATCCAAGTGATTCAACGGGTGAAACAACACTACAAGATGGATAAAATCGGACTGATCGCACACTCAATGGGGGCGATGTGGTGTTTCAGTTACGCCGTCTTTGCACCTCAAGATATTAAATTCGTAATTGCCTTGGATTATTTCAAGTTCCCGGAGTTGCCACCAGAAAAATTCCTATCCTACTTTTTCGAAGATTGGAACAGATTTTTTCGCCTCGACCAACTGACAAACCCACCCCCAAGACACTCAGAAGCAGAAGCAATTAGTCGGTACATCAAGGCAACCAATAATTCTCTGGATGAGGAGATGTGCAGAATATTGTTCGAGAGAGGCACAACAAAACATCCGGATGGAACAGTGTCATTCAATCGAGACCCGTACGTTCAATGTGTCTTTGACCCTGGACTCAATAATGAACAGATGGTAGCCATGGCAAAGCGTCTAACGTGTCCCTACTACGTCATCAAAGGCGAAAGTTCGCGTTACAAGGAGAAAAAAGAATTGTATTTCGAAGTCCTCAAAGTCCTGGAAACTACATCCTCCGATTTCATGTTCCGTACTGTTCCTGGCACGCATCATTTCCACATGAAAAATACGAGTCATTTAGCCGATTTAATCAATCCTTTTATCCAACAACATATATAATTGATGATCAAAGCACAAACTCTGCGAATGCTGCAGCCCAGACCTATATGTTTTTTGAAAATTATATTTTAATAAAATTGAGGAGTGAAATAAATCAGAAAATAATATAATATTATATTAATAAAAGCATTTCAACAAATAGTGCGGCAACACCAGGAAGTTGTGGCCAGGAATTTATTATTGTTTTTCCTCGTTCGTTGGTGGGAGATTTTCACAATTTTTCCCCCCAGTACAGAATGAGAGATCCAAGCGGAGCAATTTGGAAAAAAAAGACGTGACGTAAGCTAGTAAACTTGAGCCGACAACAACTTGAACTGTGCACAAGTGAATTGTAGCTGGGATTAAGCGGTATTGAGGGATTACAGTGGCGTGATTGGTTTCCTGGGCTACGACTGGCCAGCAAAAGTACACGTTTACACCCGTTTCCACTGGTTTCAACTCCAATTTCAAATTATCCCCATCCACCACCCAGCGGTATCATCCGAACAAGAGTCATTATCATCGTACCCATTAACTCGAAATATATGAATCAAACAATAATCACCGTAATTCACAGAAAGATTGTGTATCCACTTTGTATATTGTTCTAGTTCTGTTGTTGAGTTGCGCCGTCAAAGACGTGTCTTCGTCAATTCGTGATTGGTGATTCGTGATTAGTTGGACTAGACTCAGTTTATTGAGAGATCATCGTATGTGTCTGTACACGCTTGCGTACATTTATTATTCGAAAAGCTCAGTTGTTGGATTAAAGTTGACGCTATAATCGACCACGCACTTTGCACACTCGCCAAATAATCATCGGTCAAAGGACGTATTTGATTAAGTTAATATGATTCGTCCCTATTCGACATTGTGAAAATATCTTTTGAAAAGATAATACGAAATAGTACTCTGGGAGACGTCAGTCTCGATATTTTTTAAATTCGGTTTTACCATCGAGTTTGGAGTTGTTTTTTTCATAATACCTTGTGGAAATTATTTCGTGGCGTCATTGGTCTGTGAATTACACTGAATTGACACTTGTTTTTTCGACGTCTCAAAATGAGCACCGAGATGCATTACACACCACCAACATCGGATACTATCCAGACTAAACCATTTCCCATAAGAGGTGATTATTATTATTCAGCTACTGAGAATAAAATGTCTGAGAATTCCTGATGAACAACACGACGAAGTGATCGGTAGTCCTTGAATTATCAGAGGGATAAATATTTAAATAATAGACGTCAATTGATAAGAATTACTTCTACTTACTCAAGCTTACTCAAACAGAGATGGATTTTTTTTAATGAGAAAATTCTTCTGGTATTGGTATCACTAATCTCTCCTTGAACCTCTCTCTAACCTCTTCGTTATTCTAATCTTCGATTATGAATGAATTCCCAGCATGCGGATAGTATGGAAATAATATAGTGGATGTCTTTTACTTTTCAGGTGAACGTGCGAATTTTGTAAATAAACCGCATGTTATAGCAATGGTGGGACTGCCTGCACGGGGAAAGACGTACATTTCCAAAAAGCTGTGCAGATACCTCAATTGGATTGGAATAAATACAAAAGTATTTAATCTGGGGGAGTACAGGAGGCATGCAACAACAGCATATCAATGTCACGAATTCTTTCGTCCTGACAATATCAAGGCCATGGCCATAAGAACCCAATGTGCTGTGGATGCACTGAATGATGTCTGTCATTGGCTTGAGAGTGGTGATGGTGAAGTAGCTGTTTTTGATGCCACCAATTCGACGATTGAGCGCCGACAAATGATTCACAATATTGTCGTTGAAAAAATGGGATTTAAACTATTTTTCGTTGAATCTGTATGTGACGATCCGGAAATAGTAGAGCAGAACATAATGGAGGTGAATAAACAATCTCATATTATTGTCTGTAATATTGTTTTATAATAATTCATTGTCTCTGGTATTTCTTGTTAACAGGTAAAAGTGAGTAGTCCTGACTATGCTGATATGAACAAAGAGGAGGTGTTGGCAGATTTCATCAAGAGAATTGAGCATTATCAAGAGAAGTATCAGCCTCTCGATGAGAGTAAAGAGAGTGAATTGTCGTTCATGAAGATTTATAATACAGGAGAGAAAGTACTTGTGTATAAACACGAGGGGCATATACAAAGCAGAATAGTCTATTACTTAATGAATATACATATTGTGCCACGAACAATTTATTTAACGAGACATGGTGAGAGTGTTATGAATCTTGAAGGGAGAATTGGGGGTGATTCTGATTTGAGTGAACGGGGAAAATTGTATGGGAAGGCATTGGCACAGTATATTGATGAGCAGGATATACAGGGATTGAGGGTATGGACGAGTTGGTTGAAAAGAACTATTCAAACAGCAGCTGACGTTAATGCACCACAAGAGAGGTGGAAGGCTCTCAATGAAATCGATGCTGTGAGTATCATCTTCACGTCTTCTGTTAAATTAATGATATTGATAAATTAATTGATGATTAATTATTATCTAATTAGGGTATCTGCGAAGAAATGACGTACGAGGAAATATCCAGCAAATATCCAACGGATTTTGCAGCAAGGGACCAAAATAAATTTTCATATCGTTATCCAAGAGGAGAAAGTTACGAGGATTTAGTTGCAAGACTTGAGCCAGTGATAATGGAATTGGAGAGACAAGGAAATGTTCTTGTCGTAACACATCAGGCTGTACTTCGATGTCTCCTTGCCTATTTTCTCGATAAAAGTGCAGGTAGTGATAAAATTGATTAAATTATTATTGATCCATAACTCAAACACGTGGCACATAGATTAAACTTTTGTCGTATTCTTTTGATAGTCACACTGAAATTTACAGATGAACTGCCATATTTGCAAGTACCTCTGCACACTATTATGAAATTAACACCAGTGGCGTATGGCTGTAAAGTCGAACGAATTCGATTGCCCATCGATGCAGTGGATACACATCGACCAAAACCAAAGGTAGAGGCTAATCATACTGAATTAGACAGTCATTGTGTTGTTTAATTATCGTTTCTTTTTAATTCTCTTTATCTTTGTTCACTCAGTTGTTACTCAGGAAGAGAAAAATAAGCGGATGATTATAATGAGAATTAGCTCAGCAAATCTACTCCACACGTTCTAATAAAATAATCATGCCCTCACCCTCTCCATAGAATATCTGCAGATGTAGTCTTCTGCTTCGTCTAATACTTTTATCCATTTATGATATTTGCTTGTAATCTCCTCAATTCAACGTTATCTCTCTCGCTCTCTCCTCTGTCTATTGATCTTATAAATTAGTGGTATGTGACACCCAAATCGCCTCACAAATAATTTCTATTATTAAAAAATACGCATGTTGTAGATCTTAGTTATTGAATGTGTAACGCATATTGTAGAAATATTTTTTTGTTCAGTGCATAATGCTGCTCCAAATATACGTTTTATTGTGTAACAGAATAATCCCTGAATTTTGCTTTAAAATTATATACTTATCATGACAGTTTTATTTTAATTCAGTTAATGAGAAAAAATGCATAACAGACTATGTAAGATAATGATTGTTGATTAATTGTGACAGTGTGGATATTGGAGTCTGTATATGGAAAATATTATTTCAGATTCCAGGCTATTTGGATGAACGATACAGGAGCAAAGGGAGAAATCTTCACATCTGATAACGATCTAATGATTCATTAAATATCCATCAATTATTTCCACTTGTTCTTTTCGTTTCTGTCTGATTATGATTGACTATTTGTTCAAGTCATATTGTTTACTAGAAAATTATAATAGGAGCATTTTGTTGAGACAGCTGGCTGTCCTTATGATGAGCTTATTAAAGTAATAGTGCCAAATTAGTTTCTATTCAATGAATGAAGTATTTTTATTGATCAGGGGATAATCGATAGTGGAATCGTCATCAAAATGTTGTAGAATAGGTTGTGATTTTCTTGTGAAATTGCGAATAATGTGATACAAGTGCTCAAGAGTGATTACGAAAATGGCTAATCCTTGTTTCAATTGTCAGTTACAATTCTTTGCTGCATTATTAATGGATGCGAGTTGGAATATCGAATTGTTTTTCCTTCACGCACTCGTATGTGCGTCTGAAATATTCATATCCAGATGAAAAAACTTCTATGAAATAAATACAGCCGCATGCGTTTTGTCTATTCGCATATTCAGGCTTTGATCCATCGATACTTTCATCTACAAATTCACCATAATATGTCACAATATTTACAATATTTACCATGTGTGTAAATAATACATGTTTATTCATTAAATTAGATTCAGTCAGAATCTTGGAAATGCTTTCTACTCTGATCCTTAATCGATGGATAAATTTCACAACTGTTGTTGCAATATTTAATAGTAATAAATATTAACATTTATCTTGAAAGAAGGAAACAGATAATTGCGAGGAGTAATAATTGGAACAATCAAATAATTATTATAAATTATAGAATAATTTCTACTCTGCGTTAATAATTCAATAAAAATCATCGCAACATCATGTCATGTTTTTCCAGTTGCATATATTTATTATTTTATTATGAAAAGGGGGGAAAGTTTCTAGGGATTTTGGGGATGCCCTCATGGCATTTACACAGACTATACTATATTATATACTTTGGTATATAAGCAGTTGGTCGCTTGGAGCGTCTAAATCAATTCAAATTTTCCAACGTACAAGAGCGGCTCCCGCGGATAAACATCACAGACGAAGAATTTTTAATGGTAATTGTTGTATAATAATAAATAAATATTGTTGAAGGCCATCATTGTGACGTACCTGAAATAGCGGAGTAATTGGGCTGTGAAAAAGGTGAGTGTATTGGATTAATTGATGAATATAAACTCAGACGTGAGGTTACGTCCTGCAAAACATGAATTATTCTGAAACCGTTGGGATTTATTCAAGTTATTCCAATATTAGGTTGAAAATCTGATAAATTGGACGAAATGAACGACTCAGGTGAGACTCTCTGGCGTTCGATGGAGTCGAGTTTCAACGAAATGGAGACATCCTCAGTGGAGGTATCTTTCAAGAGTTTAACTGGAAATTGTGATGACCTCTCAGAAACCACACAGTCAGTTGTTACTCCTAGAAAAAATGCTATGAGCGTAGAAGTGGGACTGATTGATGCACTTCGCAATTTGCAGTTGGCATCTGTAAAGAAAGTACGACAATCGAGAAATAATTTGAACTCCACGATTCCAAAGGACGAGCAGCAAACATTCCAATCTAAAACAGAACACCTAGATCTTCCAATTGACAAATGTGTTCCTGAAAAAGTCGATCAACCGAGTGTGCAATCCACAGTTGAGAATAATGCCGAAGATAGGGAGAACAGAAAGGCATTGACTGAAATCATGGATGAACTTGTCGAAGAATGTTTGCAAGTTGAACAGCTGAATGTAAAGTCTTCAATTGTATCAGAGCATAAACAAGTCGACGATTTGATCTCTGAAGCAGTCGAGGATTCACAAAAGGTGATGAACGGGGATCAATTTTCAATTCGAATGGAATCCCAAGGGCCAGTTATCAACGATAAAGTTAAACTGAAGGACCCAAAGATTGCTAAGGCCCCCCCAGTGGACCCAAAAATCGTGAACAATATGAAGAACGCAGTGAAGCCTCTATTGAAATCTCTCCGAGAGGTGAGAAAAACAACGATCGGTGTATCTCCCATGTTACAAACTAAATTGAGATGTAGAGCGACAAATAATTTACCAAGGACTCAATTATCGACGGTTAGTCAATCGAAGAAAAAAGCGGGTGAGTTGAGAGCACCGAGATCATCATCTTTGACGAAGAAGCAACCGTTGAGGAATGTTGTGGCAACTGTTGTTTCGACGAAGGAAGGCATTCAAGTCAAAGAAGAGAAGATCAGTAATTTTGGAATTCCTGTAAACATCATGACCAAGAAAAAACGGACTCAAGCGGTTCCTTTCAGCTTTGCTTCTCGAGAGAGAGATTCTCGCCAAGAGCTGAAACTACCGAAGAAATTGCCAATGAGGGACTCTGATTCAATTAATCAGCAGAGACAATTCTCGATTATTAAGTCTACAACAGAGAAAAAGATGCCATCAGTAAAGTCCCAACCAATGTCTAAATCGTTGTGGGAAGAGTCCGCGAACAAGGAGAACAGATCGATGAATTTGAATAAATCGAAGACAGTAATCGGACGTCCTAAATTATCTACTGGGGAACGTGAGAAAAAAATTGAAGACAAGCGAAATTTAATTGTACTTGAGCAACAAAAGAAGGAGAGGGTCACTGCCCCCAAGTCAAAGAAAATACCGGAGTTAAAAACTACTGCAACGTCAGTCTTCAAAATTCCAGCTCCAGTGATATCAAAGAAACCACTCTCTGTCCCTCGAAAATGATGTTTTGAGGGACCATTATAGCGAATAAATTTCAGATATTTAGATATCGATTTTCGTACAAAAATTATTTTTCTTACAGTTTATAATAACTATCCTTGTGTGAATGAATTTTTATAATTTCTGTCATAATAAAAGCCTTAAATATAATGAGAATCAGAAAATGAGAAAACAAATTTTTTTTTTCATCAAGGGGAGAAAAGCAATTTTTTTTTTACAACTTTTTTCATCAATCAATCAGAAAAAAAATCAAAAAAGGGAAAAATATAAAACATACGTTTTCGAAATTTTGAATTTATTAGGAGCTGCAGCGCCATCTCTCATGGCGTCTGTCATGTCAATTAACAAATATTTAAAAACAATTACTTTTGACCATCCGTGCAAGAATTGTAACTTTTCAACCTCCGACAATAACCATTACGATATAAATAAATCGGTGAATAATTACGCGTTCATTAATCGAGCGAATGGCTCAAAAGTGATTAATTAATAAAAATTAACAACAATGGCAACGACGAACGAATTCGGACCGGATTCTGGTGGTAGGGTTAAGGTACTCCGAATAACCTCAATACACATTTTTCATATAAATTCAATATCGAATTCAACTACTAATTACTGGATAATTCCAGGGACTGACAATTGTAAAACCTCTGGTGTACGGAAATGTCGCTCGGTATTTTGGAAAAAAAAGAGAAGAGGATGGACACACGCATCAGTGGACTGTTTACGTTAAACCGTACAACAATGAGGACATGTCAGTTTATGTTAAAAAAGTGCATTTTAAATTGCACGAGAGCTACAACAATCCGAATAGAATCGTGACAAAACCCCCGTATGAGCTGACAGAAACCGGATGGGGTGAATTCGAAATTGTTATAAAAATTTATTTTCTCGATCCAAACGAACGACCGGTGAGTCCGCAAAACTCCACAATTTTTTTCTCCAATAAACAATTAATGATCACTTGATTACTTTGATTAGTATTTTTTAATTCAAAACATCTGATCTGCCTTTTCTATAAGAACGAAAAAACCGAATTTTTCGTGATATAATCACGTTTTTTTTTTTTTACAGAAATCATGTTCTGATAATAATTATTATATAAACTGCAATTGCAGGTGACAATTTATCACATCCTGAAGCTTTTTCAATCATCTCCGGAGATCCAGACCGGAAAGAAGAATTTAGTATCAGAATTTTACGAGGAAATTGTCTTTCAAGATCCAACTGCATTGATGCAACATTTATTGAGCACAACAAGACCTGTGACGTTGAGTGTTTGGAGACACGAGACTGATTGTAAAAAATTCTAAATGCAACACATAAACATCACTGAACATTCTCATGAGAAAATTTTAATCTGTTCCAGTTGAATCTAAGAAGAAATCGACACTGAAGGCCATCACCGAAGCGAGGAATAAAATACGTCACGAAGTAATCGATCTCAAGGAAAAATTAACACTAGCTAAAGAGACTATCGCCAAATTTAAAGATGAAATCGCCAAGATATCCAAAGGTGGTGGTATCACAGCTGTGCAGTAAATAGTTTAAGTATTCTAAGGTGTAACATATGTACAATTACTTAAATATAAATGCCCACGACTAATGTTTTATATATTTATAAATTTTCTTGAATACAACTGATTTTTTATTTTAACGCTGAAGTTTCATTGAATCACAGAACCTGTCACAGGAGTTCAGTCCTTTTTTCAATATGCAAAATTGATAAAAGATAATGAGAGATAAGTGAACTCGAGATGTAATTTAAATTTTCTGCATTAGACATTATTCTACTGCGAAACATAACCAAAAATTCACAGGTATTTTATAATTATGAAATCTGCTTCAGGCACAAGCCGACCGTGAGTTTTCGATATTCACTGGTAAATTCTTTGATTACTCGTTATTTTCCAGCTGAATAGGTGATTTTTGTACAGATTAGGTGTCGAGTTTGGTTTGGCAGCCTCATCAGCTGTTGGCGCAGTAATATTTACAAACCCACTAGACGTTGTAAAAGTAAGACTTCAACTGCAAGGTGAATTATTAAAAAGAGGGACGTATCACAAGCTCTACAAAAATACCCTTCACGCTGGATACGTAATTCTGAAAAACGAGGGAATTCGTGGACTCCAGTCCGGTCTGACTCCAGCTTTTGGATTTCAAATAGCATTGAATGGAATTAGAATTGGCTCTTACAAATTCTCTCGCACCTATGGATTCACGTTGAACAATGAAGGTCAAACAGACTTCTTGAGAACAGCTCTGGTCAGTGGAATCGCTGGTTGTTGTGGAGCTGTTGTAGGAAGTCCATTCTATCTGGTAGACATTCAGATAATTGATGCATAATAATTATGTAAATATGCCTCATTAGTCCCTGATAAATGCATCAGGTTAAAATTCGAATGCAATCACAAGCTGCCAAAGCAATTGCTGTGGGTCATCAGCATGGGTATGGATCAACCAGTGAAGCATTTCGAAGTTTATGGAGAGAAGGTGGGATTTCAGGACTTTATCAGCGATGGTATGCTAATGTACCTAGAGTTTTCTTTGGATCATCAACGCAATTAACGATGTTCAGTCTAGCTACCGATTTACTGCGACCCATTCAAGTAAAACAATCATTAGTCATCAACTGATGAGAGACACGAGATTCAGGGTTTTGAAATTATTCATATTCTTCCAGTTTTTTGAAAATCATCCCATGATTTTGACGTTCTTCTCAGCATTAATAGGCGGAAGTTCTTTGGCTCTGATGACACAGCCTTTAGATGTTATTTCTGTGAGGCTGTACAATCAAGGTAAAATGTTTTAACACGGATAATGATATTTTCTTTTTTCGTAACAATAATGTGTTTCAGCTACTGATAATCAGGGCAAGGCATTGATATACCGCAATTATTTCGATGCGCTCATAAAAATTTTTAAGACAGAAGGAATATTTGGTCTCTACAAAGGACTTTTTCCAACTTGGATGAGATCAGCACCTCATACCGTTCTGTGTTTATGTTTCTACGAACAATTAGAGAGATTATACGATGGATTTACTGATCGATAAGTTATGTTAAGAGAATTTATATTTAATTGTACACGCAGGTGTGTGAAAATAACGCGAATACAAAAATATCTGGTAGGTTCTCCTAGAGCAAAAAATTTTCAACTCATGCAGTAATTTTTTTTCCATGAATACCCAGTTGTCATCGCAATTGGCACTTGTCCAAGAATCAGCCAATGATACAGTCAATTTGAGATGCCAACAATTGAAATAATATCTGTGAAATGATTCCTAGATGATAGCCTCTACCTGCGATTCTTAATCACATGAATGATAAATTTTCAGTAATTACATCATATGCATCTGACGGGATTGTTGCATATGCGTATTAAATAGATAAAAAATTTCAGTCGATGCCGGTGGTTCACTTGGTCCACTAGTCCACCATTCGTTCAACTCATGTAGTTTACCAAATATTTAACCACTACCCCAAGGTAACCAGTTTAATAACTCCGGAAATAATAATGACAGCGGACAACGTTTCACCCCAGAAACCGTGAGTAAATGTACCCATCAGTTCCATTTAATTTATTAAAAATTTTAATATAAAGAATTTCCATTCCAGACAGTTTACTCGGGTTATTCAATTACATTTGTACTTTGTAGGCCATGACCATGCGAAATTCCCATTCATTACCATACTATTTCACGTGTGATTACGCAATCCACTGTTTCCCAGTATTTACCAAAGTGTCGAGATATTCATTGACAACAGACAACAACACCTATTAAATTGAGTAAACAACAAAGACGATTACAATAATTTAAGCACTGAATGATGCCATCCCATACCAGAATTACATTATCTTTAGTGTCTGTAGGTCAATTAATAATTGGAGCGCCCTCATTTAACCTGCAGCACTTGGCGGGATGTGATTTTGAGTTTCGAATGTTTTATTATTGTTAATAAATTGCAGATTAGCTGTAGAATTTACGATAGCAGCACTCGCAGCAGTGGGGGCTGGATTTTTCACAAATCCAATAGACGTTGTCAAGATAAGACTGCAGTTGCAGGGAGAACTGGAGGCACGAGGAACATACCAAAAATTCTACAAGAATACATTTCACGCGGGATATGTAATATCAAAGAATGAAGGGATTCTAGCACTGCAGTCAGGTCTGGGATCAGCTCTTGCATTCCAAGTTGTTTTGAATGGAATCAGACTGGGATCGTACAAGGCTGCAAGAACTTATGGATTTACCCTAAATGACAAAGGGGAAACAGATATTCTACGGACAGCTGTTTTGAGTGGACTCTCAGGATGTGTGGGAGCTGTCCTCGGAAGTCCATTTTACTTGGTATGATGGGCTCCTTAAAATAGAGAAATTCGAATCGATCGGTCTTCAAAAGGAATCAAATAATGGATTTGGTATTCTCCAGGTGAAGACGCGCATGCAGGCACAATCTGCTGAGGTCATAGCAGTGGGTTTTCAGCATGGACATACCAGTGAAACGGCGGCATTTAGGTCTCTATGGAGGGAAGGAGGCCTTGCTGGACTTTACCAGAGGTGTTTTGCCAATTGTCCCAGGATATTTGTCGGTTCTGCCACGCAGTTGACAATGTTCAGTCTAATAACTGATTGGTTGAAGCCGTTTCAGGTGAGATCTCTACTGACGAACGTCGAAGGATTTTTATTTCATTTTTATTAACATGTTTTTTTCAGATTTTTGATAATCGACCGTTGACCCTCACTTTTTGCTCTGCACTTCTCGGTGGCAGTTCTGTTGCTTTAACAATGCAACCCTTTGATGTTATTGCAACAAGACTTTACAATCAAGGTGTTTATTCAGAGGAGTTAATTAATATAATCGTGAAAATTTTATTGTCGTATTAAAATTGATAAATTTATTGATTTCAGGCACAGATTCGAGTGGAAAACCCCTGCTCTATCGTGGCTTTTTCGATGCATTGATGAAAGTCAGTAAAACAGAGGGCTTGTTTGGTTTGTACAAAGGGACTTTCCCCACCTGGATGCGTATAGCACCTCACACTGTATTATGTTTATGCTTTTATGAACAATTAGAGATAATGTATAATCGCCTATTTGCTTCGTAGAGAAATAAAAAATTCACATCCACTGTATGATGATATTTGTGCGTTTGAGAAATTGGATGGAATTTTTTTTATTCATTAACTTTCGACATCATGTCTTCGAGAACTAAATCCTCGGGATAAAACCGAAGCTGTCAGTGACGTATCGACACCCCGGGTTTCTGGCAGATATTGCCTGCAAGAATTACATTCCCGTGATGAAACAAATTCATTCGTAATCCATTAATTATTTTTTTTTTTCATATGATTATGGAATTACCTGGCGAATAGTCCCACTAATATAGTGGATGCAGCGAATAATAAAAATACCAGAGGTCCCATGAGATTCTCTAATGGTGGAAAGAGCATTCCCACGATAAAATTACCTCCCCAATTGCAGACACTACCTAGTGACATGGCAGCAGGTCTCGGTCCAACTTCAAATAACTCGGATCCAATGAAATAGGGAATCGGCCCCAGACCGATTCCATAAAATAAAACGTATGCAAGAACAGCAATTGTGCACAATCCTGGCATGAAGGCAGCAGAATGCTTGAAAATATTTTCATTATCATCGCAATCCAGTGAGCAATTGATGAAACATAAAAAAAAATAAATTATACGATTGAACTTACGATCATTTTTAATGAAATACAGAGGATTATGAGACAAGCCACACTGGACGCTGAACTGGTAAGGAAGAGCTGTCTCCTGCCAAATCGTGACATCATCCAAACAGATATCACAGCCATACCAATATTTATAAGTCCTGTACCAAGTGTTGCATATTGTGCCTCAGTGTCATCAAGACTGGACGCTTTAAATATCACATTGGAGTAATAAAAAACAGCATTGATTCCACTCAATTGCTGGCCCAATTGCAAAGAAGATACTAGAAGCAATGGGAGTCTAACGGACGGATCAGTCAACACACGGCCCATTGTCCACGTGTCCATCGTTGTGCGTATTCTAGCTTCTTCTCGGAGATTATGTATCTCTTTGTGTAGAAGAGCAATATTGACATTTCGCAATCGAGCGAGCTCTGAAAGACTAGAGATATTAATAAAATTCATCTTCTCAAAAATTCTTGAATAACCTAGTAAGATAGCGCGGGCTAGTTCTCATTAAAATTGCGGTAATATGAATTGAGATAATTGGAAGTTGTCCGTTTTACCCCTATAATGTGGATAAATTCGTCCTTGGAGCTACCAACCTTGAATGGCTCTGTCCTCTTGTCCCCGAATGATGAATAAATACTTAGGGCTTTCGGGAAGAACTTTCAATATTACTAATGATATTAAACAAAGTGGAGCGAATGAGGCGAGCATGAGATGCCAATGGTCTGCTGTACCAAGGACAGTCTGAAGACCAGCAACTTGACCAAAAAATACACCAACAGTGATTCCTAATTGGCACAGGACACCCATTGCTCCTCGTTGCTTCAAGGGTGCTATCTCTGTGACGTATGTGGGTAAGACACTGGTCGCAATGCCACCAGAGAGTCCTGAAAGGGGGAATATATTTTTATATCAACTTGAAGTGATTTTTAAATGACATCTTCAATCGTCACTCACCAACAATCAGTCGTCCTAGCATTAAGATCTCCACCGAATTAAAGGTAGGGACCAGGAGGAATAAAATACCACCAATTACTCCACATATATTTCCAATTGCTAGAGCTCCTCGTCTCCCATATCGATCGGCTATCCAACTCGCTATGAGAGAACCTGTCACTCCACCAATCAGAAATATCGAAACAACTGCTCCCCAGATTATGTTCATTGCGGTATTATCCAGGTGGACGTCGTACCGTTCTTGGAAGCTCGTGTTGCAAAATTGTTGCATGATCTGGAGAAAATAAAGTTAAGGTAATTGTTCAATGGGGCATAGTACTGGTGTTTTCACACCTTCGCCGGATTATTCATAACGCCGATATTAAAACCTGCTGGCAGTGCTGATCCGAAACAGCACGTGACTCCTCCTAGAATAACCAGAAGAGTCCATCCACTGACGTTTGAATTTTTTTCTTCAATCTCCGCATCTTCGTCTTTCTGAAAATATTGGAATTCAGTGAATACGCAGAAGAATATAATTGAATACTTATATATCTGGCACAGGAAGTTCCGGGAGCAAATGTCAAGCGCGTGACATTTCTTTTTTATCATCTCCCACTTGTAAATTGGTACGTGAGTACAATATGATCGCGTTTAATAACCGAGTAAATAATTTTCACTTTAATTGAAAACTAGTTGAACCTTTTCAGCATTTTTAGATGGTCCAAAGGGAATTTTATTTCATGGATAATAAATTAAATTGATGTTTACCTCATTTTGTAATACTTCAGACTGTGCGAGAGTCCGCGATTTCTTGGATTGCAGACACAAAGTCGATGCGTCAGTATCTAAATGAATAATTAAATATTATGATTCAAGAGAATGCGAGACCCGTGTTTTATTTGCGATAAAAAAATTTTATAAACTGTTAGAAAACAGAAAAAAATGACGTATCGGTGTAATTATTGAACCGTAAAAGTTTACCTGATGTCATTGTTTCAACAATCGCTTGAAATTTATTGTCGATTCACAATTAAGTCACGGTCATTGGTAATGAGCGTTAATGCTGTATCGTTGCTTCCGGCAGATAATACGCAAGTGACATGAGCATTTAGGATTGACCACCTAAGAAAGGAATATTTTCAATAAAATTTTTAACGATCACTTCGGAGGTTATCATAACCAGCTAAACAAAAAGAATAAGAAAATCCTTGGCTTCTGACCAACTCCTTGCGTAATAAAGAATGCAGCATGTGCGCTATGAAATTATTAAATAATGAATTTATCTCCTCGACAAATTGTCGGGGAAAATTGAAAAATCACTTGCCATCTCCTGATCAGAATTAAGGCAATGAAATTTATTTATCATACAAATGACTTCATGCTGACGGTTCACTTCTCATTAAAAAAATCTCATAACCTTCGACGGTCCCGAATCTATAATGAGTTAAAGAAAATTTCTGTTTTATCGGGGAGAGATTGATGTTTTGTCGCCCGGACGTATCTGACATCTGGTGGAATTTCGAATTAACAGATGTTTCCCGCGCTGTATTATTATTTGTCGTCATAATTTGTCATACTGTCAACACACGACACCTCGCAGACGAGGGTCTTATCAGATCTTATCAGGTTGTTCAAAGAATGGAAATCACGTGGACTTCGCAAATCGAGGATGAACTCATGTCCTCAATGTTTTTAATTTGCAAACTGTTTGATATTTCGCACATCATTTGAAACTACGTAAATTGCAAATAAATTATTTGTCAATATCAAATTCCTTCTGCTTTTTGTCTAATCAATGAAATTCAAGAGAAGATTTTCAATGTTTTATTAAAATCAAAAATTTGATAACTAGATTAATGAATTCAAACTTGAGAAGTGCATTTTGCACTCGGAATTAATCAATTAATATTCAAAATTACAACTATTAATTATCGTTTGATACGACAGGAGAATGGTCTGAAGATGGAGAATATTTGAATAGAATCTCCATGGGATCAATGAAAAAATCATAAAAGCCCACAGCATAGGGGTTTAAGAATGAAAAATTCTGAGAGAGGATAAAAAAGCAGGCTGAAAGGTATTATATTTTTTAGGTGTCGGTTCTCAATACAATTTCTCAATATAAATACAAACGCATTTACAATATATTTTTGGATGAGGATCTCCCCACGTGTTTATTTTTTCTATTGTTTTCCATTTGGAAGTAAATAAAACACAAGTAAAATCCAAATTTTTATTCAATATTATGATTTACCTTTTAATTTCAGTGAGGATAAATGGCGAGATATAATAGAGTATGGAGTAGTGGCACATTATAATACACAGAAAATATATAAAAAATATATTTTTGGATGGGGGTCTCCCCATGTGTTTATTCGTAGACGTCGAAATGTGACGTTGGGTGGGAGTTCTCGCGTGAAGAGGTTCAACTGAAAGAGCAAACTGGGGAGTTGTTACGGCTCAGTCTGTCCACGGCCGTTCGTCAAGTCAACTTGGCCCCATCGTTGTGCAAATGACTCCCTTATAACTATAATTACCTTACAATCATTCACTTTATCACGATTTTAACCCCAGTGATGTGTTAATCCACTCGATACCCCATCCACGCATAGATGAAGATACGGATGGCCTAGTGTCCAGTGATATTTTTTATTATCAATTTTCTCTGCGTATTTGAAATAAAAATGTGTGACCCACGGGTAACGATATTCTTATTATTGTCCGCGGAATTGTCAATTGCAAAGGCCTTCAACATTGAATCGAGACATTACACGTCGTACATGAAGGAATCAAAGTCAATGTTCGGCTTTTCCGTTGCTGAATACCGGGATAGTGGCAGACGTGGGTGGTGAGTTATTATTTGATATAAATTATTGCATCTGGGTGATTGGTATTGATTACAATTGTTTAATTAATAGGCGGGTGCCGGCAAGGGGATCGGCATTTTTTTCGGTGACAAAATTTGTCGATAATGCGTCAGTGCACCGAAGAAATTCGATGACTCGGCGGTCATTCGCCGGATCCAAATAGAAATTACTCATCGAAGTGCGAGAATTTTCCTAGTGTAATTCAATAATGACTTCGTGTCTTCCTTATCTCTGACAGCGGTAATTATTCAACAATTTTAGAGAATAATTGAGCCAACAAAACCGGAAATACCGAGTCTTCGTTGAAGTTCGCCCCAGTCCTCCGACGCTCGCCATTAATTCCGAAAATAGAGACGAAACCAAAACGTTTATTTATACAATCAAATATCGTATTTCGCAGAAAATATTAGAGAGAAGGGAAAGCGTTAAATATTCTAAAGAGATATTTACTGGGATTGTCTATTTTTTTATGCAAAGCACGGCTGCTTTATATTCCTGATAAAGTCAGAAGAGTCTGGAAAATGCGTTTTAAAAAAAATAACGACCACCCTAGAGTTAAATAAAAAGGGAGAATTTATGTGAAACAGGTGTGTCATGTTGCTGAGCAAAAAATCAAAGACCAAAATGTAGAGTTTGAGTGGATTTGATTGAGAAGATAAGACAAGGGAAAAAAGGAGACGTGACGTACGTGAGCGTTTGTTCTGCCTTCGATTACCATTTTTTTCTCCAATCTTTACGATTCATCGGGACCTTTCTGGTATTTCATGAATGAAATGCAATGCACTGGGTGTCATTGCGACACTTGTTCGCATCTTTATCATCAGCTTTGTGGTTACATTCAGGAATTTTTCATTTTTGTTTAACACCAAATTAAGGTATGACCTCCTGAGTTGAATGAAAGACATCTGGAATACAAGAGTGGGTGTTAAAATGCGTAGGTGGAATCCAACGCAAACCAAGTGAAAGAGGTCGAATTTTGTAGTTTATCGAAGCGATTGATTTTTTCTTTTCACTTCATTATTTTTCATGAATAAAAAACATGAGACCTAGTTTAATCGGCTGACGTGTCACTTCTCGGGAATCAGCTGACGCATATTTTTGCTCCTTTGCTGGCTGAATCAATCCTCTAAATATAGGAATTATAAATTTAAAAATACTTTGGTAACGAGTTGCAATGATTAAATTACCGACACTGGAGAGTCGGAATTGGAGGAGTTTATCCTATTGATATCTTGGAAAAATCGCAAAGTGCGATACTGTCACCACAAATTCAGTTTTTTAAGCGCCATTTATCTGAGACTTTTATCTTAATTACGTGAGTCTTCATACGGAAAATAATACACTCGGGGAAATTCGATATTGCGTATGTGTGACTCGCGATTTTCCTCCAGGTAAATCTTGAAATTCATACCACAGTATTTTAATGATTCAATTTACGAGATCTTAAAACCACGAATGCAGAGAAAGAATGTGCCCCTCCCCCAGAAAATTAAGTGATCTCATTTATTTTCCATCAGCTGATCCTAAAAATAAACCGAATAATTCCATTTTCACATGCATAATAAATATTCTGAGGAAATAATTTTCTTCTTCATTCAAAAAATTCGTAATTATTATTCATTCTTCCTGAATAGATTTTAAAAATATCAATTATTATTGATAATTAGAGCGACAGATAAGAGAAGGTTGTAAGAAAAAAAATCAGTTGATAAAAATAATTTTTTTTAGTGGAATCATTATATTCGGGAGTAATTGGAGGGATTCAAGGGATTGGAAGGATTTTTATTTAAAAATCCATATTCCTCTCGACCAAATGGTTTTAGTGAGAATAGATTTTTTCGGTAGAGATAATCTACTTTTGTCCTTCAATATAGCAATAATCTCGGGTGGTCATAAAAATAGAGAGCTACTGTGACTTTATCCGGGGGTACGAGTAAACGAAATTAGAGAGCCCCTTTTTATTTTCCTTCCACACAATATAATATCCTTTGTCCACAGTCTTTTGTGTAATACGAGTTATCGCATTGCCGAGTGGCACAAAACAATAAAGAGGAAGATTTAATATCTCGAAGGGAGTGACACTTGGTGTCCCAGGGGCATAAAATTATTTATCGACTCCTGGAGTCTAGGCGCCATATGGTGAGAACATTCAAGTGTCCTGGCCCTGAGGAATACAATCATACGAGTGGCTTCCAACACGTGTCCTTTGGAAAAACCGGTAAAGCCCTGGGAAATGATTTAACTTTAGTCATTACCCACTGGGGTGAGGGTGAGGAGAAAAATCGAGCGTAACGAAAAATGATCGTTAACATTTTTTTTTTTTGTCTTATGGTATTGCAATGTCTCGGTGACCAATTGGCAATCGACTTACGCAATTAATCGATTTAATGATTTTAATGGCTGGGTCGAGAGTTGAAATTGGGTCGTCGTGGAGAGTCAACCAAGACCGACCGAGATTCAAACTCCTGTGAAATATAAACATTATTAATTCATTAATCCAATTACGCATTGACACGATTAATTGCCATTTGTCTATTTTCCCCATAAAATATCTTACTCTCATAATATTATAACAATATTATTTTGTAGAAAATTGTTATTATATTTCTGGAAAATTAATTTACGGTTGAGTGGAAAATTATTAATACACGTTTATAAATAAATGAATAACTTTATGAATTCATTTATTTATTTTCTGTTATGGTTTGGATATGAATATTTGTTTTGAGAAGTTGTTCTTTTTTTTTTGGGTGGGTCGGAAAATTCGGAAAATTCGGGGAATTGGTGGGAAATGGTGGGATTTTTTCAGTTTTTCATCCCGGAATGATTTTTATTCAGTAGCTTTGACCTTGTAGAGGGAAAAAGGGTGGTTACCTGGCCCTTGAGTCCTGTCAACTGCTGTGTGACACATGACAGCCTTTCGCAATTCCCGCCTGGCGCCCACATGTTCAAACGCCAGTCACTTTTCCTCATTTTACTTGAGCATATGGATTTCCTCAAGCCAAACAATTACCAGTCAAACAGTAAATCACTCAGGCTAAGAGCACATTGTAAACGTAGTGCACCATCCCTATTAAATTATACTAATAATCATTAATGATCCCCAGACGAATCCCCGAATTCCTGAATTCAACATCAGAAAGGGGTATCAATAACAAACCCCGATATTTACTGCAAAAACAAACGGATTATAAAAAATCAAAAACAGTCGTATTCGAAAAATTTCAAAGAACATTTTTTGCTCGACCCTTTTTTCAATCCAAATTCAAATGGCGGCAGTAATCAGGTTTAAACAATTGAGTCAATAATTCTGGGATTTATCCGCAGAAGAAATGGCATACAATGTCAAAACTTTATTTTAAAATTATACCTTTAGTCTCGACGAAGAGGCAAGTCGGAAATAGAATAACAATTAGGCTGAATGTGCGTTGAACATTCATTAGACGAAGTGAGAAGCCGGATGAAATAAATTTGTCAGTGAAAGCCTGGACAGAGGAAAACAATTTATTTTTTCTTTTTCTCTATACCAGCGGGTGTACAGAGAGTACATACTATTGAGGAAGGTGCTCCTTATAAAGTAGCAACGGTCCCTCTCACATTCAAGTCAATACGCCTCCGTACATACATGCAATTGCGTCATCGACTCATGTGTCCCTCACACACGATTTTAACACGCGTATGTACACAATCCTTTTCATTTTCCCTATTCGATTGGTATCCAGCTCATTGCACATTACATACATCAAAATATTCTTTAGAGGTGGGCACACGTCACATCCTGTTCCCCGTGTTTTATTTATTTTCTCCTTACATTTGATTAATAATCATAAAAATTATGAAAGTTTAAAACCACAGATCAATCTTCTTTCATCACTCCATTGCGTAATCTAGACTCTAAAATACATCCCACGCTAAAAAAAAAACTTTAAAACCTTTTTAGAACGCCCGGAAATGACCCATATTTATTTATAATTCATTAATATTATTATTATAATGTCTGTTCATTATAGATAATAGAAAATTGCAATTTTTTTCACAATTTCCCGCAATTATTTCCCAAAAATAAATTTCTACGCAACGGCAGAACGTCAGGGTAAATATAAAACTTAACGAAAAAAAAATTTATAAATAGTCATTGGTAGATGGGATACTGAGATTATGTATATGTACGTTGAAAGACGGAATACGACAAAACGACATTGGACAGTGTGTGAGTTGAGTTTGAGAGGGGGGTACTGAGCAATTCGCCAAGTACGGTGTCGGTGATACGATGGAGCCGTCCGATTTGGCCAAATATGGCATTATAAATGCACACCAATGTCCCCACTATCACCCATGTAATAAGTCAATATGCCGCTTCTAGGACGTGGATTAATGTCCCCCAGTGCTGGTACTTTCAATCTACTTGTCGCCATTTTATTTATTCTGAGAATTTCCAAAAAAGCCCGCGAAAAGCATCGATTCCTGTTCAACCAAAGGATCATCTTGCGAATTTGAAAGTCAAGGTGGAGAAAGATCCAATTGATTATTATTTCCCATGAGTAATTCTCGAATGATGCTGTCACCATTTAAGGAACTCGAGGCGATGACTTTCGTGGTGGCATTGGCGGATCCAAAGGGAATTTAATTCTCATCTAAAACCGGACTGCGAATTGTAACGGTGAAATATACAGCTCGAGATAAACATTGAGGAGATCTACGGAATTTTCATTATTTAAGCGTGGGAAAGACATCGATTTCGTTCTTTATCTTCAACCGGTTTCATTGATAGATTTGTGTTTAAAAATTGTCAGTGGATCTTGCCTCAATGATAATAGGCCGTTATATCGATTATATTGATTACTGTCTTCTAGTTATTTCCAAGGTGAAGTGTACGACATTTCCAGAGGTGCATTAATGTCATTCCTACACACATGCCAAGACTTATGTAATCTCCATATGCATAAGTGACGGTCGATTCATTTGTGCATTTATGCATTCATCTTCCTTATTTATCATGGAGATCAGTCGGTCAAGGCTGCACTTGTTTTCACGCAATTAGTGAAATTACACCTTCTGTTGTCAACCATCAGATAACATTTGCACAATTACCAATCCAATCTTCAATCTCCTATTTCATTTTCAACCTGAATAAACCCTCAAACAAAATTCCTCCATTTTAAATTCTCCCCTCCTTTTCTATCTCTACATTAATTCTTCCTCTCTGCATGTTCATTTCCTCATCAACTTGTTCTGTTTAATTAAAAAAAAAAAACTGCTTGTCACATCTTTTTCATGATGACAGAATCGTGCCGTGCACTTTTGCCCTTTTGATTCTGGAGCTTGTCACTGGGGTTGAATCAAGAAAGGCGTGTGCCTTTTTTCCTCTGTATTTTCCTCTCTGAATGGTAAAAAAATTCTTTTTATATGAAGTACAGCAGTTGGAGATGTCTCATGATAAATTGCACAGTGAATCCAATCATGTTAATGTACACGACTTGATGGTTAAATGGGGTTGAAGGGGATTGGTTAGATAAGGAAGGTGGTCATTAGAGGGGTAAATTCACGAGCCCTGGGTCAATAAGGATAATGGGCAATTTTCGGGGGCCTAGGGCTGTTAAGTTTATTGACGGCATTTCCATCCACTGGACACCTCCAGATGAAATTCTTGACTATCCGTGACTACTGGGTTAATTAAAATTTTTTAAACAATTCATCTGGCATTTTCTGTCGACAGGGTGATCGTTGGTGCACCAGAAGCTCAAACATCGCAGCCAAAGGTCTACAGAGGTGGATCGGTTTATCGCTGTGATGTCGCCCTTGATGACAATTGCGTTCCAATCGAGTTCGATGCACAAGGTAATTATAATTAATTGTTACATAGATTTTCGGAATGAATCAATGAATTATATCAGAAATTATTCTGGTTACTGTGATAATAATTATATGATAATAATAGGATATTCATATATTAGTATGATATTGATATGGAATTAATATTGTAATGATGTGGTAATGACTCGGAATTACGGAGTTTTTTGGTAAATGGACATCCACGTGTCGCTTTCTCTTTTTTTTTTGAAAAACTCATTTAGCAATCTAGCCAAAAAGTCCAACGAACATCTGATCACCATGAAGATCTCCATTATGTTCAATTAGTCGCTAACCATTTGCCATTTGTACTCTTGCTCGCCTCGTTTGAACATATTGTTACCATCTCCGTAATTAGCCATTGGTATGCGCGATCTTAACGTGGGGCTTGAGTCGTTGTCCAATTAGAATTGAACAGCGGTTTAATGTGAGCTGTACGTACTCGTACCGAGGGTTGTACGTACATCCCGATAAATACCGAGTGAAAAGAAAAAAAAAATCGATCAATTGCGGCGATTGAATACAGATGATCGCTAATATCGGTGAGTCAGCTGTTTGAAAAGCAGAGGTTGAAAGGTATTTTTGGAGGTGATGGGTCTCTCTCGAGACAATTTAACTCGGTGTACGTTAAAATGTTGAATAATGATTCTTAACTCGTATTTAAGTACGACAATTTGTCTCTTTGAGAATTTGGGGAGGGCATTAGTATTCTGGAAAGGCTCGGGTAAACGGTGTTCCCTACCAGGGCGTCCTTAGAGGTCACTCACATGTCCAGCTCGACACACCCAGTGCTCTTTCATTCCCTTCGTCACAGTTGTAGGTACTTGTTGGTACGGAGAATAGAACCAGCAAGAAACAGCCACTAACACTTGCCTAATATGTGTACAGAGAACCGTAAGGAGAGGTTTTTCCTCTCATGACTGGCTTGAACTATTACCGGTGTTGATCTCTCCAGGGGTAGATCCATATACATTGCCTGCACCAGGAGAAACGTTCGATGAATAACTCAACCCTTTCAGGGTCCACCAGGAGTATAACGGGATATCCGAGTGATGACACATGTTGATATATTAATTGGAAACTGGATTCATCTTGGTGAGGTCTGGTCATCATCAATGGTGAATGCGGTGAATGCTGTGAATGATACGAATTATTCCCTCGGGGGAGAGTCATTGTCTGCTTGACTTGATGAGAAATACAACGTAATTATGTGGGTAGTTCGAGTACTGTTTGGATCGTTAGACTCACTTGGCAGGTGAAGTAAATTACATCTCCAAGATGAAAATAAACAAAAGGTAAAATGCACACCGGGGTAATTCTCAAAGGCCAGGTGCATACTCCAGGACATGACCGGTAAACTATTTGTTTTATTCTATTTACCGACGAGTTTTACACCTTGCCCATGGGGTTCCGGGGTATATATCAGGACCAGACGACATATTAGGTTACTTGGAGGTACTTGAGACGGTGCTTGAGTCAACGCTCGTTGGGGCAACTCGACCTTCTCAAACCAGAAGACATCGACTTCGTTTGCTCGATTTTTACCGTTAATTCACCTGATCATCATCAATTCATTATGCCAATCACATGACTGATCATCACGATATCCTTAGGTGGAGATTCTCCTTGGAATACCGGATGTTAGGGGAAGAAATTTGATGGATTCGTTGATTTCAGTTTTCGTGGGTGGATTTTTTTTTCTCATGGTTCTCTCGGAAGTGCTACGCGCATTCTCTAGCTCAAAGCCAGGGAAAATAAAAAAGTGCAGTTTTGCGGTACGAGGAATTAGTAAGTTGTTAGGGTCGTCCAGGATGAAACATCATTGTTTCGAAATAAGTCAAACGTACTTCCGGTACGTCGACCGTCACGGACGAGGGGTCGCCCTATCGGGATGCTGATTAGGCACCCACAAACCATTTATATACGTGCGTATATGTGTTGTCACCAGTCGCTCTTTTTTTTTTATTCATGTCAGACGTGAAAGCGCGTCTCGCGCACAATCTAGACATTTTTTTCGATTACTCATTAAGTCTCGGGAATTTGTTTTTTCTTTTACATTTATATTTTATTATACATATGTAATTAATTCTCTGTAATCAATCGGTATTGATTGTAATTTTGATCTCAACATTTCAGGACACAATCTGCTGCAAATCCCGAATGGTCCAGACGCTTATGTGCAAATAGACAACAAAACTCTCCAGTGGTTTGGGGCGACCGTTTCAACATCATCAGTAGACGGCGGTCCAATTCTGGTGAGCAATAAAACACATGTTATTCCATTAATAGACGGTTTAACAAGGCAAATTATTTCATTTGATGATTGAAAAATCACAGGGATATTTGAATATCTCGTATTCGCGTGGTACATTTCCTGGGACACACTAATCTTTCCTCTTTTCTGACTGTTACCAAGTTGTGTAGAGAAGCCGCTCTATTTTGGGATGCAAAAACAATCCGTTCCGACTGTTGATTCTAGTCGGTGAGAAGCTATTTTGTATTAAAAATAATTGAAATAATACATTCAGTTATTTACACCGTTTGGGGTTTCGGACAATTTATTTTCAATTTAATATATTATATTCCAATTTAATATATTATATTTCAAAATAATTGATTAATATTTTTCTATGACATTTGTAATCACAGATGCAATTTTCAGTGTCAATATTTTTTCAAGGACTAGACCTATATAAAAATAGAGATAATAACGTTTAGATGAATATATAACTGGAATTTATGGAGTGTAAATAAGGGAGTATAATTATGTCGAGATAATTCTCGAAAAATTGTCATCCTTCCCATGATTAGTGTCGAATGATAGCGAAAAGTGGTGGAATTGTTATGAGTAAAATATTTGAATTCTTCCGGTGGGATATTTCACGGCATGTCGAGGTTTGCATTAGAATGCAACTGATGAAAGAGAATGGTTAATCTAAGACCGAAGATCTTGCATTCGAGCATTTCCAAGAGTTTTTCCCCTCCTGGTATACCTTTTTGCCCCATCGTGCCACGCCGGTCTCTATGATGTAGCGCCAGGGATATCAATCTTGATATGTGTTTGTACTGATCTATCGTATGGTATGAGGTTTGTTGTAGTTTAGGGGAGAGAGAAAATGAAAGGAGAAAGATGAAATGAGAATGATTATCCAACGGGTATTCACATCACGCACGTTTGCGGTGGGATACGCTCCTCCCTGTCTTGAATTTTCTCCTCTTGCCCCTTGGTACTAGCACGTGGAACCCTTTCAACGACTTTCCAACTCCCAATTCTCATTCCTCTTTTTATTTCTCTTTTTTTATTGACATTCTTCAATTATCAATGTCAATAATCCCATAAACCCTCATTTCCATGAAGAATATATCGGTCAATTTAATTTTCATTTTCATTTTTCCTTAAAAAAAAAAATTAATTCGATACATAACTGCAATTTACGTTTCCAATTAAATTTTTTATGACAAAAATCATTTTCCGCTGGTATTTCATATTTTTTCGTATTTTTTCATATTAAAAAAAATCGATTTGCAACAAATTATATAATATTTATAAAAAGCTGTAGAAAAATTGGTGAATCTCTCACACTTCAACGTAATATGGAATAATCTAATCCGAAATTGCGATAAATGGATAAAAATATATAGAAAAGCGACAAAAGCTCAACGATCCGACGTATCATAATTTCTAATGAGGTTGAAAATATTGTTTCTGTTGTAATGCGATAGGAATGTAAACTAGATTCCCCACCGCAATCCGTACGTGATGCTACGAGTTAACGCAAGTACTGTGGGTAATTCGATTCATAATTCTATGTACATATGCACAATTGCTTTGATCAAACCGGGGATACCTAAAAAATCCAGAGGATTTTTTATCGCCTCAGGACAAAAATAATTATTGTCAATTGTTGTTGGATTTGTGCAGTACAATACTCAATACGCCATAGGTCAAAGTGTCATTACCACTAATGCACGCAATTACCATTACCATTACCATTCGCAGGGAGAGTTCCTATTAACACATTAAATTAGCGCTTCGTATTGTACATTGTACATAAGTTCAATGCCGAATACATATTTCGAAAATAGAATTACGAATTAATCTCGTAATTGCATTACACTGTACTGAGTTATTTATTAAACAATTGACATTTTTACGTAATATAAACATCGGTTACATCATAAATCATTACATAAATGAAATAAAAATAAAAATTAAATCAAAAAATAAATAGAATTTCTCTTTGGCTGAGGATATTTATATTTATATTCGATATCTAGTGTTTTGATATTTGTCCTCCAGTTATTCAATGATACAGATTAACGTCTTACGTTGACCTAATGGAACCATGTAGTCATCAGCTGTTTGTGACGTTCGTATATAACGGTTATGCGTGATAATTTTACAAAGGCCCCACTGTAGCGAATAGTGAACAATGCATCGTGCAGAATTATTTGTCTCGTTCAAACTCCACTGACACATGTACAATGGTACGTAATGGTAATTGCAATGCTTGTGATCCCTCGGAGAACTAGCCCAGAGCCAAGACCATTGATTTTAAGTCCCAAGTGCCAATTCTCTATTACTACAGAATAATAAAATGGCGAAGTCGTAAACTAGGATAAGTAATTTTTTTCAATGTCAGTTTTTCGACAATATTTCGGAATTAAAGGAATCTAGCGATTTTTTTATATCGACATTTTTTATGGAAAAAAATGAGAGCTAGAAAAAAGGTATTTATGAAAAAATCGGTATCTTGATTGAATTTCGAGATATTGGTTAAAAAGTGGTCGCGAAAAAATGCACTTGTCTTAGTTCACTTCAGTACAAAATTACAGATTAGTCAGAATAATAAAATGTAAAAGGGAAACTTCATTGCAGTGGAATAACCAGAATAAAAGAATACAAAATGGTCTTTCTTGGCTGGTGTTGATATCAATTCCCAATAAAATGAAAAAATCAGAATGAGATAAGATTCACCCGGGGAAGACCTTTGGCGGTCGATTTGAAAGATTCCGCCACGGCATACGCGTTAAATTTACAGTGGGTTTTTACATCAATTCTTATTCAAACCGAGAAATTCGCAAATATCTCCTAGTCCCTAAACGATGTTGTCTGTGTATGGACGTATCTCCTCGAATTTTCCTTTTTTACCGCTAGCAATTCGTCCATCCTTTATCCCCAACTCTTTTATCTTATTCCCTTTTATATATACGTATATATTTATCTCGATTTCTTTATTTTGTATTCTTTGGTCGCTGTGTGTCTCGCGCGATCGCCGCAGCATCTCTCGTATTTTGGAGATGCAGTCAGCAGATTGCCGACAGATGTTTTACGTTCTGGTCCTCCGTGTCTCTTTCCTCCTTCGCTAATATTTTTTCTTCCTTTTCTCCGGTTTTTTTTTCCTCCCCAGTGCATTGAAAATCACATTATTCCAATCGTAAATCGTAACCACCGGAAAGTGGCGAAGAAATAAAACATTTTGAAACAGTAATTAATGATGAATGGATTTGAAAAGTCGGCGCGCGGTGGGGTAGTCGTTGTTCGCCAACAAAATGGTGGAAAAAATCGGCAAATGGCGGTCGTGGTTCTCAGGCACTGGGCACAATCGTGGAAAGGGGATAAAAGTAAATGTAAATGAAAAAGAAAAAAATATTCGGACGTCTCACGAAGAAAGTATCCAACATAGGGGAACGAGGGAACAATCGACCGGTTAAATATGGGCAAGTCCTGACGATAAACCTGGTGGCGGCTTCCTCGTGGTGGCATGTCGTTCTTACCAAAAAAAAATGATGGAAAAAACTCAAAATAACCAGAAAAAAATGTTTGAATCAGGCGAATTAATTTATTAAATATTCATTAATTCATTTAATTAACTTTCAGTGATTCCCTCAAAGTCCCAATCATCTTGAGGTCAGAGCATGATTTTTATCAGAAAAATAAAATATGGGAATTGAGTTTTTTTCAACTTGAGAATTGCCCAGGAATTCAGGTGATTGACATAATTAAATTTTTAACTGAGTGTAGGATTCGTGATGTTGGCACAGCACTGGGTTAAAATCGGCACGAAACCGCAACCAGAGGACAATCGTGACCCCAACGACCCGAGCTGAGAGCAGAGCCTTGTTGAATCCTTTTAGCCTTTTTCACCGGATATTTCTTTTTTCTATTTATTTATAAATCTCATACTTCGTATTCACTCCTTTTTTGGTTATCATCCTATTGTTTTCCCCGTAGAACCCAGAGAATTCATCGATAAATTGCCAATTTCTCGTAAAATCTTAGAAGCGGTATTCTGGGAAAAGTGACCCTTACCGATTTTTCCGATTTTCTTCGTTTCCACAAATAATTTCATGTTCTGTCGGTCTACTGCAAATTTTTTAATAATTTTCAAGGGACTTCGGTGATTTTTACGAGTGGCGTCATTTCTGAGTGGCGGAATCGAATGAGATCGGCAGTACTTTGATAAACTTCTATCATCACCGATATCAGAATTTAAAAGGCGGCATTGACAATACGCATTCCACTGTTGTGTTTTGTCCACAGGACAAATTGCGAACGCCCGCTAAACGGTCGGTTTTTGCCGATCTCAACCCCTTGATCCGATTCCATGAGCCACTTTGTGGGAATCCTTGGGTTTTGTGAGACACCGTGAGACCCCTGAGACTCGCATTTCATCCCAAGAAGGTACAAAAACCCAATAAAAATAAATGACCGGTGGTGAAAAAAAAAATGGCAGGCATCTTTGATTTATGACAGGCCAACTCAGCGATCGATCTGGTGATTGATAGGACTACTTTGATACGGGGGAGGGGAATGAAATCAAATATCCGGATCGAATCAACCGCCCTAATGTCCACACAACACTGCATCGGGTGTGATTATCTGAGTTTCTATATGGTATATACTACCTATAAATAATGCCGTGAGTCAGGATCAGACATGAGTCAACACTCACTTTTGGCTCTGCGCAAATGTCTCACCCGAATAGAAAAAAATTTTTCTAATTGCAATTTTTCTTTTTGCAGTTCCATTTTGATACGAGAAATCATATAGAAAATTCTGGCTTTTGTTAAAAAAATCAATTATTATTTATTAACATGAAGAGTCCTGCTTTTTCAAATTTAAATAATGAAAAATGAATGAGTAAAATTTCAATTCCTTTCAATTAAAATTGGAGCAGAACTCGAATAATTGGAAATTCATACGACGTGATCCCTGAAATTTCCAAAAAAATCCATTTTATTTTGCACAAATCTGCAAATTCGTCGGTGCGAATTAAAGGCTTTAATTGCCTTGGTGTAATCATTAAATTTTTTATTGTAGTAATGCTCTATTTTTTCTCGCCCCAATACTATTATATTTGTAAAATAAAAATTCGAGTCACTCCAAAAAAAAATCACGCAGCAAATTATTTTGAATAATTGACCTGATTCCCCGAGAGCCCATCTATTCAAGAATTGGGTGTGCAGTCGACCCCAGAATGACCCCAATCCCCAACTTCCCAAAATAACTCCTCCAGAGTTCTCAAGTCCTCTTGAGTCATCATAAAGTAAAAGAGCCGAATTAAAATCAAACGTAAACGATTTTGCGGTGGCGATGACACAAGTCATTAACTCAAATTGAAAAAAAAAAAGCGGAAAAAATCGTAATGAAATTCCCAACAGCAAGAGCTGAAGACATTAGAGGATCACATCGCAATTAGCCGACATTTTAATTTCCTCCATTAAATAATAAACCTCCGAAATTTCCACGATAACCCAATTTCTCCCTCATCGTCAACTTTTAAAAAATAAAATAATAAACTGTCGAGAAAAAAAAAATTAGGTTTACACGGTTTTTTAATTAACTCGTTTTCTCCCCATAAAACCAGTGGAATTTCATTGACCGGTCCAAGGGTGCATTTCCCCATCGCAATGAGGGAATAACAATAAATAAAAAAAAAAATGATGAGCATCTGTGCAATCTTATTGCAGCTGGCCGTTTTCCGTGTCAAAGTCGACTGGAAATCGATTCCAACTTCTCGTGAGCGCTCAATAAAAGAGGAACCGTCCACTGGGTTTGGAGTTCTCATCGATTCCCATCGTCAGCTGCTATCGATCAACTATCCATCCTCTTTTATCTCTTCCCTCTCGTCTGCATCGGCCTTCTCCATCGGTCTCCGAGGATATCCTAAACAATTCCAAGTACAAAAACAATTCTTCCAATACTCCACATCCAAACTGGCACAACGAATAAATCGCTATTTTCCCTCTCATTATTATCCTCCACTTTTTATTTTCAACCTCGATTTACTCTTCTTTTACTCTTCTTTCAGTACTCGTCTATTTTATGGGCCTCACTCCTAGCCCCATCATCAAAAGGTCATTTTTTAAATGACATTTGGACCTAGACCTAGCCCTTGGGTTTCTTTTTTCTTCGGTATTTCGGGGGAATTGTTTAATAAATTATTGCGATCGGTCGATTGAGAGGAAATTGTGATTGAGACGTTAAGGATTTTATTTTATCACGACTGGTGCAGTATCAGCTTTCTTGCAGGCGTTTTACCATGACTGAAGTCACACAGGGACAACAGTAGTTGGTTGATGTGTTGTTGCTATCTTATGCAATGTGATCATCATTCTGCACGAGAGACCATGAATCTCAATCAGACGATTGAGAGGGGATTTATCGCTGGTTGTCTCAGTGATTCTCTATCGACTAACAATTTTCTCTTCATGATTTTTCCATTAATTTTATCGTTTATTCGGATTCTCAAATCAGCAACTCCTGGTGCTACTTCATTAATTCATTTCAGTTTATTTATTCATTTCAGTTTATTTATTCATTTCAGTTTATTGTCATTGGTATTTTTTTTTCGTCTCTGTTATTAATTTTTTATATTTTTTATTGCTGTTGCAGGCTTGCGCACCTAGGTACGTCTTCTTCTCGATTCAGGAGAATCGAAATCACAATGACAGCACCAGACAACCGGTGGGGAATAGGAGAGATCCTGTTGGAACTTGTTGGGTCACCAATAATTTGAACACCTCCAAGGAATTCGCACCCTGTCGAACACGTGAGTTAATTCATTGAAATTCAATATATGTTCCGCCGTTCTGAAGATTGAAGATAATATTTAACACATTTATTTATCTCGAATTCACCAACTCCCAGGAAAAGCCCTTTCAAATATTTATCAAACGATTTTATCTGCTAGTAAATAAATAAGTCCATTTGAAATCCATTTGAAGGGAGATTTTTTGATGATTTTTTGAAGACCACATTTCAATCATCAAAGAGAAGAAAATCGGTCTGTTTAGTTTGAAATTAACCTAGGATAAACAATTGTCATGTCCACGGTTCCCTCGAGAGTCACTCGATGCAACATGTGTTCCTGGAGACCCTCCCGGAAGCTGCCATAAACAACCCCCGAATTTCCTCCGCTATCCCCCAAAAGTCCATCTGCATGGAATTATATTTACTGGAAGTATCCAAAATTTTCTCATGAACCGACTCCCAGTGGAATTGAATCCTTGAACACTCCAGAATTTCAAATCGATTGATATTTCGATTTTATATCGATTTATGTCAATACAAATAGATTTTTTCTTGACGGAAGTAAATTCCGGGAGATGTACGAGAGAAAGCGAGTGAGGTCATCTCTCAACGATTCTCCAGACATAACTCGAGAAGATATGGTGCAATTAAACAATTAGCCGAAAGGGACCCTCGGTATTTCAAACTCCTCAACTGTAACTGGTTTTCTTATTATTTACCAGGAATCCTTACTTTTTTTCAACTCCCCATTTTCACTATAAATATCCAACACCGGGTTTTTACCTTTTTCAGCAAATTGTCGCCTTTTTCGGTGGCACCACGTATTACTGTACTTTTTTAATTACCTCTATCTTCAATGGCTCATTCTAATTCTCCTGTCCTCGGGGAAGTCAAACTTCCATAAAATTAAACGTCGGCAATTACCATTGGAAAGAGCTGAAGAGTTGAAGGGCTTTTTCAACGTCAACTACTTCTGAGAATTTTTTGACTATAAAGACCGACGCCGACAGGCAGGTCACTGAAACTATTTATTCAAATGAATTCTATTAATTATAAATTCACTTCATAAAGGGATCAATCTGTTTGTGACAATTGTTTTTGTTGAGTTTTTCTTCTTAAATCAGGCCAAATAACTTGAACTCTTCGTGTCTCTTTATTCTCAAATTTATTGCAATCTAACTTTATTGCGAATTCTCCGAATTACTTTGGCGCATTGTAGCTTATGGTATGTGACACCAGTCAAATGGATGATTGTTCTTCTTGTTATGATACAGTAATATCATTTGTCGTGGCAATTTGCTTTAGTCATTTGCTTATCATTCCGGGGATGAACAGGCGATTTTGCATTGTGAATGGTATGAACATGTACGTAAAATTCTTCTTTGGATAGTTGTACACCCACGCTTCAACGATCTCCACGGTAGTTACACTAGGTACAGACGATAGCATTCATTCATCGAGACATGTAGTTACGTTATGTGAGTTTAATATGTAATTCTAGGCTCTCAGGGGATCGAGGAATTCATTCCCTTGACATAATTCAGGGTCAGATTCAGTTAAATCATTACTAATTAATGACACAATTAAGCTGCGGCCTATTATCACGATTTTTTTATCGGAAATGTATAAAATTCGTAATAAAAATAATAATAATATTCGTAATAATAATAGTAATAATAATAATTGTATAATAATAGTATAATAATAATAATAATAATTGAGAATTAATTATTAATAATTAATGACAATCGGACGAAGGATTTGCGGAAAAGGAAAAAAAAGGAAAATATAATAAAAACCTTTTTTTACCCTCCCCATGAACAGAGTGATTTTTGTGTATGAACCGTTCATTTGCTGGTTGCATGATTGATATAATTACCTGTCCCCTGGGTCATCCGGTGTTGTAAATCGTCTACCGCGAGAGGGGTTTTTAAATAAAAAATAAAGACGAGTGCACAAGAAAATCCAGAAGCAAACACCGGATATATACTGGACACGAATGTTATAACTCACACGTGTAGAGAGTCATAAAGGAACACGATACTGGCCCTGCATGGGGCCATCATGCAGACGCATATTAACGTCGGTTTATTAATTCCGTTGTACATCGGCCAGCCAGTAATTACGATTTTGACGGGAGTTTATTAGCATTCACGTGACGCATCAATTGATTTTTATGGGTGTAAAATGGGTTGTTTAACAGAATTTTTTCTTTCACCTCTGAATTGTTTTTTTTTCTCAGGGCACTTTGGATACCATCGACAGGGGTCATGTCAGGCTGGTCTCGGGGCAACGGTCTCCAAGGTGTGTAAAATATTCATTATTCATAATTGATTATTAATTAATTATTGCGTTACGAAGGGGTGAATTAGGATGAGTACATTTTTTTCCATTTCAGTTTTTTGCCGATTTCTCGAAAGTGAAGGATGATAATGATATTTTCATGAAAACCTTTTTTGTAGTTCTTTTATTTTTCTATTAAAAATGTTTATACAAAAAATTCGCTAGGTTCCTCCAATTCCGAGATATTGGCCGGGAAATGACATCGAAAAATATTCACTCGTTCTAGATCACCACTTCACAACAAAATTCATAATTAAAATAATTCGTTATTTATAATTTAAATTTGAGTAAATTCTCCACTTAATCAGTAAACAAAGATGCAGAATTACTAATTATAATGACATATTATTTGTTATTTAAGAGAAATAATTTTTTTCGGTGTAAATAACGCGAAATGAAATGAATAAATTGGGAGAAAAAATGTCGTAATAAATAACTGGTCATGCGGGATGTTTCATCGGTTTTGAACTCTGTTTTCACATCAACTTTGTCTTCGTGTGCTGTACTGGAGAATTAAGTGTAGGTCGAGTGAACACATACGAAAATGGGGGTTGATTCTCACCATAAATGGTCAGGAATGTGAATTCCCACTCCTACGCGTTGAATTTATGAGCATCGGCATTTCAATTCCAAGGATAAAGAACTAGACATCACACATTGATTCTATGAAAATTCACGACTATTTATCGAATTAATTCAATTGATTTTTATAAAGTTGAAGAATTCGCTGGAATGATTTTGTCGTTGCAATGTATAATTCACAATTGTTCGGGTATGTTTAATGCATAACTCTCAATGAAATACGAGTTAGAATAAGCAATTCAATGTTAATCCGGGTTTATACTGTCTTTCTCAATCCGAATCTTCGAGAAAAAATAAATAGTCAACCCCAAAAGGGGTGAGTCCACGCAAATTTCGTTTTTCTCAACCGAAAACCCAGCCAAATGCCATTGTATCTTTTTATATTCATATATATTCATTAATTTAGTTATAAATCCCCGATTCAATTCAATTCAATTTGATATCTCAATTTATTTTTTCCCCAAAAATTCCTGTGAAAAAATTTGACAAAATATAACAATAAAATAAATAAATAAAAATGGATGGGAGACGGTGATGTCGTAGATAATTCTGATATATTGATATATTTTTCTAGGGAAATCCACTCCCTAGTCCAAATAAAGAGAAAATCGAGATCAGAGTTTGAGAGTAAAAATTAGAATAGCATTTTGCTTGGCAATGCAGACAGGTATGCATGCATATACAAGACACAAAACACGAGTCATAAATTTTATTCCCGGTTAAGTAGAAGGGAAAAGATCCTGACCACCACCGCGTATACATATTTGGAGCGCGTTATATTTCAATCTGAGTTTATCCATCCTCAGGGTCTACCTGATCGGCGCCAGAACACTGTTCTCGTGTATGGGGTTCCGTGTTCACGTGGTTGTGGTACCATTGTTCCAGTTGCAAATTTTTATCGTGTAAGCACGAGCCGATTTCTCAGTAGGGGGTAGAATTCTTTCACTCGCGAAAAACCTCACGTTGTATGCATATCATCAAATATTATTCAAAAATATCAGAGCATTATTGGCTCTGCATTTTCATTTTAGCCATCTGCCTTGGAAATAATGTCTGATTAAATTATGGAATTAACAGCCACCGGTTTTTTAAAATTATTCATTCGTTTAGTCCTTATATCATTTTTGTTTATAATAAAAACTTCTTTTCATTAATTAATCCACGTTTCATGGGCATACCAAAGAGATAATATTAGAACATTCAAATATATTGAAAAAAATAATGGAAATTAAACACGGGGATTTCACCCTCCGCTCTCGGGGCTGATCTATGATTTTTGGGGGAGGAAAGCCGATTTTTTTTCATTCGCGATTTTGAAATTTTATAAATATACATAATCTTGTCGATAAATATCGCAAGGTGCAATGAGATGGTAAATATGGCATGTGGGCTTGGCGCTTTGCAGGTGCCCTCGCCAGTTGATATATCTCGTAAGAGATATATGATATATCAGAGGTTTTCGAACTCGACCCAAAGTGGTAAACCAGGATAAGTGCATTTTTTTCGACGCCACTTTTTACCAGATTTCTGGAAATTGAAGAAAGATAATGATATTTTCATAGATACCATTTTTGTAGCTCTCATCTTTCTCCATAAAAAATATTTTTGCAAAAAATTCGCTATGTTCTTTCAATTCGGAGATATCCGCTGAAAATGCATCGAAAAATATTCACTCATTCTAGATCACCACTTGACAACAGAATCGTTCTTCCTGGAAGTTTTGATATTGAAGGATTACTTGTATTTTAAAAAATTCTCATCCACGGTGCTTTATTTATAGAAGTATCAAATATAAAAGAGGCACCAGAGACGATGCAAACCATTTAAGGCTTGTACATTTTGTTCTGTCACCGTTGGTCGTGTTCTCTCCTCTTTGTACGAGAGTACAAGGACCACCTACGCGAACACAGGACTCTACCTCCTTCGCAAAACATTTTATAAACGACTTCTACTCGTCTATTCCCCTCGAATTTTTTTTGTAAATCCCATTTCACATATGTTGATAAGTGAATAGCCCAATAGATCTAAAGTCCTCTTTACTCTCCCATTCACAAGTGCATTGACTTGTCCGGTTTTGCACGTGGAATATAGAGAAATGGATTTATCACGAGCCATTGAAGAACTCCAGCTTTTCACCGCCGAATTTCTTGAGAAAATAAATATCTCAATTGCTCTTTAATGAGATAAACCATAAGTCTCAAAGTGCGTGTGAACCATCAGCGGACGGAGGCTGTGAACGTTTTCAAGACAGAAGTTATTTTCAAGTGGTACTCAAGTACCACTGCACTTCAAAAAAGTCCTCTAACTTCAATTAAAACGTTTATAAAAAGTGAACAAAAAAGGGAACTGCCATTTGCTATTCCCCGTTGTTCCCATTTTTAATCAAAAATCGTCATAAAAAATGAATGACTGGAAATGATTTATAAAAACCAATAGCCACTGAATGTTCATTCGTGTCATTAAACCTCTGATAGCTCGGGTGAACCCACACTATCAAGTTGCTTTATCCACTCATTTCCTGTCTCGCGACTTGAACAACACACATGCAAATAAAACTTGAACGTGTGGAAGAGTCATCGACAACTTCCTATGAATCGTGAAAGTTGTCTTATTAGGTTGATCTCAAGCAACCGAGTTACCCACAAGTGCTCACAGGACTTGTTACATCATTTTTCTACGAGTTACATCTCTATTTTTCTGAATAAAGAGCATCTTGTGCCCGAGACATAAGAATTATCTCAAATTCATTCCCCACACGAATAATTCCGAAAGAAATCATGAAATAAATATTTTTCTTTCAGGATGGAGAGAGGATATTCATTGGTGCACCAGGAAGTTGGTACTGGCAAGGTGAGGAATTTATTTCTATCTTCTATTTCTAGTGATGTCTTTCCAGGGGATAGATTAAATGATAATTCGTGTAATAATCGTGCAGTCTCGAGGGTTCAATTACTGAATTATAGATAAATGAAGAATCAAAATGTTATTGAAAATATTTCAGGTCAGCTGTTCTCAATCGCAAGGAGATTGGAGAATAGACTCTTCGTGCCGCCCACCATCTATACAGGTACCACATGAGTCCCCCAATCAGAACAGAAACCCTAATTAACAAAATTCTAAACCAATGGAAATTGATCAGAGAAGAGAAATTATTCGAAAACCGCATCAGCTCGATGATTATTGATTGTTGAGACACGACTATTTATCAGATATTTGTCTCAATAATACGAATGATGTGTGGTACTCTGATATATTCCCCCTTACATTTGCTTGGCAGTGCTGTGCTAATTATTAAATTAGATGGATAATCCAGCGGTTTATTTATGGCTTTTGATTAAATAGGTTTTACATTCCCGTGATTAACAATTTCTCCTCCTAATCAAGTTTTCCCCTTGCGAATGGATATTTTATTGAGATTAGCGTATGTAGATGGATAATATATAGATAATATTTATTGATACCTTTAAAAAATAAAATGTTTAATGCCTTATCATCACTGCCAGGTGAATCTGAGGGTGGTCTAACAGGTGTGGGCCGCAGCTTATTATTTTTTTACAGCTTTATTTTACAGAGTGGCACATGGCAGTGAGCAAATAATTACTCAAATTAATTCAACGAATTGAACAATTGTGGACGAGTGACTGGATTGCTTACGACATCTGTTTTACTATTTATTTATTTAATCTAATAGAATAGATTGGCTTTAGTATTATTAAACAAAAGATTACCCAAATATTAATTGATATAACGTGGATTAACAATTATTATCGGGTGTATTTATCGTTTTAATTTGAGATTTTGGTTGTAGGGCAAGTGTACACGCAGTCTCCACATACCAAGGGCCAAGTAATGTTCACCAAGGAAGGATCTCCAGAGGAAGATGACAGTTATTTGGGATATGCACTTGTTAGTGGTGATTTTTTGGGTACTGGAGACGTGGGGAGTGCTGTGGGGATGCCAAGGGGGTATGGGCTCCATGGAAAGGTGCGAACAATAATTATTGTTGATTTTTTCGATGGGTTTATGATTTTTTTTCTGAATTAATGAATGAAACGATCAATATTGGTACTTCCAGGTGGTTCTGTTGACATCCAACATGACGAATCATCAGAATGTAACTGGTGAACAAATGGGTGGGTACTTTGGTTATTCATTGGCAGTCGGTGATATCGATGGAGATCACTTGGATGATTTAATTGTCGGTGCTCCCATGTTCACAATTCCTGATAACACCGAGATGACCTTTGAGACTGGAAGGATTTACGTATTCTATGGGAGAGGACCCAACAAATACAGGGACTTCCACTTCAGGTATTAATTCGTGAAGTTGTACCTGTAGGAATGAAGTTTGATAAATATTACAATTGGTAATTGTGATGTTTCAGGGATGGGGAGAGCAATAGAGGTCGTTTTGGTATGTCAGTGGCATCTCTAGGTGATCTAGATCTAGACGGTTACACGGATTTTGCTGTGGGTGCACCTTATGCTGGACCAGAGGGTCGCGGTGCTGTCTACATATATCACGGCTCCTCGGAGGGAGTTCTCGAGAAATACTCGCAGGTCATCTATTCCACTGATCTCAGCCATCGTATCCAGACCTTTGGCTTTTCCGTGTCGGGTGGCCTTGACCTCGATGGCAATTCCTACCCAGACATGGTAGTGGGTTCGTACGAGTCTGGAGCTGCCATGTTTTTCCGTGCTCGTCCTGTCATCAAAATGGTCCAAGCTGCGACGTACGTGGAATTCCAATCGGCATCGAAATTAGTCTCCCTGGAGGATCAATCACGAGTTATTTCAAATGGAGTTAGAGTCACAGCTCTTCCACTCAAGACTTGTTTCCAATACGATGGTATCGGTGTCGCTTCTGAATACGAATTCAACGTGCAATACGTTCTCGATGTGAAGAAGACTAAAAGCCCGAGAATGTTTTTCCTGGAGTTTGAGGGTCTCAACGAGAAGAGTCTTCCAATCAGAATGAAAAAGGGCCAGCAAAATTGTCGTATATTCAACGTATATCTCACTCCGAATATTCGTGACAAATTAACGTCCCTCGATGCAGAAATGAGAATAAGCCTGATGGGAGATGAATGGATTGACAAACGCCCCAGAAATCCCCGATTGCCACTGGAGCCTGTTCTTGCCATGACCTCTACCCAGAAAGACAGCATCTCCATTAGGAAGAACTGTGGAGATGACAACGTGTGTGAACCTGATTTGCGTCTGACATGTGTCTCGAAACCCGCGGAGTACCTTCTGGGCTCTGGTGAACGTCTCGAGCTGGATGTTACCGTCGCCAATATGGATGAAGATGCGTTTGAAGCTACTTACTACCTGACACTGCCTCTGGGCATCGATTACATAAAGATTGAGACACTCGTGTCCAAGGATACATCAGTCAGGTGTTCCCCTCCTACGAATTTCAATAATAATACTCTAAAGTGTGATATCGGTAATCCTCTTCCCCATGGGTCAGTTGTTCACTTCAAAATATGGCTGCAACCGTCCCACGTTCATGGAGAAAAATCCACTTACGATTTTCACATGAAAGTCAACTCCACGAATCCTGAACCAATCGAGAGAACTCACGATAACGTTCTCTACGTACCCACTGGTATCCTCGTTAATTCCAATCTTCTGGTTGAGGGTGAGAGCAAGCCCAAGGACCTGTACTACAATCCATCTAATTACACTGTAATTAATGCAACAACTGACATCGAGTATGGGCCTGCATTCATCCACAATTACACGATCAGAAATAAGGGCCCATCGACCATCGAGGCCAGTCAAATATTTCTCATCTGGCCCGGGAAAACCCTCGCTGATGACGATTTTGTGTACCTCATCGATCAACCTGTCGTTGATGGCAACATAAGATGTGCCACAGCCAACGCAAATTCCCTGTCACTCAAGATTGAAAATAGAAAAAAATTCTCAACTCATTATGAGACGAGACCCGGTTATCAGCCATTGACGAATCCCCACAAAAATATTCACGTTCACACTGGTGATGGCAGTTACGATGCAAGTGGAATAAAAGGATCTAGAAGTGAACATAATTATGATTCGACGATTAATACTGCAACGTCTCGAGGAAGTGAACAGGGAACGACAACGAGTGTCTGGGTGTCCAAGCCAGGGGGCGGAGTGGTAATTAGTACTGGAGGTGTCGGTTCTTCCGAAGGTTCTGAGGGAATATACACCACCCAGAGAAATTCATTTGGTGCTGGGGGACTGAGTCAGAGTGGAACGTGGGAGAGCGATCGAACGTTCAGTAGATCGAATCAGAGTGCATTAGGTTCAGGTGAAGTCACTATTGAAAACAGACACACAGGAGGAGAGGAGACACTGGTCAATATTCATCAGACCGAGAGTGAAAAGCGTTACAATAACTTCCAGAATCTCCAGGAGGAGAATCGCAGGAAGCTGATGTTGAAGCATGAGGAGGAGGAGAGGATACGACAGCAGGAGGAGGCGTTCATTGCACAGAGGAGACGAGAGCACGAGAGGAAGGAAGAGGAAGAGAGAGTGAGATTTTCAACGGGTCGTCATGAAATCAGTGGTGATCGGGAGGAGCATGTTGGTGCTACTGATTTTGGAATTCGACCTGGCACCCCATCAGGCTTTCACACGTCCGGAAAACTCGACAGCTTCTTGTCGAATCTCAAGGAGACCGTGGGATACGAAGTATATCGTCGTGGCTCACGTCAGTATCTCCAGTTCCTTGGCAGGTTCATGGTAGCAATTGATGGAAAACAGTACATCGAACTAAAAAATGGACCGATTCTCCCCCTGGAGAATCAGTACGGCGAGCAGAGCTATTCATCAAGCCAGACTGTAACCGACAGGTACACCAAACTGGACGCTGAAATCATAACTGGTGAGGATGGCAGGATCTACTGTAAATTGAGTGACAACAGGAGATTTCCAATTGACAGCTCCTGGAGTTACTCTGAGCAGAGGAGTTACACGATTAATGGTGGGCAAGGACGAGGAGCGGGGAATCAGTTTGTTGAAGGGAAAAATCGAGAGGGAAAATTAGAAGATCGAGAAGAGAGTTTCACCACTTCTTCTGGGAACTGGAGGCAAACTGGGAATGTAAAGAGTTACGAGAGCCAAAGACACGAGGAGAAACGAATCACTCATCGAATGGAAGGGAGCAACACTTATGAGAGGGAGGAAGGCTTTGGTGACAGTCAAAATTATCAAGACAGAAGATCCAGATCGAGAAGACATGGGATTAACAAACGGGAGATTTCACTGTTTGGAGAGGACCTCAAGCAGATCGATCAGGCTGTGATCGATGATGCAATTAGAAGGCCTGATCAGACAGATCAAAATATCTTGGATGAACTTGGATTTTGTGGCAATGCAAAGTGTCTCGTTCTCCGATGCTTCGTTGGTAGACTCGTCAAGGACGAGGAGGTGTCCATCAGCGCTAGATTTAGAGTAAAGGGAACAACTCTGAATAAAATATCAGCTGGAGAAAAACTCAATGTGACCACAACAGTTTACGCCAATGTCACGAAGCTTCCGTTCATTGGGCGACCTCATCACCTGGTCTCTGCTAGCCATCAAGTTGTCACTGTCACTGAACCTACGGTATCATCTATTGAATCTGGTGGAGTCCCACTGTGGGTTGTGGTACTATCTGCTGTTGCTGGTGCAATAATCCTCTTATTACTCATCTTTCTGTTGTATAAGGTACAGAATTCTTCCAAAAAATCGCATGTCTCTTTATATCACTCGCTTTCAACAACAATTTGACAATAATTTTTTTCAATTAATTTACAGTGTGGATTTTTCAAGAGGAATCGACCAACAGACGCACCGGAAAGACAGCCACTCAATCGAAATGGTCATTTCCAACATGCGGATGATCATATGTAGAAATCCAATTGAATTGTTAATACGACGATATAAAACTCGCCAGCGACGCTTGTGCCTTAGTGTCATATCAATTAAACTGGAGGCAATGGAATTTTAACGAGTAAAAAGCAAGATTTTTTGTGTATTTCAACTGATGCCGCTACCATGTGCCTTGGATAAAAAAAAAATGTCGACGAATATCTTCATGAAATAATCATAAGATTAACTGCCATAAAATACTCCTCCTGCAGCTCCTGCAGCTCCCAATCTACAAGTTTCTAGTCAGAAACGATTTAATTACGTAACTACTTAAGCCCACGCACACTCAACAAATTTAATTAAATTTTCTCCCTCTTCCTGAATAATAATAGTGCGTGTGCACCGTATATTAATTATAATTTCTTACTTGTTGGCTGCGGGAGCTTGAGTTTCTGGTTTAAAGTGGAGAACTTATGATTAACATTTTTCCTTAATCATTCTGTTTTTTTTTAGAGATCTCACGTGCAACTAACGAATGTTATTGTTTCATTCGGACTGTCCCGATCCGTTCCCCAATTTTTTTTTCTAATGGAAAATGAATATTTCTTCCGTACGCATAATTATTTATTATGCGTTTTCAATTAATAGTATTTATTACTACTGCCACGTGCATCAGTACGAATGGAACATTTGCATTTTTCTGAGTAATTTCACGAGGCAATACATAAGTTGCGTATTTATTATTGAGAAATCTTGTGTTTAGTGAACGTCCGGACGTTTTAGTAGAATGAAAATTCCTTCTGAGTACGTGTACAATGTGTAAATTATTAATTTCATACTAAATCAGATTTTAAATAGCTTTTAACTACCGCAATAATTAATTTTATGTACGAATTTTATCGATCTACTTAGAATCCATTTGTAAATACAGTTCGTAAGGTTTAATATAAATATTATATATAGATATATCAATTGGATTAAACAATTTGTTTATTCATTCCTCTCCTGTTATCTACAACTCAAAAAATGATTACATGTTCTTTCGATCTTTCGTTTATATTTGTCAATCAAAGCGGATACAAAAATACTCTACAAATTTTACAATGATTCAGGTATTGTTTGGTATAAAAAGATACATTATTCATTTAAATGGTTTTACGTAAGTTAATATTCATGATTATTATTATAGCCGTGTGTGAGTTGAACACACATTTACAAAAGCTCTTTGGAATATTATGTAGAAAAATATTACTGGAAACAAGGGAAACATTCTGATCTGTAAAGAACTACAAAAACATACAAAAATAAAAATAATTTACGTATTTGTCGTACTGAAATTTTTCAGGCAATTGAAATTCGACGAGTAATTAAAAATATGTACAATGATTGCGATTTCTCAATGTTTTTCTCACCACGGCTCATTGCTCAGACGTAAAGAAAAAATAATCTTTAAAATTGAGTGGAGATTAATCTCGTAATGGAAATCTCGGAGTATCACAACAAATTGGGAAATAAATGACAATTGTAAAATTGTAGACTTGAGAGTTGAAAGGAAAAGTAAAATTACAGGAATGTTGAAATATTTCAAATGTGAGGATTTTTTAGTTCTGCATTGAGGTCTTCTTCGAAAATATCTTCGTCCCTGCCTCAGCTTTCTGGAACCTGTGAAAAATTACAAGTGAAAAATGATGAAATTAAGGAGTGATTAATGAGTGATTACCTTCCACTGCAATTCATTTCCTACATCGTACAACTGTTGAAGGGCCTCCATTAATTTTCCAGAGTCCTCCAAATCCCTGTACTTGTGATACAACTCAAGAGCAGCTCGCGCATCCTCAGTGGAATCATGAGTTTCGGACTGAATTTTCTTCCCAAGGAAATGCCACGTTAAAAACCGTAATGAAACCATACGGCGATGAGGTAAATGAAATAACAACACTGTATCTACAATTTGTTCCGAGGGAACAACGAGATTGATAACGCGAAAATCATTTTTGAGTCCATGCCCGACAAAAATAATTCCATTATCCACGAGAAATCTCAATTTTTGATAAGTCGACTTGAGTGTCGTCAAGTGTTTGCTGCTAAAATTAGCATCTAGATCGCCAGGTTGTATTCCGCTAAATTTCGTTAAATAATCCACCACCTGCTCCTGCGTGCTGATATAATCGTCGATAAAAGGAGTCCCCTCCAGTGGTCCCTGCCCCCTGATGCAGGTGATCCGTGCAACGGACATGTGGCTCGGTTTGATGGTCGACATCTTGCCATCGCTCCTCAACTCGGACTCTTTCTGATTCAGCGTAACGAATTCGGCATCAATCCCCACAAGATCTCCCTTCTTCGGCATCTCATCAGAAGTCAACGGTGTAAAAGTAATACCCCTGGTGCCTCCACTCCTTGCGACACATTTGTCCTCACCAAAAACATCAGAAGTCAGAGGACTGACGAATGTCACAGGCTCTGGTGGTGATGGGGCTGGTACAGCAGTGTAATGAAGGACACAGGGAACTTTCCAGTCTAGATTAAACCAGACAGCCTCTTGGGGAGTCACTGCTGATATACTGAAATCATTGAACAGGTACCACTGGGCCACTGCACTCCCAGTCGATCTCTCATGATAATTCGGTCCCACTCTGATAAGTGCCACCACATGACGTCTCTCCTCACTGCTTTTGTCATCAACATAACAGACAACTCCAGTCAATGTGTACTGGATCTTCTCGACCTTGGGGCAAGCAGTTTGAGGATCATGCTTCACTTCCTCCTCGTACTTTATATCCTCTAAATTGGAATTCACTTGTGATGATCTGTCTCCATCGTTCTCCACACCTGGCGTTATTTTTCCCTCACCATTTTCGACGATCAGAGGCTTCGTGTTAACAACTTCTCTATTTATCTTGTCAAGTTTTCCAACTGACAACTCCCCATTGGCATCCAGAGATATTTCAATGCAGTGAGGGATCCAGGAATGGGAGTAGTAGAGGTGACTTGGAGGTGCTGCTACTTGTCCTGGATTCGAGGGAGTTGAAGCTGTTGAAGATGGTGAGGGTTGTGCCTCACCTGGAGCTGGGCCTTGGGGGTCCTTCCCCACGTGCCTGAATCTACAGCCAGTGCGATTGCAATTGGTGCCATATCGACACATTTTTACAGTATTAGGAATGGGACTTGAGGAAGGGCTTGAGTCTTTCCCGTTCATGACCTTCTGCACGATTATGTCCATCTGGCTTTGCCAGAACGCCTTCTCCTGCTGAGAATCCAGTCCGCAGTTTAGGGCGAGAATTTTTGGCAGCTTTGTTATTCTTCTACTTTGAAGTGTTGGACTGAATTTTTGACAGCCATCGCACCAAGCTGGCGTCACTTTCTCGGGTTTTAAACTCCGAGCGAGGATTTTAGTGAAGGGTATTTCCTCGTTGGAGTTAGTCACTTCTGGATAAATTAAGTTGTTCAAAAGCATTATTGAATGCTTTGATGCTTCTTGGCCACATTTCAGGCATCGGTGAATGTGAATTTGCTCAGCTCCAAACATTCGGCTTATTTCCGTCTCTTCCTCGCGCACTTCGCTCTCGTCTGTTTTTTTATTTGTTTTTTCTAGTGTAACAATTAAAGAAAAACCTATTTACTTATTTACTAATGATAAATCCACCAGAGGATGAAAGCCTATGTGATTAAATGCCTCTGCCTTTTCGTTATGACAGACATTTTAAAAACCAAAAGTGTACGGATTATTTCACTCTCCAAAAAAAGAAATTCTGCTGTGAATAATTTGAGCTGCTGATGGTGTTCGTAAGCTGTGTGTTAAAAACTCGTGCGATGAATCCATGCGGTTGAAATAAAAAGGGGAGAAATATAAATGAATAAAAAAAATTGTTGATCGAAAAATAAACACAACAAAAAGTGTGCCAATGCAAAAGGGTTTACACATGTTAAATTGTGTTTACCTTTCGCCGCAATCCACATATATTTACCATCCTCCTCATGTTTCTTTCTCTTCTTCTTATCCAAATCATGGCTTTTGTATCGTGATCCTAGATCTTGAAGAATGCTTGGAAAATCCTGCTCGTTGTACACAAACGGTGGATATTTCGGTCCCGATCTGGACCGCGCCGCTTCCTCTTCCTCCAATTGACGTTTTCGAGTTTCCCAGATTTCATAATGAAGCTGATGCAAAATGAATCTATTCCAGCTCTTTAATAAAACCGAACGGATAATTAATATCGATTAATGACCTTTTTGCACTGTTAAAAAAAATGATTTTACTTGAACCAGTCTGATCAAGCTTGTCTTCCTCCTGGCCTCAGGGTGGAGATCACTCAGGATTAATCCCAGAGCAGCCGCTTCTGGAACTGTTCTGAATGCGCGCAAAAAATTTGCAGCTTGACATGGAGTACCTCTCGAGGTATCTAGCATGTGGAATAGGTAACCAAGCTCGCAGGACAGACAAAATTCCTTTTGGCATGAATGGGATAAAAGAGCGCCTCTAACAGGATCACAGTAATACATGAGCTGCAAGGTATAATAAATTAATGGAAAATCAAATAGCAATAATTAAGGATTAATTACCTGAAGCATTGCATTGCAGTAACTATTCGGCAGAGTCGCCTCTAAACCTGAGAAACTCGTCAGATTGTACTGATCGAAATCGAATTCATCGTACCCAAGTCTCGAGTATTTCACCTCAACTCTCCGATATCGTTTTGGTATCGCAATGAATGTACCGTCCTCTGCCTTTGGCCTGGGTTCACCTGTAAATAATTTTGTCACCAAGCCACGACGTTTTTCCAAGTTATAAGGTACCTGCAAAATAAATAATCAGCTATCACTCGATCTTTGGAATAATTCCCCAGAGTCAATATATTATCTTGCATATTGTACACCTGTACAAGAGTTTCTTCTTCCACCGTAGATTTCATTCGTATTAATATTGAAGCTACGCAGATATATCTCATACAACATTTATTGCAATTCAGTACAATTCATCTCTGTATTTTCATACAAATTGTTTACGAGTTTGCTTCGATATTGCATTATTATTTTAATCAGTCTTCCTTCAATTATCAGCAAATCAACTGATATATTCAATTCTTATTTACCTAGTAGTACTAAATTTTGAAGATAATATACAATATTATTTATCACGAGTTTCAATGCTGCATTCGATATATTACAACGTATTTGTTTTAACAGAAGTACAGACCCAAAGGAAAAGAAAATAGTACCATGCAATCGCATTGTATAACAGTTTCATTTAATATTATTAATTTGAAATAAAAGCATTAAGAAAGAAGAAAAAATAAACGGAGTCGCCAGTATTCGTGGATGACGGGAAAGGAATCAGATGGACCTCTTGGACAGAATGAGGAAAGGATGTAGAGTTAATGGTTCAAGCTTGGATGAGTAATGTTTCCTCACTTGGTTTCTCCGGAATGCCTGAGGATTGGGTGCGTAACCAATCGTTCCCTGCATTTTCATTGTCTTCAGTATTTCTGAATCTATTGGGGGGGTTTTCCTACATGGAATATTCAAGTGGAAAAAATGATCATTACCATTTTTAAAATTATTTCAATATTTTTCATGGTCTGACACATACCGATAGATCTTTTTCAAGAATTCCTCCGGCCAATCACTAGCTAATGTGTGTCCAGTGTACATCATGGGAACTGTACTTAGAGGTGTGAGATTGTCATCAAATGATATTGTCTCGAGTGTTTCCACTGGATCCGCAAATTCTGTGGGTCTGGAGTAATTTTTGGTGATAGGTTATGGAGATATTTTGTCAGAGTAATGATTGTGTAAAATAATTATTTCACCTTGAAAATGTATTGAACTGAGGATCAGGGGCATTTGTGGCCATAAGGTGAATGGATCCAGCTGCGTCCCCAAATCCAAGACATTTTGATGTTGGAGATACATCAAAGGACACCACCATAGCCCCTCCTGTGGCAACCTAATGTGTATAAAAAAAAATTATTACTCGTTGTATTATTTATAAACAGTAACGAGGTATTTTACCTGATAGAGACAGGTTAAGGACGGCTGAACATCAGCGTAAATAGTATCCAGGAGTTGCATTTGGCCCAAAGGAGACACGACTGCCAGTCGACTCGAGTAACTTGGCAAGAATTTCAACAAAAATGGATAAACTAGGGTGGTAACTGGAGTGAGAGCTCTCATTTGTCTCAAATCGTACACCATCAGGAATCTATCAGCTGACAGTCCCTGGCGACTATTACTGAACCCACAGGTCACTAAATAATTTCCCTGGATATCAAAATCACTGAGTGATCCACTGTGGGTGTCAAGTGTGTGCTCGATTGACAGGGAATTGGGATCTCTGAGATCTATTCTGCCAGCTGGATTTCCAGCGCAGATAAATTTTCCATGCTGTCTCAAAATTGCACAACCATTCTCCCCAACGTGAACATAACTTGTCTCTTTTCCTCTGCTCAGATCAAAATCAACGATTTTTTCTTGATGACCGCCCATTAGCAGTCGAGATCCAAATTGAAGCATGCACTGCATGTCTATCATATTTGGAGATCTGCAAAAATAATTCCACGATATTATTTTAGAATTCATTATTGTCTCAATTTTGGAAAGTTGAATTGTGAAAAATAAAGGGTGAGAAATTGATATTCATTTAGATTACACTAATTGCTGCAGTTTAATTGCTTACGTGTGGGTGAAGAGGGGTATTCCTCGACGCAGTTGTCCCCTGAGGGCTGTTTGGGTCAAGCACAATATCCCCTCATCGATTGGGTGAATATGTCGTACTTCCTGGGAGGCGTGCACTTGGAAAGACGTGTATTTCTGCAGTCCTGACCCATAATACGAAGTCACGTGACCCTGAAGAATGAATAGAATATAAAAACAGGTATTTTATTTCTATTTCCAATTTCTACTCTTGCTCGTTCAAATATTCTCACCCCTTGGTTTCCCATCCACATCAGCTCTTCAACGGTATCAAAGACCAGAGTTGAAACTCCAAATCGATGTCCCCCATCTGCCAACAATGTATGAGTCTCCTGGAATTCTGCTCCATCATATTCCTCCCCAAATTGTTCAGTCGCTGGTATGAACCCATCAACACCGAGCTCATAACTCTGCTCCTCCCCTGAATAATACCAACAAAATCGAAATTAATAAATAAAAAAATAGCTTGTAACTCAATGTCAACAAATGACGTTGCTTCAACTCACAGATTAAATTCCCCTCGTCAGTTTCAGCTTCAACTGTTCCATCGTACTGATTCAACAGGGAAAAGTCCATTTTAAACACCTCCGGATTCGATTGTAGAATTTAAATGAATTCTCTTCAACAATTGACTTTTCATAACACAATGTTCAACAGTCGCCTTGGCAACTGGTGATCGCTCCAGAATTATCTCCAGTTCTGGATACAATTATCCTGTCTACAGGTATAAAAAAAAATTACTCTCCTTCAATCATCATTTCAATTCGAATTATTTTTGAGGAAGTACTGAGAATTAATTAATAAGTCTTGTCAAACTGTTGTTCTTCAGCTCTCACAAAAGAGTGATCCTGCGAACACTTCGAGCATTTTTTATTTATCACCGAATCAACAAACAGACAACTGCCCATGGAAAAATTCCTATAAATTCACTAGTAATTCGTAAGAGCGGGAAATGAACGAATCGGTCAGTATTGCGAGGCTTTTCTTGTAAAGAGAAAAACAATCTCAACTGATTAATTAATTTCGCTTCTAAAAATATAAAAACGTCGTAAAATAAACAAACCATTGCAAATTGCCTGTATAATCTAAAAATCGTCGTAAACGCAGTCGTACTGTCAATTTATTCTTAAAGTCTCACTCTCCAACCACTCACAACATATATTATTACCCAATATCATAGGAGGGCTTATTCAATGAATTTTTTTGTAGCCGTAAAAAAATTAATTCTATTTATTTGCAGCCTCTGAAATTCACAGCCGTTTTTCGCCGGGATTTTTAAGTTTAATTAAAAAATTAAAATTTCCAGTTTCCGAGTCGGCTGATGGGCAGACACCCCCATTGCGTGTGGCGCCCTCCCTTTCCTGGGGTGCAGTACTGCGATGCCGCTGGGGTCACTGGAACCCCCAGAACTGAGCCTCTACTTTAGTCAATCCTCTTTGACAGAGACTTTGACGTGAACTTTGGTCAGTGATGGTGACAATTTAGCCTCGTCGGGGACAATCTGAGAATTCAGGTACTCATCGGATTAGCCCCAGAGGAGGATTAACAAGCAGTGAGTCAGTCACCATGTTTATCGTGTGTAATATCTTATGTTTACGCAATGAGATGTGATAAATAATCGGGTGAAGCCAGAGGTAACGGTTTGCATCGTTCGGGGGAATTTTAATCATGTGGAAACTGATGAGAGACGTGAGGCTCTAGCCTCTAGCTTTTTGGCTTTGTGGGCTCTTCCCTCTGGAGGGCATTCAGTCGGATATTTTTTCCAATAATTTCCAGGGGGTCTGGGGGAGGTTTGGCAGGGGTTACTGAGTTACTCTTGGGTTTGGTTTTATTATTTCGTGGTAAACGGTGGGATGAAGTAAAACAGCTGGAGGATGATGATGGGCGATCCGTTTCGTGGTAAAGTCGAGCAGTACTCGCCAAAGTCATCACCGAGGGGTGCACGCTCACCGGTGGTATCACGACAGGACTCAACGGGAACGTTAAAAACCACCATTTCACTGGGAAAGAATCCGTCAATCGTCCACAGTGGACCCTTCTATTTGATGAAGGAACCGCCTGGTATGTTGGAAGTTTTTTTTATTTTTCTTCGTTTTCACCATTTTTTATCCATCTGCCAGACATTTGCCTGAATTCATACAAAAATTCCAACGTTTTTCTTCCAATTCCATTTGACACGAATAGACGGAAAACGTAGGAATTGGCTGGAAGAATTGAAGAGAAGAATTGAACGTGAATTTCTCTGTTGGTTTTTAGGGGAGAGCGATTTGACTGGAGCCACCAATTTGATGGCCTATTATGGCCTTGAGCATTCGTATAGCAAATTCAGTGGGAAGAAACTTAAGGAGCAGTTGTCCTCTTTTCTGCCCAATCTGCCTGGAATTATTGATACTCCTGGAGATCAAGACAACAGGTAAGACTAAAGAGGAAAAGGTAGCAAGGGAAATTATTCCCCTGTCTGGTATTACAGGAATATTTCTGAATCTAAGAGAGATGGCGAAATATTCCTGAGAATTTGTTTTGTCGAGTGAAATGATTATCAATTATCCATTTGTTTTTAGTTCACTACGTTCTGTAATTGAGAAACCACCAATAGTGGGTAAAGAATTGCTTCCCCTGACAAGTGTTCAATTATCAGGCTTTCGTCTTCATCCTGGACCTGTAAGTTGCCCAAATTAATCCTTGAATTTTTTTTTTCACCACTGATTAATGATTTAATAATGTACGTGTGCAGTTACCTGAGCAGTATCGATACGTGAATCAAGCGCCCCAGAGAAAACACAAGAACAAACATAAGAAGCACAAACATAAACCTGGTGAAGTGCCTGCGGGCCAAGAGGTAGCAGCCACTGACATCAGCGGTGCTGACACACATGAGAAAAAACACAAGAAGCAGAAGAGACACGACGAGGAGAAGGAAGCGAGGAAGAAGAGGAAGAAGGAGAAGAAGCGAAAAAAACAGAAACACAGTCCTGAGCATCCCGGTGGATTGACACCCTCCCAGCATTCCAATTCGTGATCCATAATTTTAACGTCAAATCGAGATCACTGGAATCAACGTGCCGTCAATGGACTAATTATGTTTTAACTGCCTTATTTTTCCCCCCTCGTAATTTATTGGTTGACTGATCGGTGGAGAATTGATAAATCGTAGCCAATTGAAGTTTTCCATTCGAATTATTCATTCAAAAAAATTTTCAACTGAGAATCGAAAGGAAAATTCAAATTATTCACGAGATAAATATGTTATCGAGATATTTTTTATCCTGTTGTCATAAAAAAATTGGGAGAACGTGTGGCAACATCTCATTGAGAAAAAATCAATCAGCAAAATATATGATCTATTTTTTACTCGTTCAATTGGCCAATGACACCTGGGACTTTATTTCAGAATGAATAATGGACACTGCCACTGGGTTTTAGCCACTGATTTTTTTCTGCTGAATGTGATCAATCGGTGACGAATTATTTAACGAGCTAATGTGGGGGAAACGTGCGTATATGAATGTCCTGAGTTTATGGGTTTAGATGAAATAGTTAATAATGCGGATTCTGCTCTATTCCAAAGATTCTGCACACTCATGTAAATAAATTAAATATACAGCGGTTGGCAATGTTATTTGAAAGTGAATGTGAGAAAATTGAGGGAATCGTCATAATGTTATCGATTTAAACGAGTAGTATTTATAATGCAGACACGAATAAAAATAGTTTAATTATAAAATTATTCTGTCAATCATCTGTGATTAATCCTCGAAGCAAATTCATTGATCATTCCCTAAAAATCGAGAAAATTGAAGATGTGATGAGACTCGAAAGGAATCTGAGACGTATAGAAAGTGAAATGCTTTTCCATCTCCAATTTATTATCATAATAAATCCGTCATTTCCGTTTCCATTTTGTCGTCTAGAAATCCAGGATTCATTCAATTTGATAATTGCGTAAGTGCACACGTAATAATGTTTATTATATGAATATTTACCAACGATGTACAATATAGTTTTAATTAGTACCAATGGAATTACGTTAATTTTAATTATTTTTGGTTGGACGTTCAGTTCCAAGGAAGAAGCTGTTGTCCTCCATTCGCGCGACAACGAGTGTCAAAACAGCTGTATCCGGTATGTGCAGTGGGTTGCGCGCATAAACGTTGGATCTCCCCGGCGTTCACTTTCGTCGCACCTCAGTTTCCTCTGGTTCCCGCCATTACGCGGGTGTTCACGTCGTATTTTCTACAAATAATTACGTCGGCATCATGACCGACAACCGTAAGTACTCAAAATCATAAACCTCTGTCGCTCGCATTAAAAAAATTCGTTCTCACAAATATCTTCGGTATCACCACGTGCCCGATAAAAAACATCAACAAACGCGGAAGTATCATATGACGCTAGGGTCCATTGATGCTCCAACCCCACGCACTCGGCCCCCGGAGATGATGCCAAGAATTTACATGCGATATTTCTCATAATTCCGGAATTAATCACCAGCCAATCCTTTTTCAAAACCCCGAAACTGATTTTTTCAGTCATGACCTCATTGCAGCTAGTATCTAGCATCTTATCGGGTGCAATCGATAATTTTGCTCCTCCATTTTTTTCACCAATTGTTTTTACACGTCGTTGACTGTTCATCCACTGGGAATCGGTGCTCGCGTGATTTTTCATTTGAATAATCGATAATTCCGTCGTCTCTGAATTAATTCAAATTTGTATTTTCAAAGGCAGAATTTATTGAAAAATTATTATTTTCAGTGATTATTATTATTTATTTGTATATTTTTTATAAGTTCGAAAAGTATAGATGTCGGGGTGAAATTAGAACCCATCAAAAATTGTTTCATTTTTCATTTACGACGTTTTTCTCTGGTTAAACAAAGATAATTGTTTATTTATACTTATACATGAAATATATATATATTTTTTTATTGTAAATAATGATTTAGAGATGATATTTTTGAGAATTCTCGGAGAACTCATGGCTTAATTCTTTTCACTGGTTAATCTCGAAATATTCCACTTTTATTCTTTGATTTTTCCAGAATACTCGAGTTATCAGCAGCAAGGCTACAGCCAATACAGCCAGCCACCACCGAGTGGTGGACAGGATACATCGTATCCTCCACCATCTTCTGGTAATGCAAGCTACAATCAGTACAGCCAGCCTCCACCCAGCAGTGGTAACTACGGTAACTACAACAACTACAGTACATCCACTGGTCAGGATTACAATCAGGCCCAGGGCCAGGGTGGCTACACCCAGGGAAGCTACGGTGCCTCTGGCAATCAGAGCAGTGGAGCTGCTGCTGGTGGTGGCAATAATTACGGGGGGAGTAATTACGGAGGGAATTCAGGGGGTGGATATAACCGTGGAGGATCCTCAGGAGGTTACGGAGGTAATTATCCCCCATACATCACAGGGTCTTGTAAATTGAAAATCATTAGAATATTCAAGAAATTAATTCATTCGTTAATGAGAAATTATCTCATGCCACTCTGTGGCTGTTAAAAATTTCGAATTTTTTCCTTTGAAATTTTATTGGTAATTCTGATTGTTTTATAATAACAATTATTTTTTCAGGACAAAGTGGAAGTGGTGGTGGCGGTGGCGGTGCTGGACGTTACAGCGACCGTGGGGGTTACGACCGCTCGAGCGGTGGCGGTGGTTACAAGTAAGTCTGCCATTTCTTAATCCCCAAAAATTCCTCCTCTCGTCGAATATCGAAAAATAAAAAAAAAAAACAGACGATAAGAGTCCCCTCTGGAGACACTAAAGGTACCATCAAGTAGGTGTATATTATCTTGGAATGAAGTTTCCGAACATTAACTCATCAATCATACAAAAAAAAATGTGGTTCACCTGCCATTTCGGCGTTAATGTATTTGAAGTGTGCCTACAGGTTGTTGTTTATCGCACAGGTATAACTGGTTTGTTATGAAAAAGAGGTAATGATAACAGGTTGTATACGACAAATGACGTAAAAATATGGTAATGGCATTATCGAGGGAATAATCACCGAGATAATCACCTGTTAGGGTGGCTATTCACTCTGGGTGAATCGACAGAGCCAGAGGGTTGGTAGGACCATATCTTCGGTGGGATTCTGGTATTTGTGGAGAGTCTGATACCTCGAGCACTTGAATATTTTAACCTTTACACCGAACCCTACCCAGTCTGCCAGACAATAATTCAATAATTTAATTGTCATCGCCATTTGTTTATGCGAATAGTTGAATACTTTTAGAACCGAAGGGTCAATTAACGGTTGAAAAGAAAAGGTTCAACAGGAGAAGCAAAATATTCATTTAGTTTTCCCTTTTTCCTTTATCTTATTGCTCTAAAATTTTTTTTCACACTTTTTCGTTCTATTTTAATTGAGTGAATCAATATTTGCGTTGATGTTTTTTTTTTAATAAAAGAAAAAAACGATTGAAGTTATGGAAGCTATTGATTAATAATTTGTTTCGGTCTGACAGATCGCTCCATTTTCTATTTGGGTGCTTCAGACATTTATCGGGGCGAAAAAAATTGAAAAATTTATCCTAGTTCGGTGTAAAGGTTGACTGGAGGTGTGCGAATAGTTTTCGAATGAAATTGAATCGAATAACAAAATTCAATTAAAAATTTATGCGATTTTTCTATTATTTTTACTATTAATTATTCAATTTGAATAATTCCCACACCTCTGATTGAACCCTTTTTTCTTTACTGAATGCATCGATATATCTGCCACAATGACTCCCATCATTTGCGCAGAATAATCGTAACGAGTGATTAAAAAAAAAATGGAAGAAGGTGGTGTGTCCGTTGACGATGCACATATCGTCCCTCAGTACTTGGTATTGATCTGGGGCTTGCTGATACACTTTCTACTATAAACTTAAAGTACAGAACGATATCGCCAACTCTACGCTCTGTTTATCCCTCGTGGAGGGCTCATGCTGGTTATGGAAATTATTGCGGTTTCGGCTCCAACTGTCTTTACTTAAGACTGTCTTGGATTCTGGTTTATTAGAAATACACCTGGGATATCTGAGTGGTACTTTTCTCGAAGTCGAGGGCCTTTAGAGGAATTATTTCTCTGGGATTTCATTCCCACTTTCCATTCATTAACGAAAGAAGAAAAAAACGCACTCAATGAATTTTCAATTGGAAATTATTCACAATTAATTTGAGGGGAATTAATTTGAGGAGAATAATTGAATTGAAATTCATAATCACAGGCCCCTGATAATTAATTAAAAAAATTCTTGTACCAAATTAGACGAAATGTTTAATTATTTGTGAGTTTAATATGTAATTTAAGTTTAATACTTTTTGATAATGATTTCCGTGAGAATGTGATTCCTCCAGGGCCCATTGTATCGTTCGGAGGAAATGTTCTCTGAGATATTCACCCAGAAGAATCGTTTGCAAATAAAAGAGGTAAACCTGCATGCCAACACCAATAAATCAACCGACTGCAACTTGTAACCTGACTTAGTTTAAGATAATTATTTATACGAATATGGTGACAGACGAAATTTAGACAGTAGGTAACCATCAAGAGAAAGGAAGGGGTTTGGCAATGAATCAACGATATGAAAAAACACATCAACGATCGAACTGATCGAGTCTGTCCCCCCATGAGTCGTCTCATTGGTATATCTGCTTCTGTGTTTTAGCAGTGGCGGTGGCCGTGGTGGTTATAACAAAGGTAAATGCACCAGATCGTACTGTACTGATCTGGTGCTTATTCACGCATTCAATCTAATATTTTTAAAGAATCAACATTTTAATTAATGCTCGGTTACGTTCACTATATGAAAGGGCTACCACATCGCGATTCTGATTAAGGATCTGATTATTTATTAATAACTGTTTGTTATTGTGCATTGTCCATTGGTTGATCGAGTTGTTATTTTCAACTCAAGCTAGATCGAACGAGCGGTAGAAAAACCTATAAAGTTTCCAATTGACTAGCGAAAAAAGAAAGGCAACAAGACAACAAGTCGACTTATTTCTCTCTGGAGGAATTCCTTTTCGAGGAATATCTTTGAATCTACGGGGGATACCGATATTTTTCATAAGACCTTTTTCACAGAGCGGAATGTGAGCTACAAAAAAGGACACGTGCAAAATTTTGCAGTCTCTGCTGGATTCGGAGATATTCCTCTTGTTACCTTTTACCTGTTCGCTACTGAATTTGTTACGGTGGTATAACATGGCGACTGGGGGATATGTAAACCAGTAAAAAATCCCTTAGTATGTAGTAGGTGTAATTTTGGGGTATGATTTATTAAAATGGTCTGTTACTACGATTGGAGCCCTTTTATATGCAACTGCAACCTTGTGTTGGATACGATGATAATTAGACGAAATTCATTTGGTGTTTTTGGCGGTACGTTATAGGCGGGGGGAAAACTTTTTTTATTGACGATGATTTATTTATTGAATCATTGGTATTTAATATTCACGTTATGGAGTATAAGGAACATGTGGTCATATGAATCCTAGGCAGGGTGTGTGGTTTTTAAACCGTATATTGGTGATAAAGAATTTTTAATGGTTTATTGTAAGATTTATTGTTATGGGTAAAGAGTTTATGATGACTCGGTGAATGGGACGGAGAAGTTTAAGGGCATGTGGTAAAATAATGTCATGAGCTAATCCATGACAATTGGACAACGCTGTGTTGATGATTTGGTTAAATCACTGGTGGGGGGAAAATTTTCGATGGAGATGAACAAATTTTATCGTCATCGTAATGATGTTCTTTGGTTTTATCGTCATAGCCGTAATTACAGTGTTTGCTTATTTTGTTTCGAATAACGCGGATCACGTTGCTTTGGAGAAATTATTGTAGTTATTAGGGAAAATGTAGGTTTTTTAAAGGAACTGATCCTGTTAGGGATGTTTCGGATTGAGAGATGGATATATTTCTTTTTTTTTATTATTGCTTATTGGATTTTTAATTGTGGCCGCGTTGCAGGGGGCTTTGGTGACCGGAATGGCGGCAATGACGGGATGGTCGTGCAAGAGGACACTATTTTCGTTTCTGGAATGGATCCAGGAGTCTCTGAGGAGGAGATTTGCCAGCATTTTGGGGCGATTGGAATTATTAAAGTGAGTAGTATCGGGATTTTATTCATAAAACACTTTTATCACTCTAATCATTTAATTGAGCAATCAATTCCCTTTTTATGAATAAATAATAATATCAAAAGAAGTAAAAAAAATATGAACAATCAATTCCTTTTAAAAAAAAACATGTAACATTTTTTGTCACTTTGTTCGAGGCCCACGAAGGGTTAAGGAATTATCGATCGGTGGAATGAAGATTGAATGTAAAAAATGGTAATTATTATTTTAGAATGATAAACGCACTGGCAAACCCAAGATTTGGGTGTACAGAGATAAAAACACTGGGAAGCCGAAGGGGGAGGCAACTGTAACGTACGATGATCAGGATGCGGCACGTTCTGCGATCGTCTGGTTTGATGGCAAGGATTTCAAGGGCTGTACGATTAAAGTGCAGATGGCCCAGCACAAGAGCAATTGGCAAGGGGGACGTGGGGGTGGACGAGGGGGCGGTGCACCCGGTGGGGGCCGCGGGAGGGGAGGTTTCGGTGGTCGCGGGGGTGGAGGTGACAGGGATGGGGGCGATCATCATCGAGGGGGTGGAGGAGACGACAGGAGAGATTCTGGAGGTCGTGGTGGTGATTGGAGGTTTGTCTCATAATTATCTGTATTAATTCCAGGAAAAACCCAAAGATTTTTATCTTTTTCATTGTTTTCCATTTCGTCGGAGGGAATTAGCGAAATATTTGCGAAGTGAAGTGGGAGCTATAAAAATGATCTCGACAAGTATTCCGTTTTTTTTTAGATTCAGAGATTTCGCCGAAAAATTGAAGGAAAAAAATCATTTGTTACCCTTTAATGAATTATTTCATTATTTTCTGTGGTTATAGATAATCCAATGTTTTTAATCGAATTATTTTATAATCAGATGCACAAATCCTGACTGTGGTAACACGAATTTCGCATGGCGCGACGAGTGCAATCTCTGCAAAAGCTCAAAACCAGAAGGTGCAGGAGGTGGCGGCGGTGGTGGTGGCGGTGGCGGCCGTGGGGGTCGAGGTGGAGACAGGGGTGGACGAGGTGGTGGTTTCAGGAATGATCGTGGACGTGGGGGTGATCGGGGAGGCAGAGGAGGTGGTGGAGGATTCCGTGGGGGCGACAGAGGTGGAAGTGGCGGACGTGGACGTGGAGGGCCCATGCGTGGAGGTGGAGGGTGAGTTGCTTCTATCGATTAATAACTTTTCTCTCGTCAAGTATTAACCATTTTTTCGTTTCTTTACAGACGAGGGGACAGGGACAGGGACCGCCAGCGGCCGTATTGAACAGACAATTCTGACTGGCAATTGTCAATTGCGCGGACGGAATGTGTAAATTTTCTTTTGATGATGACACCAGGTTTCGAGGTGTTAACACCACATCTCCATTAATATTTACTCAATCACTTTTCATACGTGAGGGACTAATGGATTACACATGATTTATTTCCCCCTTTTTTTTCATAACGAATTGTGTAATGTATGTGTAAAGACTAGATTTTAATAAAGTGAATCACATAATATAGAATAAATTGTCTGCATTCGTTTTTTGATTTATAAATTATTGAATTATTAAAGTTATGCATTATTGGATGAAGTTGAAAAATAGAAACAAAAGGTTTTATTTATGATAAATTTATTTGATTGATTGATAAGTTGAAAAATATTGTATTATAATAAACCTGATCATTTAATTATTACAGCATGTGTAAATTCAAAGAGAAGAAACGGAACAATTGACGCGAAATAATTTATGGTTTTTTATCTTTACAAAATAAGGAGAATAGTACTCGACAATCTCTCTCACTATCTCACGAATATTTATCGAAAACATATCCAATAGTCACTCATTAACTAAGTAGAAACAAGTTTGTTTATCGTAGTAAATCTAGGTTCCTCTTGGTTTTTATTTGTTTATTTTAAATATGAATTAAAGTAGATATATATATAATAGAAAGGATGAAGACCTCTATAATGGATTTACTCGAATGTCGGTGACACCTCTCGCTTTTATCGCGCTGAATTATTGCTTACGTTTGCGATTCTGCTGCTCCTGATAATGGAAAATATAAAAACATAAATTATTAAAGAAAAATGCACACGAATTTTAAGAAAATTCAGACTGAAAAAGTTCATTGCTCTGATATTTGGGAATTTAACAGAGATCAGAAAAGATTAAAAATTATTTTTTGAAGGAAAATTTTTGATATTTTACGCACCTTGATGGAGAGAATTTCGACCAAATAACGGAATACCCTGAAGAGGTCAATGAACAATTCCAGCGAGTGGCCGATGAAGTCCTTGCTACCCATGTGGAATTTCTCGACAATCAGCTGTGTATCGAAGATGATGAAGCCACACATCAGGATGAGTCCCAGGTAGAGCTGTGCTTGGTAGACGAAGACTGAACGCAAGAAGATGTTGGAAAGCAGCAGGAGGATGGCGATATTCGATAAGCTGATGAGAGTACCACCCAGGTACAACCACTGGCCTCGAGGTGCGTACAGCGATGAAAGGCTGAAGGAGACGAAGACTACCGTTGATCCTGAAATTTTTTATATTCAATTCAAGTTTTAATTGAAGCTGAAAATTCGCTATTTGTGGCACACGTCTACGTGTAGTTAGCAAAGTTACTGCTCTGTTTAGTTTAGAGAGGGGGAAACTTACGCGGCAGTTTCTACTGTAATGACGCCACGATTTAATATTCATGTCTGGGTAATTTGTTTGTTAAATGGAGAAAATTGTTTGGTCTTTATTCGTATGGGAAATGTAGCAATTACTGAAACTTAATGAATTTTATTGGTCCATCAGTGAAGAACATCATTTTCTGGGAATTCCCGAAATTTGTGATTCAAAGTCAAGTGGAAAAATCCATAATTTTGTAAATATAAATTGTTTTTAATTCAAAAATTTTTGTCAATAGATAAAAATGATATTTAGACTCCGGGTGCTAAATTATTAATGGACATTCAGGATGAACTCACCTACGAGTGCAGTGACAATGATGCTCGGGTCAATACTGATGACAATTTCCAGGAGAGGTCCCAGTCCAAGACCGGAGAGAAAAGCGAACCCCAGGAGATACCCAAGACGGAGTTTCTGATTTTTTCCATTATCGGGGGTGACCCCGAGGGCGATCAGGAGGCCCAGGGCACCAAGAGTGCTCAGGAGACTGGCCTCCAGGAGATTCGTGAACAGGTGAACATATGCACCAGCCCCTGCTGTCAAAGATGACAGTGCCAAACATCCGTAGACATTCTTGAGGTGCTGTCGGAGAGGTGCTTCCCTATCAACACCATAAATTATTAAAACTCAATCCAAGGCCAGCCCCTCAAGAGTTGTCATTACTATCAGTCGTCTCTTATCAACTAATACTCGGAAAGCGACTCAGCACGGATGCCAACAACATTGAGAATTATATTTATCAGACAGTGAAAAACTAATGAATATTTCAATGTTTCTTTTTTCTAAATATTCCAAATTTATCTAATTCATAATAATTCTTTTAAAAGAAAAATAAATCTTGAATTCCCCAGTTCTGTTAAACACCATCTAATATAAAAACTATTGATGTTACGAAGAAATAACAAAAGGCTTTGTTTCTTGAAAATTTAATGAGCTCTAAAAAAGTTCCCCACCACTTCCCCTGAAAATCGATAGCCGTCCAGATAAATCGATAATTAAAAAAAACATTAATTCCCTGCAATCTCGCTCTACCACTTCTCCATTAAATCATGAATTATTAAAATAAAAAAAGAAGTGTCCACTCTCTAGAGATTCCTCCAACACCTCTACGCAATCAACTCTCCGTTTTTTTTTTTTCATTACATCATCGACAAAACCTTTGAAATAAAAAAATTGGAGATTATCCCCTCCCGTGGGAATTGAGTGGAGAAGCCCTAGGATGCATAAACAAATCTATTTGCATATATCTGAAAAGCAGCAATAAATAGTGAGGTCGCGGTGGTATCAAGGAGGACAATAAAAAATGATAATAATTTATCTACTTACAGCCTGTTCGTGAAGGAATTGACGAAACTAGTGATTCCTACAGCCATGATTTTACTTCACTGATGATGATATAACAAACAAACAATTTCGTTAACTCTTATCAAGTGGTACTTCGTCACGTCGTGCGTCTGATTTAATTCTGGTTTCGAGGATGATCATGAATTGTGGAAAGTGGTGGGCTTTTGGGGACACGTCAGTAATATCCCTTTGCGTAAATTTCGTACGTTATTCCGATTGGTTAAGACACCTCGAAGGAAGCGTCAGCTCTCGAGAAAAAGAGACGAACTGCTGGAGATGTGCCTGACAGAGTGAGAGGGTGGACAAGTCTTCAGGACAGTAGTGGCATCTGGAACCCCCACCAGGGAAATTCCTCTCGGGAATTTAGAGAAATTCTGGGGAGTGATTGGCAGATCCCAAGAAATTCCCCATATTCAGCTTTAGCGGGCAATTCAAACTCCTCAATAAAAGAAAATATAATTAACGGACGTAATTGACGTGTAACTATTAATCTGAAATATTTCGTGACATAATAGTCATCCCTCGATATAATGCCACTTGGATTTGGTTAAGGATTAATTGAATTTGGTTAAGTGTTAATTGGACTTGGTTAAGTGTCACATAGGGGCAAAAAATTTAAGCGACTCCATAAAATGTTAAAATTTCAAATAGCATTGCGTGTGACGCCCTCCCTCTCTTGGGGTGCAGTACTACGGTGCCGCTGGGGTCACTCAAACCCCCAGAACTGAGCCTCTAGTTTAGTCTATCCTCTTTGATTGTACACCTCCAAAAAGACACTCCACAAAAAATAAGCACTCTATTTTAGAGTGAAATTAAAGGATTTAATAAATCGTTTGGGGCCAATTCGAATTACTGATTATTATTTCATCGGCTTAGGACGTAGTGGGAGAAGTTTGAAGATTGAGGGGACACGGATTTTTGAGATGATATTTTTCAATATGATATTTGGGTTTTAATTCGATTTTTGTGGAAACTTGTTGAAGTTTTTGGAGGTTGGCTGGATATGGATGATGAATTGGAGGATAAAGTGCTTTATCAGGTAAAATCGAGCAATTGGTGAATTTAAGCCAGAGATTGAAAAACTCCAGTGGTTGTTTTTTTGTTTTCAAGAAAGAACAATGGGTTGTTATCGTCATTTGGCATTTACTTTGGTACCTAGATTACTGGTTACGACCACTAATTTCCTTTATTAAACTGAATTAAAAAGATAGGGCCAATGGTTTGTGAATGAATAAATAAAATTCATTGATGTTGATTTTTTTGGGACAGTGGAATGCAAATGAAAATAATCTCCCAATGTTTTAATTGTTCGTATTGATGATGACCGCAATTATCATTAACTTCATCAACAGACTTATGTATCATACATGAAGCTCTTGTCGAAGTTTGCTGTGGGTTTGCCCACGAGTTTAACCGCTGGTTCCAACACACCTATCGGTTATTTTTGGAGGATGATGCGTCTGTATGCACTCAAGCCAGAAGTGTTATTCTGTGGTACAGTTATGTTCGTCATACTGTTCTACCTGCAGGCTGTTGATGTTTGGAGCAGAACTTTGCTCGGTAAAATTCAGTACACCCTTCGAAAAACGAGTTCGAAGGTATGCCCGGGCTTTAACCAATCGTTTGATCGATTTATCGATTATTTTTTGGGATTTTTCAGGTATCAAAGCTGCAGTTCCTCGTTGCCAATGCCAGTACCAGTGGGGAAAATCTCAAATGGGAACTCGAGGAGGGTTATGTCGCAGCATACGCAGTACAAGGACATCGACCTTATATGGAGGATAGATTCGTAGTCAACGAGGACATCAACAAAACTGGTGTTTCAGTTTTCGCGGTTTTCGATGGACATGGAGGAGAGGTAATTGAAGAATTAATTAATTTCTCCATCAAGGAGAATTATTTTCAATACTCACGTGAAAAATTTGCAGTTCGCTGCGGATTACGCCCGTGACAAGCTGATGCCAAACATAAACAGGAAGGTGATTGAGCTCAAGAGCATGATCGCTGGTAAACCGTTACCCCGGGATAACGAGAACGAAGAGAATTCCCCGAGTGAATCAAAAGTGCTTGATAATTCCCTGGAGAAGCGCAAGTCCTTTAGGAAGACAGTGTCAACGACTGACGACACGACGAAGAGTAAATCAGGAATAACAGACCCAGAGCTGCTGAACAAATTGAACAGTCTAGTCCGTCCAATAACGAGGGAAGTGCGACACGATCGACCCCCCGAGGCTCCCCCAAAGGCAGTGGACATGTCGATGTACATAGAGGGACAGAGAATAAATTACGCAAAGCTGTTGACAGACGAGGTATTGGCAGTTGACAGTCTCCTGGTACAGGCAGCCAAGAAGAACATGGATGTGGCAGGGACAACAGCTCTCATTGCAGTCCTGGAAGACAATAAACTGACAGTAGCAAATGTGGGGGACTCTAGGGGAGTTATGTGCGACAGCAAAGGGAATGCAATTCCTCTGTCATTCGATCACAAGCCCCAACAGCAGAGGGAGAGGCAGAGAATCAACAAAGCGGGGGGTTTGGTTACCTTCAATGGGGTCTGGAGGGTCGCTGGCATCCTCGCCACTTCCAGGGCTCTCGGAGATTATCCACTCAAGGACAGAAAGCTTGTTATTGCCGATCCTGATATTTTGACGTTCGATTTGACTGATCATGATCCATCCTTTCTCATTCTCGCCTCTGATGGCCTCTGGGACACCTTCTCCAATGAGGAGGCTGTTGCCTACATCAGGGACAGGCTCAATGAACCTTATTTTGGCGCTAAGAGTCTCACTCTGCAGAGCTATTACAGGGGATCACTCGATAATATTACAGTTGTCGTTATCAATCTCAGGAATCGAAAGTACAAAGTGTCAGATTCTAGAGGGAATTAGGGAGTAGCTAGGAAATTATTATTGTTGTTTTTAGATTTTTCTTCGTGGCTTGATCTTCTAGTCATGGGTTTCGATATTTGGACTCTGCCTGGAACGTTTACAGATGAGAGGAATTTGAAGATTTATGGAGGAGTCGATTTTAATAAACGTATTCATGAAAATATCTTTTCGTTTTTCTTTCGTACTGATTCATTTTATGGTCGTTTTTATTGTCATATAAAAAATATGACATAAGAGTGAAATTTAATTTAACAGTAATGTTCAGAGAATAATTATTTTACCAGCAGGTTTGCTTGTCGGAGATGAGTATTTTCAGTGTTTTTCGAGTTATCAGTCTTATTGTATGATTAGGAATTGAGTAAGGGTACAGGATGCAGAGAATATTGTCTCTTTCCCTGAGTGCGTGACACTTGTGGTATTCTGAGCACCAGTAGGTCTCTCTAGCTTGAATTGTTCGACGATCACTTGGATTTCTCTGACCAACTGATTCGCCTTTTTGGTGGAGCAGGAATGGTTCCACAGCCTGGTAATAAAATGTCTTCAGGATGTCTAATCTCTGAGTGCCCATTTGTTGATTCGTGGACTGACTGTTAGGATTTCTCCCCATCACAAATTTTCCGATGTTGCAGTCCACCAGGAGAAATCCTAGGATTGATGGGTCCAGAGAGAGATCAGCTGGAAAACACTGGGGATAGGACTGCTCCGCAGCTCTCAATGTCTCGACGTTGTTCCTCCAGTGCTGGACAACCGTTTTCTCCACTTCTATTAGATCTGGACGGGGGCCACAGAGGGCCAGGACCTGGACTCCTTTTATTAGAGTCACTGATATGAGTCTAAATGCCACATTAGGACTCATCTTTGGGAGAAAGACTGGGAGATCGCAGGTGGAGCAGCTGCTGTCCATCGAGCCAGCCATCATCAGCAATTTCTTCTCGATGGGATCCAGTTGTAACCAACTGTCAGTCCCCACTGCCATGCACCCATGGATCAGAATACAGCCATAAGAGGAGTCCAGGTACTCCATCAGCAAGTCCAGACTACTGTGAAGAAAATGATTCTCGGGACACAGAATGCTGCTGGACATCGCCACCAGGTCAATCTCACTGCAGCTTCTGTTACCAATATCCAGGCAGTCCAATAATTTATCGATAATGTTGTTGCAGTTCCTCAGCTCTTTCTTCAGCCTCTCGATGCTCCTCGAGTTTTTTATCTCATCGATTCCAGCGACTAGGATCATAGCATTGAAAACAGTGTCAATGAACTTCTCGAGGACGTGCTTCGTCGTGCCACTGGCTATTGCGATCAGAGTTATGGATTCTGCGAATTCTTTCCAGACGACCGTTGTGTCTGGCATCTCTGTGTTTTTCAGTTTTATATCCTGAGACTTCAGGAACATGTGGATACCACTCAGCGACGCCATTTTCGAGAAGGTCATCTGGAGAAAAAATAATTAATATCAATACAAAAATAATTCTTACGAAAATAAAACAACTGTTGCATTAAATAATTATTAGTGAATTTTAGTGAAGTGAATTCAATTAGCAACTCACAGCACTTCCCTCTCCCTTCTTCCTGGAGAACAAGGGGATTCCCCCCGAGGAAGTTAAACACATAACGTGTGCAGTCATTCCTGGAGTATAATTAATCGAATATCATTACTTTCTGCGACAAAGATTAGAGTAAACGCCAGTTTGTTTTGATTTTTATGAGGGGACTCTCAGCTGGTTGCTGAAATCTTCAGCTCCATATCTGTAAAACGCAATTAACCTAGAACAAAATTATAAGTCGATTTATAAATTATTAACACTGTATCAATATATTAACTTGTAAAAAACATCTGGTAATTATTTACAGAATTGAATTTGACACTTACCCCAGATCACTGGTGGGGGAAATCTTGGGATGAACCACTGGTGTTTCTCTACGTGTCCGTGCGCGTGTCAGCTTCACTCACACAATTTCACAAAAAATTGTGCATATATATTCACCAGTATTTCTCCTAAAATCAAAACATGGAGTAGCCATTTGGCATCTCATTGCACTGTACGATACACAACTGACATGTAAAAAACAGCCTGTGATAACGAAATTCAATGTACAAATATGTGTAGAACAAGTACTCTCTGTTTTTTGGTTATATGCCAAGTGCTGTCGGTAGTGAAGTGTCTTGAATTCTCGGGTAGTGATGCTGATGTACTCTACAAAATAAATTGGCCTGGGAAAATTAGCACTGATTTATTGGCAAACGAGAATTCCGAGCTGTATCCCATAACGACAGCTAACAACGAGAAATACACGTGTATTATTCCAGCTGCCAGGAAACATGAGGATAACAGCAATGAGCCTTACACTGGGCCCAATCCAATTGAATTATTGGCACCACTTTTCAATCAGAACACATGCTCCTTCAAGTTAGAAACTTATTGGACGTACGAGGTGTGTCATGGGAGACACGTTAGACAGTATCATGAGGAGAGAGAAGGTAAAAAGGTGAAGGTCCAGGAGTTCTACCTCGGGAGATTCCCTAAGGGACAGAAGGAGAAGCTCTCGTTGGAGTACGACGAGTTGGCGAAGAATCCTGATAAGAAGTCACTCATTCCCACGAAGAAGTTCGATGGCATTCAGATGCCATACGTGGAGATCGAGATGACTGATGGCACCATCTGCGACCTCAGCAACAAACCCAGGACTATTAAATTGCTGTATATGTGCCATCAGCATGGTAAGCACGAGATCCTGTCCCTGGAGGAGACATCCAGCTGTGAGTACGAGGCTATTGTCCTGTCTCCCTTCATCTGCAGCCATCCGGATTATGGTCCCAGGGGTGGGGGTGAGGATGAGATCAATTGTGTGCCCCAGGATAAAGCGGGAAAGGTCCCCAGGGCACTGGATGCCCTTGAAGCTGAGAGCTACAAGCTCAGGCATCAGAAAGTCATGGTAAAGTCGATTTTCATGTGGCTCATCTCCTTTGAAGGATTATTAATTATTTATTGCTGTTTATTTTTAATGCTGTTATGATTTTTTGTTCGCGAATTCAGGGGCCAAAAATTCGTTTAAATGATCCAATGAGAAACTCAATTTCATAAAGAATATTTTGTCAGGAGAAAATAATACAATCTGTTCATGCATTTTGATCATTTTTTTTTATTAATTTCGTTGGCCACTGGATTGAGTAAATTTTTTATGAATTTATCAATTAGTGATAGTATTCTTGTAGATGTTTCTGCACGATTATTTTCTGGTTTTATTCTGCTGTTTCCTTAAGCCCTCCTCCCTCGGACAAGTCGACTTGAGTGAAGCCAATGAAGAGTCAGAATATTGAGATTAATTCACTTAAATCAGTCACTCCAGAATGACAGATCGTTAGGCTTTGTTATTTAATCACGTGAACACACTGAATTATTTGTTAAACAGGATGAAAAGCCACAGAAACTGTTTGCGATCTTCCGTGTAGATAAGGACGGCCAGGTCAGAAATTATATTTTCATTCTCGGGGATTGGGCTTCTTACATATGCTCTGGGTGTCCTATAATTATTCATTCATGATTATTTACACGTTCTTACACATTTGCATTTTTATTTTCTTTGCTGATATGCACAGTTGCTTTTTATGGCAAATTGCTAGATTCTAGAATCCAGTCGAATTTATTTCTGTATAAGTTCCTGAAGGAGACCATTCCCAGATTATGGTCGGAACAATGTAAATATCTGGAGAAAGATTTTTTTTTTATTTTTGAAGAGCAAAATCTGTCAAATTTGTGGAATGATCTCATCTCGCAACTTAATTAATGGATTAATCTTATGGATTATGGGAGAGTCTCTTCACGTTTTCTTAAATCAATAATTCAGGATGGAGAATCTAGGGTGAGAGTTGAAATCCACCCAGCAGACAGTTTGGAGAAGAACGGAGAGGATCTTCTGGGGTCCCTGACAGACATGAATCTCGGGCAAGTACCAGGAGATGTCAATCCTGTTCAGAGTTTTGTGAGTGGAAAACGCTGCTTGCAAGGCGTAAGTTATTTTCTAATTACTCCAGCAGATGTTTCTTAATTATTTCACTCACTCCACCATTTTATCACTGACTTATAGGGAAATGGCTGGTGGAAGTACGAATTTTGTTATGGAAAATCAGTGATACAGTACCACGTGGACAGAGATGGATCGAGAACAATGGTGGACCTGGGGAAATTCGACAAGCAGAAGCACCTAGACTGGATAGAGGCACATCCTCAAAAGAGGCCAAAACCAATGGGCCAGAGGAAACAGCTCTCCCATTTCTACAGTGACGGCAGTGTCTGCGATAAGACTGGAAAATTACGTCAGACTGAGGTAATCATCTCAAGGACATCCTCATGACCGGGGATAACAGTTCCCTGCACTCAAGATGACACAACTTTACCCCTAGACCTTCAGATGTTTTAAAAATAATTATCCAAATCAATTATTTGACATTTTTAGAATAAATTATGAATTATTTGTTTTCTGTTCTCAGGTGAGACTCAAATGTGTTGAGGGCACATCGGGAAGTCCATCCAGTGTTTCCCTGTTTCTCCTCGAGCCCAAGACATGCGAGTATATCCTGGGGGTGGAATCCCCTCTGATTTGTAAGATTATTGATTATGCAGATAACAATGGCCTCATCCCAGATGCAGCCATGACGAATTTCGACGAGATTAAGTCAACGTCAGGGGAAACTCTCCAGAAGCCCGAGAAGATTATTCACGACGAACATTGAATGTCTGATGCCACAAATCAATCGCAAAGTTATTCCGTAGCGGTGTCAAATAATCTTTTCTATTGAATTCCATAGAGAAGTTTCAAACCAAAATAGTAGTTTTTTTTCAATTAATTTCTAATTCAATGCAATTTTGAATCTATGATCTACGTTAAGTACTCTGTATTTTTCTTGTTAACTGGATTGAATTAAATGACTGCCTCAAAAATATTTGAACATTCCTTTGAATATTTAATTGACTTAATGACTATTTTCTGAAAATATAATTTTTGATTCTTGTGACAATTACATGATTGTAAGAATATAATTTCCCACTCATTGCGTTACATCTCTCGATTACAAAATTATTCATCAGAACTGAGCAATGAATACTTCAAATTCTCCAAAAGAATCAAAAACTCATCGAATCATTCTCAAACTGCTATAAAACCAGAAGTATTGTCAGTCTCTGCCTTAAAAAAATTTCTTTATATTCGAAAAACCGTGACACATTAAAAGTACAAAATGCAAACCAAAAAATCACCCGACATTGAGACCAATTCCAACTTGAAAATGTTGAGTGCCATGATTCAGCATAACACTGAGAATCAACGAAGAGTCAGGAATAGGATAAAGTTTCTTCTCCAGAACTCCTCCAACAGTCAATTTGGTATTGACCATTCCCCTGAACACGATATCAGCATCAGGAACATCGAGCTGATAAAAAATTCCAGCACTGGAGTCATGACTGGCAAGACTGGTCTCGAGCTCAACCCCAAGCTGAAGTTGCTGACTGGCCTTGTGATGATAACAAAAATGTAGTCCAGCATTTCCAATAGTTGCTGAGAAAGTCTGTAGCCCAGTGCTGTACCTCAAAGCCAGTGCAATCATCGATTCCTGTCCCCCTGGTATCAATTGGCTCCTGTGGAAGGCGAATTCAGTGCCAGCTGTTAGTCTGTTGGATAGGGCCTGGAGATAGTGAACAACGAGAGTTCCAGTGCATTTGGAAAAATCAGGATTGTCCAGAGTGATTGAAAACGTCGCCTCGTCGGATCTGTAATCGATTGTAGAACTCGATGCCTCGAATTTCTGCTTGACAATTTGATTGACGTGTTTCACTCGCAGTCGACAGCCCAGGGTGTGGACAAATGTTGTCGCTAGGTTTCCATTGGGCATCAGCTCTCCCATGATCATCGGATATCGCTCAAGTCTTCCAACGTGTTTGGAGCCTGTGTAACAGGTGCCCAGTTTGTACCCTGATGGTGTCATTGAGCTCAGGGTGAGACTGTGGACTGTGAAAAATCCTTCATTGTGGCATCTCTTCACTCGCAATTTAGCTCCCTCGAAGATCGGGGGGTATAGGTCCTTCACTTTTTTATGCAACTCCTCGAAGGTACCTGGATTTCCAGGCACATAACCCTCCGGACAAGGGATGCAGGGAGAATTGTGGGCTCTGCTCGATGCCAGGATTATTCCCATCGTCGTAACCACTCGATTAACATTCACTTCGGTCCTGATTCATCACCAGGAAATACACTCTGGAGATGGCCTTCTCGTTAGTCTGTACATAGCAAATTCATCGACACGTCAGGGATCAGGAACTAATGTGAAATTGGCAGCTTTCCAGAATTTCAGGAGTTCGAAATTCATTTATGATTGGAATTTAATTCAGACATTTTCCTAAAGGATATTTATTCACCTTGAAGTACATGATTTTGATTTTTCTTTGAGTCATTCTGTTGCTCATTACCTCTCTACTATTTATAGAGATGATAAATAAAACAACGGGAAAATTAGTGTAATTACTAGTGGAGAATTTTCTAGATTTATCATAGAATTTATTTGATGTAGTCATTAAAATTAATACAATGATTGAAATAATATTTACATTTTGCAACTTAACAACTAAACGATTGTGTTGTTTTTTTGATAAGTATGCTTTATATTATTTAAGTTATATAACTATATAATGTAATGATAATTGATGATTGGACATATCAAGAGGTGGAACCCATCCAAGTGTCGTAATAATTAACGATTTTCGTCGTGATTTTTCTATTTTCCTCATGTAAAACGTACAAAAATTTTAAATAAATCATTCTCTATAAATTCAATATGAAAATAATAATAAAATAAATACTCTTTAAGTAGACCAATAATTAACTTGGATGTTTTATCCACAATCTTGTCTCCAGAACAGCTATAATACAAGAAATGCTTTATATTTTGATTCCCCATGTTTTTTTTTTCTTTAAATTTTATCTCGTCTTATTCAATTTTTGAATCACAACAGAAAGAACATTGAGCGAGCATCAATTTTATTCGTCACACCGAGTATTACATTCTGCGGGAGAAAAATATAATTGTAATTACACTTCAACAACAGATTTTGACCAGATGCTCTCAGAGTGATGCAAAAAATTATGACTAGCATTTACAAATAGGGGTGCAACACTCTCGATTGCTCGTGGCCGCTGATTCAGAAAAAGAAGTGATAAAAAGAAAAAGAAAAAAAAACTTCTAGAGAAGGAAAAAAACATGCCATCACCAGCTTCGATTCCAGAATAATTTAAGTTTGAAGGAAAAAAAAAAAACAATTCGTAGGAGATATTAAACGATAAATTAAATTACGAAATACTAATGTACACGAATTAATCTTCCTACAACGCCATACTGATAATTTTAATTCTAATCACTCAGCGGATTTATTATCGCGTTCGTCACTTTTCTACCTGAGAACACTTGATATATTTTATTCTTTTTGATAATATTTTTTTCCTGATAAGTGGTTGAGTCAGTCTATCCATCGAAGATAACATTTGATGTCCTGATGAACAATAATTTATTATCCAATGCGTATTCAACTTTAACCATTCACCAATTATTTAATCGAGGATAAATGGTAAAGTGTTGAGAGAAAAAAATGTCAGCGACATGAATTAAAGATGCCTAAAAACTCGTTTAGGCTCTCAATTTTGATCGTACGACGTTATAAAATTTCGTTCGGGATTGCATAAGGCACAGCACTGTTGAATAACAAAAATTAAATAATCCAATATCCCCGTTACAATATTCTCAAACTCTCATTCCCCAAATTCACCAAATCCCTCAAAACTGAATCATTTTTCAAATGAAACACTACCTCACAATTATCGTAAAACGATAATAAATCGATGAATACAGGAGTAGGCACTACATTTTTCTCAAAAATTTGTGATTTCTTGTGCGTTTTGTATACAGTGGACTTAAGGATTACTAACAAAGGCACCCAAGATATTAAAGTTTTTCACATTCAAATCGTTAAAAAGAGTCACAGTAACACCTCAAAATAAAAAAACAAAAAGCTATGACTCTCTTTCACGATTTGACGCGCTGGTCAATTCATCTATAATATGGCGTTTATTTGACGAACACTTATCGGTACATTGCGTACTCAATCCGATTCGCAATTATCTCGTGGGGACGGCCAGTCAGTCTATTGATAAATTGGCAGAGGACAAATTGCGTCCGCATTTCACATTAATCTCTTGACTCATTCTTTCTCTCTCTCCCTCTACCCCTCTCACTTTCTCACTCATTCATCAATCCCTAATACATATGTACATCAAGCTAACACCAGTTTCACCCATCCAATCGCTATTTACAATAAAAATTTTCCAAAATAATCATTCACGCCAATGCACAATCACAACCCTGATGCCTCAGGTTGAGGGACTCCAGAACCTCAAAGTGCCCAACACCAATTGAAATTCTCATGCCCAATGCTTTCATCTCTCAATTATCACTGATAAATAATGAACAATTATCGATGAAAATGTGTTTGAATGAACCCTGAGTTTCGTATTCAGAGATATACCTGGAGAAAAGATTGAGAATTTCCAAACGAAAACCACCGATTATCTCTGGATTAATTTCATACGTCCCTCAACAAGAGTAGAACGACAATTTCCCTGTTTTCCGTGTTATCATCCTTGTAGGAGATCGACGATTACCTAAGAAAGCTTTACCTAAGGCTAATCCATTCTTTACGATCCACCCTGAACCTGGAACCTTCTGATCCTCGCCTGGACAGACTCACACTGTACCTCGCTGTACCTCGTGTATCTCCCAGCCCTGACAGGCTCACGAATGACAACAAGATTGCCACCACGTTCCCTGAGTGCCTCGAGACCAGTTTTAGCTCTGCTGGAGGGTGGAACAGTTGCCCTGGATGCCTTGCTGGAGGGATCAGCAGTGAAACGACTGAGTGCCTTGCTGACAACGCCATTGCACTCTCTTGGCCAGGGCCTCGTGTGATGTCTGTGATCCCATCGGTCTGTCTCAGTACCTGCGAATGGAAAACTCGCTCTACCTTGGCTTTTACCGTAAAGAATAAAATCCAGGGAGTCGTCCGAGTAAATGCTACTGCGATCGCTCGAGCTGTCCGTTGATATCTCGGATACAGTGTCACTACCGCTGTCGCACTGTTGCTCCTCACCCAGAATAAAAACTGGTGTGCACTTGAAGACTTCACCGGCTGGCATCGTGTGATTGCCAATGGCTCGTCTCTGGGTTGCCACGTTTTGCTCGATAATTACTATTTCACCTGATGAGAACTTCTGGGCTAGTGAGTCCATGTTCTTCTTGAAGGTGTCCCTTCTGTCTGGACTCAGGCCAATCCTCAAGGGCATGGCCGGACTTTTTCTGTAATCCGAGAGCTTCGGTAATGTTCTTGATTCGAATTTCGAATCCTTGGAGAGGGATTTCAGGGCGGGAATCGAATCTAGGGAGTTCTGGACAGAGTCAATGATTGCTGTGGGCTCTGGGGTTGATGATCTTTCTGGTAATGATGTCTCCTCTGGAGGGACCACTGGTGAAGTCAGCGGATAGTCGTCTGTGATGCTTTCCATTGGTGGAATTGAGAGGGGGATCTCTGGGCTCCTGCATCCGGTGAACCACGGGTGCTCCAGGCACTCCGTCACCGTCAGGCGTTGGCTGGACAGAAAAGCAAAGCTTTTATTAGTGACTCTTGGTCCTTGAATTGAGGCATTACGGCAATTTCGTGACAAAAGGTTGAGGGGATTCACCGACGAAATTTCTGCAACTCTGAATGTTCCCATTTGATAAGGATAGAGCCTTGGGGTGTGATAAGGAACTGTGTTTACGTTTTGTTTGAAGGGATATCGCAATCGGGAGATAAGGACTTCCTCTGCGAAGAGGGAAACTTGATAAGTGATAGGAGGTTTGATAGAAGGAGGAAGTATTCCTTCCGTTTTTCCAGTGGTGGAAGTGCTGGAATTGAAATAGAACAGATTTTTGATTCGGAGGATATTTAGGAGAATTGATTTAGCGAGAGGAAAGTAACATTTTTGACAACCGAATTTTTACATCGAAAACAAACAACATTTTTCATCACGGAACATGAAAATCGAGGAAGTATTCACTGAAATTTGAAAATTTTGGAAAAATATCAGGGGAACATGAAAATCGAGGAGGTATTCGCTGAAATTTGAAAATTTTGAAATTTTCGAAAAGTATCAGGAGAACATGAAAATCGAGGAGGTATTCGCTGAAATTTGAAAATTTTGAAATTTTTTAAAAAGTATCAGGAGAACATGAAAATCGAGGAGGTATTCGCTGAAATTTAAAAATTTCGAAATTTTCGAAAAGTATCAGGAGAACATGAAAATCGAGGAGGTATTCGCTGAAATTTGAAAATTTCTAAATTTTCACAAAAGTATCAGGAGAACATGAAAATCGAGGAGGTATTCGTTGAAATTTGAAAATTTTGAAATTTTCAAAAAGTATCAGGAGAACATGAAAATCGAGGAGGTATTCGCTGAAATTTAAAAATTTCGAAATTTTCTCAAAAGTGTCAGGAGAACATGAAAATTGAAGAGGTATTCGCTGAAATTTAAAAATTTCCAAATTTTCACAAAAGTATCAGGGGAACATGAAAATCGAGGAGGTATTCATTGAAATTGAAAAATTTGAAATTTTCAACGTTTAGACATTTTTATTATTACCACGATGGTGATTACAAT